GTGGGTTGTTTTCTTTGCAAAGCTTAAACTCTAAAGTGACATTTGAAAAGGCAGCAGGTCAGATAATGACATGACAAATTTCAATTTTCAAATAATATTTGAAACAATTTATTAATTTTTTGGGTTGCTTTTTTAACCATTTTTTTTTTCATTACTTGTCAGTAGTTGGACTGCAGCGAATAAACTATGAACCGAATACAATATGTTTTAGTAATGTACAGTAACGAATGTGAATATTTATTCATGAATTCATGAATGTTTTGTTTAAAATGTAGGATTTTTTCTTTACTGTTTTAGTTACTACTTGTTGAATAAAATAACTGCTTTTTCTAGTTTTATTCAAATTAAAATATTTTTGATTCTGCAGGTTCATGATCCAAAATTTAGAAAAATGTCTGGTAACAATGTGTTTTTGGTGTTGGATGTAGATGGTGGTTGAAGAGAAGTATGCTCCATATGTCTGGTAGCTAGACAGTATCCCAAATGGGGTCCTTTGGTCTGACAGTTGGGAAAACCCCCTCGGCGCTAATTACGCAGAATATAGTACACCTTGCAGTAACAGGGAAACCGACATCAGACCTGTTGACATGGATTGTGTGACGGTGTCCCAAACATTATGACTCATTCTCATATTCAAGGATGACATTTTTATTAAGAAATTATGCATAAATTTATGTGTAGCTGTGAATTAAGGTGCGTAGCAGTGAATTAATGTTTCTGGCAGTATGTTCAGTTGGATTCTGGCATCTTCAAGTACATGCTATTTAGACGCTGATGTAAACGATAAAAAGTATGTATTGATCTTGGATGTTATCAGAGAGTTGCAGAATGGCTGTTTGATGTTAGCAATAGCCTCATCTAGATGTACTTCCGGGGAGAATGTTGATCCTCTCATTATTACAAGGTGTACTAGTTTAAGGAATGAGATAATTTTTTAGACACAATGAAGGCTTTATTTTGCAGCAAGTTATTCTGAGGCGCACAGAATCGGATGTCAATATATTTGTGTTTTCACTTTCACAACAGAGATCTTGATACTCACCAAATCCAGTCATGCGTCATCCTATGTGTTAGGTTTGTTATATACATGTAAAAATATATATGTATTCAGCTGTTTTCAGTGAAAATAGTTTAATTATTGTATAAAACATTTTTCGGGCTGACTGTTCAATGGCAAAGTCATATAAAAGCAAGCCGAACATGATGTTCACAGGAAATGTTTAAAATGTATGTAACATCCTTCTAAATAACCTTCCAGGTAATTAGTTTTCAGCATTTTTCAGCTAAAGTAATTCTATGATGGTGACACACTTGTTCTTAATTCACTAGTAGCAATACTTTAAAAACCTGTTAAAAGCCTTTTCTGACCATGTTATTTTTACACAAGTGTTTGTGAAAAATGACCAGTGAAACATTTGAGGCCTAAAGTAAAAATTGTGACCTAGGAAGATCCGGGTTAGACTTGATTTCCAGTAACCCATTCTTGTCATAAGAGGCGACTAACGGGATCAGGGGGGTCCTCCCATTAGTCGTACGTCCCACTAGTCATACGGGTTAAAACAACACATGGCTCGCTGACTTGGTTGACACATGTCATCGTATCCCAATTGTGTACATCGAATGCTCATGCTGTTGATCACTGGATTGTGTGGTCCAGACTCGATTATTTACCGACTGCCGCCACATAGCTGGAATATTGCTGAGTGCGGCATAAACTAATCTGTGTGTTACTCACAAATGTAACTTGTCATAAATTACAAGGTAGACCATTGATGAATGTTATAGGATTACAAGGTGTATTAGGGTTGAGTCTTAGTCTAAATACTGTTGCAAATATCTCCTGACAGTTTCCCCCTACACTGCTGTCAACTGTGTTGTCCTTATTGGCTGATTTTGAGGTGGTGCAAAATACCCTCTATTTCTTTAAAGGCAAACTTGTGTTTAGATAAAAAATTATGAAGAATGTTTTCGTTTATTAGCCAGTATGTAATGTATTTATTTCCTAAGTTCCACCTGGTGCCAGCTGTGGAAGTATCTGCAACAGATGTAGATTGTAACCTTACCGTGCAACCGGAGGTATTTGTGTGTGTAATTATGTAGAATGATTATTGATACCTCTTAATCATCAGTAGAAAGTAATCAAATGAATTTCCTAATTATTTCCTGAGACTTCAGCTGAAAACTCGATGTATACCACAACATGGTAATTGAACAAATGCATTAGCTGGTTAAGCTAATTATCACTTGATCCTTTGCCAAAAACAAGAGATCTTTGCCAAATCATTTCACATACATTATTAAAATTGTAGGAACATTTTCCATTATTACGTTTTACCAAAGCAAAAAAAGAACATAAAATCACAAAGACATTGACATCATATACCATATTTCCTTACCAAACAGGGCAGTGGGGTAGCCTAGTGGTTAAAGCGTTTGCTCGTCACATCGAATTTCCAGGTTCGATATTGCTCACATTGGTACAACTTGTCAGCCAGCCCATTTCAAACATGGGGCAGGTGTAGCCTAATGGTTAGATATTGCTGGAATATTGGGTTCCCTACATTGGTCCAATGTGTGAAGCATATTTCTGGTGTCCCTGTTGTGATACCGTAATGCTGGAATATTGCTAAAAGCGACATAATACTAAACTCACTCACTCCCATCCAACATGTCTGGATATCTGAATTTCTCAAAAGCAAAATAACTCAAAAAACAATATTTGATCACGAACACAATCACATATCATACGGTATCTCCCCTATTACATGTTTGGGTGTCTATTCATTTTGCACAAGCTGTTGACCAGATGTCTACAACAGGTCGGGTTATTGTGCAACAGTAACTCAATACCTCGCCAAATCCTTGTCATACAAAGTTTATGTTTGCAGAAAATGTTAATTGTTCATCACCAGCATGTCACAAGAGATTGTATTGCAATGCGATAGGACTTGTACACCTAATGATGGATATTGTTTGAATGGCTACAGTGATGTACTGCTTGTATTGGCTTGCTTAATTAGCAGCACTGTACTGTCATCCGAGATCAATACGTGATTACCCATGAGCAGCATCGTGCTTGCTGGTGTATTCTGGGAGTGGTGATGACTGGAGCAGCGATTTGATGGGTTTTTTATTTATGTGTGTGTTCGAACGGTGTTTGTCTTCGTCACCAGGGAGCGGAAACAACAATAGTCGAGCCTCAAACTGGGTCGTCTGACGCGAAGTGTTGAAACGGGGATACCAATGTTGAAATAGGGTTACAATGTTGAAACGGGGGTACCAGGGTGTAAGTGTAAACTGAACTAACTGTTCAGAACCCAAAGTCGTCTAACCAAGATGCAAACATGCTACAAAACATTCTGTTCACTACATTGCATATGTACATACATTATCTGTTCATCCAGCAGTGACTGGGTACCTGGTAGGATGAGATTGTCGTGTGGCAGCTTGGGATGTGTGCTCCCCAGGGAGTCGTATGAAAACCTAGTGCACTCAGATTGGTTGATTAATGTAATAGTAGTGCACTTTGAGCATTATATGTATCACAAAAAAGAACTATATCATAAAATGGCTTCCTGAAAAAGCAAATCTTTATAATCCTTTCATTAAAAGATATTGGGACGTTATGACATGTAGTCCAATTTCACCTCATTGTTTATCGGGGCTGTGGGGTAGCCTAATGGTTAAAGCGTTGGCTCGTCACGCCGAAGACCTGGGTTCGAATCCCCACATGGGCACAATGTGTGAAGCCCATTTCTGGTGTCCCCCACCGTGATGTTGCTGGAATATTGCTAAAAGCGGCGTAAAACCAAACTCAGTCAGTCAGTCGTTGTTTATCACTAACATCGTAAGTATTAAAAGCGCAATACAAATGGATTATTATTAACATCATTATCATTATTATTGTGAATAATGGTGTAGCATGGTGGTTAAAGTGTATGTTCATCATTCTGAAGACCAGGGATCGAAACCCCACATTGGTACAATGTGTGAAGCCCGTTTCTAGTGTCCGCAACCATGATGTTGCTGGAATGTTGCGGAAAGCGGCTTAAAACAAACTGGGGTAGCCTAGTGGTTAAAGTACACTCGTCACCCGAAGACCCAGGTTCGATTCCGCACAATGATACAATGTGTAAAGCCTATTTCTTTGTTAATATTATTTCTGCCGTGTAGTCTTGTTCTGGCATTTAGCCTTACAGCATTTAGCCGTACAACCAGGAGATACAGGCCATAGTGGTTCCGGAGTTAAATGAATTAGATGACACAAAATGTACATAAATATTGACTAATACTGGAAGCGTAAGTATTGTGTTACTCCATGATGTGAGGAAACTACCCAGATCATATAGCCGACTGGCATGCACCAGCTGTGAACCCAAATGTAACATTACACAACTGTTGGCGAAAATCAATTAGTTACGTGTTATTTCAGCGCAGGAATAATTTTCATGGGTTTGTACTAGTTGCTCTGCATGACATCAAGGCAACCAGACACATTGTCAATCCAAGCTTTGTTTAAAACCAAACCGTTTTAATCCAGACAGTCAATCAATCCAGGATCCCTGTTTAAAACCAAACCCCGGGGATGTGGGGTAGCCTAGTGGTTGAAGTGTTCACTCATCCTGGGTTCGATTCCCTACGTGGGTGCAATGTGTGAAGCCCTGTCTGGTGTTCCCCGCAGTGATATTGTTGGAATATTGCAAAAGCGGCATAAAACTGAACTCACTTACTCCCTCATTAGAACCATACCCTCTCGTTATTCAGTCAGTAGTGTTGCTACATTTGCCAAGTTCCGGATAATAAGAAGTGGTAAAGGTGACACCACTTCTGGGAAACAGTTTTGGTTGTCAGGGGTATTATCATAAAATACGGAGATGTAATACAGTGGATGGTCAAAGCTTGTCTTAAACCCTTTAGTGATTGACTTTGACTGTTAATCAGGTTCTTTTAAAAATGTTCAGTGTTTGTATTTGTATTTATTTATATTTTCTACATTTCAGAACTGAGACTGGCGACTTGAAAATGTCGGCCATTAGTAATGGTTACCCAGGAGATGAGGAGCAAGACGGGATGGTCTTCGCCAACCCCTCCCACAATGATGACGTGTTGGTGTCGATACAGACGCTGCGGAAGAGCCAGAAATTCTGCGACGTCAAACTGGTTGTTGATAACCATGAGATTTTTGCCCACCGAGCTGTCCTTGCATCTAGCAGCGCCACCTTGTTCGATCTGTTTTCCAAGGGAGACGACACCATCCAGACAAGCAGCATGGTGAAGCTGAAAGATTTCAAATTCAACGGATTCAGCTACTTGTTAGACTATATGTACACAGGAAGGCAAGTTGTAGACGTTGAAGATGGAGTTTGATAGGGGTGTCGCGATACGCGAATGTATCGATGCATCAATACATTTTTACTGACGATACGATACGCGATACATGCTTGCGTGTATCGATTCCTATTTTAAAACTTTATCGATTCAAATTTTTATGCTATATCCATCTCCGTCAAAGTCTTGATAGTAAAATTATACGAGACCGCTCCGATAAATAGATGTAGCTAGCCTTACTTAAAAAATAGGTTGGAAATTAACAGCTTTTGTGATTGGCTAGACTATTTTGATGGACCAATCAGCGAGCGCCGGTAAGGTAATGCTATGAAAAGGCGCGAAAATTATGTATCTTGATACATATCGTATCGTGACCTTAAAATCGTGATACGTATCGTATCGTGAGATTGGTGTATCGTGACACCCCTAGAGTTTGATGTATGTGTGGAGTGTGATGTAGAACTATGTTACTTGGGTCATAGTCATTGGGATGCCGGTGGGCTTGTAAGTTACAATAAATCCCAGCATGTCTGCTAGCTATACAACGTGACTAAATGGATTAGGAAGGGGTCTGACTCAGTGACATGATTCATTGCATGTCGTTATACGCCACGGGCATAAATGTTCCTCATGACTTTCATCAGACATTTGATACAAATACATGCTTCCTTCTATGAGCTGCAGTATTGCAGTGTTAATTAACAAAGAAGCAAAATTCAGAATATTCCCTTCAGTCTCTGAAAGGATATTCCGGGAGCTCCAAGGGAGTGTCCAGAAGCCTGTGGGTGTCAGGGTGGAAATAACCCATTGCCTGACGTCCGAGTCCTGTTGTTTTTTTCTGTCGGGCAAGCAGATTTGTATATCACACTGTACCGGTGTCCAGTTGACTTTCCAATGTTAATTATGTTGTTTATTTAAAAAATCAACAAGAAAATGGCCGGTATAGTGGAAAAATTATCAGGGCAAGTTATTTTATATGTTCCACTGTACCGGAGTACACTATCAATTTTAAAGTTATTTCCCCCCTGGGTGTGTAGGAGTGCTGTATTGTCACCAAGAGTGTAAGAATGGTGTAGTTCTAATATAGCTACAGTGTGCATGTGTGCTACTGTCAACAAATATTTTAGTTAAATTACAGCCTGTCAGCTCAATAAGCAAGTAGTTACAACTACACTTTTCATCGAAATCCACAAGCGTATGTATGGTTGTGACTGAAACCGGAACAGTTGTACCAAGTATCCGATTCAAACCTAAACACAGGGGCGGTGAGGTAGCCCAGTGGTTAAAGCGTTGGCTCGTCATGCCGAAGACCCAAGTTCGATTCCCCACATGGGTGCAATGTGTGAAGCCCATTTCTGATGCCCCCGCCGTGATATTGCTGGAATATTGCTAAAATCGGCGTAAAACTAAACTCACTCACTCACTTACCCTGCCTGGAGGGTGGTGGGGTAGCTTAGTGGTTAAAGCGTTGGCTCGTCACGGCGAAGGCCCGGGTTCAATTCCCCACATGGGTACAATGTTTGAAGCCCATTTCTGGTGTCCCTAATGGTTAAAGTGTCCACCGTAGACCCGGGTTTGAATCCCCACATGGGCACAATGTGTGAAGCGCATTTCTGGTGTCCCCAGCCGTGATGTTGCTGGAATATTGCTAAAAGCGGCGTAAAACCAAACTCTGTCAGTCAGTCTGGTGTCCCCCGCCATGGTGTTGCTGGAATATTGCTGAAAGCGGCGTAAAACCATACTCACTCAGTCAGCACTACCCTGCCTACCTGTCTGCTGACTTTCAAAACATGGGGATTCTAATTTTATGGTTGCAACTCAGCATCAAGTTCTGCATGACATGTGGGCTCGTCTTTCTGACAGTGCATCAATCTTCTTAACCATTAGGATACATTGACATTGTGTAGCAATCTAGGCATCAGAGAATGGTGTCATTACACTAGACCTGTTTGGGCATTTACCCTGTAATACTACCAATATTACCTGTAATTACCCATAATAACCTATAATTGTGATAATACCCCATATTACCACTGTCTTGATTGACAGGAGCTTCCCTTTATACTTAAATAATAATTCCCACAATGGACCGTTATGGCAGTAAAGGGAGTGTATATTTGAATGTAAGTTTCTCATGTATAGTACATGAAGGTAAGTTGAGATTTCCAATATTGATTCGAATCCAAGCTTTGTTTGGCAACCAGTCAGGGTTATGTTTATCTGGGATTTTAAACTTATGTGACTTTGGTTTGACAATTATTGTGCTATTTTCCCAAATTGGATATTTTTATTGTCTTTTTTTGTTGTTGTAAATTCCGAGAAATTTGAACATTGTAAATTCTGATTTAGAATTTTGGCTATCATTTGCTGCAGACTGAAAGCTGGGTATTGGCCTCTGAGCCATTCCTAGTATCTAATGACTTTGTTGTTGCCCTTCTCAACAAGTGACTTAATTTTGTCACTAAAAACTACTATGGTAAAGTAAAATCATAATAATTCATTACTTTTCAAATGTTAAACAGTGTGCAGAAAAATCCAGACTTCAGACTTTAGAATATTTGTTCTCTCTATTCAAGAGTCCGCCCGGAGAGCGGAAGGTCGCTGGTTCGAACCCCGACCGCGTCATACCAAAAGACGTTAAAATATGGTACTTGTTGGTCCCTGCCTGGCGTTCGGCATTAATGGGTACAATAAGGACTGGTCGGCTCGGAGTCAGTATAATGTGTCTGAGTGGGGTATTCCTGCTTCACTGCGGCATGGTATCTCAGTGGGCTAGCACTATAAAACCAGCTTAAGTCTGGGCTAGTACAAGCAGCCGCACATACACATACACATACACACGCATGCACGTCGTCATATGAGTGAAATATTCTCAAGTACGACGTAAAACCCAATTTCACCTCACCTCTATTCAAGTACATTAAAAAAAAGATGGAATAAGTTTGACTGTTCCTAATACTTCATCCCTTTTGTAGACTGACAGTTCCAGCCGAGGATGTTCGAGAAGTCTACGCGATGGCTCGACGCTTGAAAATCATCAGCGCCGTGGATGCCTGTGCCGACTACCTGTCATCGACCTTGACCCCTGTCAACTGTCTAGGTATCTTTGATACTAGCTCGTCTTTGTCACACAGTCCGATGTTGTTGCTACTTCTTCACGATTTATCGTGTTGTACGTAGTAGCTTAGCCAATCACAGTCCAAGGCTGACCCCAGAATATATGGTAAGAAACCCTTTTTAAGTTTCCCCATTCACAAGTCTAGCTCAGAAATCAATTCCTCTCCGTTACATCTTTCTTTTTTGTCTTATGCAAAATCTTTTAGAATCAACTTTCAGCATTAAAATACTTTATTTTTGTGAAGATATTTATAGAAGCCATTTCGTAAATATTGCTCTGTAATATTGCTGTGTTTAAAAGCCGGAACCTGTAATTAACAATCTTATCTTGTAAGTTTATGTGTTTGTTTATGATTCTTATAAGATTATTTCATAAGTATCATGTGAATTTTTTATTATTTTTTTCCATTGTTAGTACTACATGGTAGCTTAAGACAGCTTAGCTTCAGATTGCCAGGAATTCAGGACTTTTGACCCTTTGAAAACAATCTCAAGACAGGCCAAAAACCTTATTGGTCCATTTGGCTTGTAGTTAAAAAACAACCCATTATGTCATTGGGCCTTGATAAATGAAGTTTTAGATTTTCATCCATGTTAGTTTCGCATTATTTGGTTTTCCTCTGCAGATGAAGACAAATTTGATTTGATTATCTTCATGTTTTAATTGATGGAATATATCACATGCCTTTACTAACGAAACTCTAATCTTCATGTGTACCACAGCCGTCAGTATTAGCCGTTCTGCTATAGAGGAAGCATGATTCAAACAAATCCCAGGATCCTGGAAGTTCCTAGGACTAGAATAGTTACTGAAAAGAGAAAATCGTTATGACTTAATGTAAACACCATGGAAAGAAAATAATACTTTTTGTGGTGATTTCTGAAAAAATAGATCATTCAAAATCTGTGTTGACACCTCCCAAAAATTCTGTTTTTGTTGTGTGAATATACAGTCGAGCACCGTTGTGTCGAACTCTGATAACTCAATATCTCGGTTGTCTCGATATAACATCTCGGTCCCGGCAAAATGCTTCATAATTTATCATTATTCAAGCTCTTTTAACTTGATACGGATGTCTCGATATTTCGGATATCTCGATATAATTTCATGGTCCCAACAGCAAAATTACCCTTTTAACTCGATATTTGCAAAGAAACTCGATATTCACCTACCTTTCATCGGCAAGTATCACTCTGAACTGAGGTTGTTTCCACATGTTTACACAGGGTGCGGCATGTATCAAAGGGATGCGGTAGTGTAAACTAATTAGGGCTCATTGAGTTGAAGGTGTCACTTGTTTGTTATTTAATTAGGATTATCCTTAAGAAGGAATTAATGAGGAAGTACTCACTGTTACGACTAAACACTACTGATAACGGATTATAGTTTCGAATCAAAACATACGTTTTGTTTTCTTTCATAGTGATATGTGATGATATGCCCTGGTCGGATGTGTCGATATTTTTTCTTGGTCCCATGAATATCGAGACAACGGTGCTCGACTGTATTGATATTTCTTTTTTGAAAATCTGGCTTAATGCCCTGAGAAAATTTTGACTTGTATTGAATGAACACTAACAATAGAATGTATATTGTCTCACACTTTTTTAAATATGTTGCATGAAAATCTAATAGTTTATTAAGGCCAAATGGGTCTTTGGGCCAGGAAGTTTTCACATCAGTTTGAAGCTCTGCTAAGTAAACTAAATTATATTTATTTTTTTAAATTTAAAATTAACTTTTATTTAATTTTAAATTGATCAAATAAGATCAACTACATCAATAAGAATTTTGTCTCATTTTGTTCAAAGATATGTTTTTATGCATTTAAAAACTTTTACATGTAAATTTTACTCGAGTCGAGAATTAAGGTAATATCAAATATATTTTGAGTGGAATGAATTTCTGAGTCGAAGTAGACCTGTTGCCCCTCTCAGTAGCCTAATAAGAAAATCCGTGTTTGCCCTGCCATGTTATAGAGGGACATAGAACCCTGTTGTTGTCAGCCATCTTGATCTTGGACTGTGTAATGAGGCCCTTGGATGAAGATGGACAGTGCGATGTATTGATGACAAGGGCTTGTTTCAGTCCCATCATTTGGGACCTATATGGTAGCATGTGAACTGCTTGTTGTCATCAGAACTGTTACAAGTGAACAAAATTTATATAACATAATTTTCAATATTTAAAAAAAATATATATCTGTTTTTAAAACTGATTTGCAATGAACAAAATTCTTTTATCTCATATAAAGACTTGTTGTTTAGGTAGATATTAATTTGTTGATGGCAACAATTTCCAAACTGCCTGTGGTCCCAAATAATGGCGAAACATGACTTTGTTTAGAGATGCCCATATATACTGTCGTAGTTGAGGTTTGTGTGATATCATGCAGTATCGATTTAAATCTGTTAAGGTAAATCATATAGACCAAGGTAAGTCAATTGTTGATGAAACAGTTCCTATGGACTAGGATAGGTTACCAATTACCAGTCTCAGAATATTGTGTATCATCATTGCCCTTAGGTTATTTATTGATCTAAATGCTATTTAAAGACATTATTTATTGATGTTGAAAGTGTTGATTTTGATGGTAAATGTTCTCGAATCATGAATAATATAAAGGATAAAGGTATCAACCTATGGCAGACAAATTAACGAAAAACTTGATTTTATTTTTGAAATTGAGATTTTTTTTAAATTGGCATTTATTTTGCTTCATAGCTATTTCACATTGCATTCAATGCAGAAATGTAAAGTTAAGCATTTAAACCTGTCCTTCTGTATTGGTTTTGTTGTCAGTTAAAAACAAACCTCATGGCTGGTCGTCATGGAGACCACAGATTTGTCGGAATGTGCCGATTGTTTTTCTGTCACAGCACACACACCCTCACGTGTAGTGTATATACATGTTATTGTTTGTTATCCTCCTAGTTCCGTGAGAATTTTGAAAATTGCCTCGTTACTTGTTACATCTTAATGTCTAAGACAGTACAATTCGTAGTCCAGAGTTCCATCCCTTGTGCATGCCAGTCATCTGACTATTTCTAGGCTAGTGGCTAAGCGTTCACTTGACACGCAAAAATCCAGGTTTGATTCCCCCACGGGTACAATGTGTGAAGACCATTTCTGGTGTCCCTGCAGTGATATTGCTAAAAGCGGCGTAAAACCAAACTCACTCTAATGGCCCCTGCACTGATATGGCCGAAATGTTGCAAACAGCAGCATTGAAAAAACCAACATTTCCTTAATATGAAGACATAAATGTGTCTGTAGCAGAACTCTGAGTATTCCCGCTGTCTGGTGCATGTAGAGTATCACCTAGGTAATCATTATCACATGGCGCTGGATCACAGATCCTTCACTGTATGTTTATATATCACACCAGATAGTGTAGAAGTTTGAAAATTAGTGTTCACCAATATTTTTTTATTACTTTTATTTTGTAAATCACAACTTTATACGTTGGAAGATTCCTGAAAACTTACTGGTATTAATTAAACAGTTCATGTAACATCATAAAATATTAGAATCATAGAAATATTTTAAGTTAACTAATTTTGTTTCAGTACATTTTGCACGACTTATAACTACCTGTTATATCGGTGATGGTGATTAACTAAGAAACATACGTTTATTACACGTTACCCGTGCCATGCAACACGTGTTATATGCAGACCTGTATTCATGTTCATCCATCCTGAAAGTCTATAACGAATATATTCATGAATTCTAAATTGTATGTTTATTTCATTAAAAATTGAATTACCATTAGCTTGGTACATGTATTTCATAAATTACCCTTGGAAGAATATGCTTTGGAAATATGACACATGAGTGTAATTTTATTTTTAATGAATCAGTAATGGGAATTTAGAATATAAATTGATTGAAATTCTGTGTTTCCAGTGGTGAGCATTAGTACCATCTGGCCAGTAGATGTCATGTATAGTAACTATTACATATCTGCAATTCTAATGAACATCTAATAGTTTCTGCATTAAGTTAATGTATAGATATAATCATTTCTTGAGATGTTTGAAACTGTGTAGCTTCAAGTCAATCCATATGTGTCTGACCCACTAATATTTTTTGTTTCCAGACGTACGTATGTATGCCGAAGATGAACATTTCCGCAGCAGAATCAACGCGTACATCCAGGACAACATCTGTGCCATCACTAGCAACAAACGCTTCTTTGGGTTGCCAAGGATACAGCTTGAGATTATTGGTAAGAATTGGTCTGAGAAGAATCTTTTCAAGATGGGAAGGGTTATTAAGGACAATAGTTCCACTGGTAATGGTAGGACCTATATTGATTCAGGGATTTATCCAGACTTACTCTGAGACTCTCCTGGGGGGGGTTGTGTGTGTTAGCCTAGTGTTAAAGCGTTCGCTCGTCACGCTGAAGGCCCAGGTTTGATTCCCCACATGGGTACAATGTGTGAAGCCCATTTGTGGAGGCCCCTAATGACGTCTGCTGTAAAAGGATGGTATTCATTGCTTGAGATGATCCCTGTGTTGAATTAGTTGAATAGGTCACCAGCGACCCCTACTGCCCTTGAGATGGATCAGGTTTTCAGACTCGGTGCCTTGCTTGGTAGCATGTCCCTGTACAAACCTCATGGATTGCCATTATCAATTGATTGGACGCTTGAACATCTGGGTTGATCTTCAGTGACCCATGCTTGTTGTAACAGATGACTAACGGGATCGGGTGGTGGTCAGGCTTGCTGACTTGGTTGACACATGTCATCATATCCCCATTGTGTAGATCGATGACCATGCTGTTGATCACTGGATTGTCAGGTCCAGACTCGATTATTGAAAGAACGCCGCCATATAGCGTAAAACTAAACACGCCATTATCGATTGTCAGTTTGTCAAGTCCAGACTCAATTATTTATCAGCCATGTAGAGGGATCAGAATTTTCAGCTGATCCGCAGAATTCTGGTAATTTCATAAGGCCAAGGGTAATTTTCGTGAATCGTCTAAATCTGTTGACATTATATGAATGTGCTTCAGCAGATTTAAAGTTTAATGGTTGCTGTGTTCATGATATTGTCATTTCTGAGCCAGTTTTAAAGGTCTAAATTGCCTAAATATCAGGAGCTTCAGCTAGTTTTCAGTTTTTCTCACAACTTCATTCTCATCCCTGCATGTGGGGTAGCCTCATGGTTAAAGCGTTGGCTCGTCGCGCCGAAGACCCGGGTTCGAATCCCCACATGGGCACAATGTGTGAAGCCCATTTCTGGTGTCCCCCGCCGTGATGTTGCTGGAATATTGCTTAAAGCAGCGTAAAAGCAAACTCAGTCAGTCAGTCATCCCTGCATGTAGCTGGATTATAACTGAGTGAAATGTTATTAACAAACAACAAGTCTTGGAGAGTGAATGCTGACTACATGCCAGTTTGTTTGTTTCAGGTACGGACGAATCATTCTTCACATACTGCAATGAGAAACAGTTGTTTGACCTTGCCCTTGACTGGGTCAAGGCAAGTGTGGATGAAGTCAAACCGAAGTTTGATCGCTTGATAGAAAAGGTATGTATATTTTCAATTTTTATTAATATGTGTTTATGTATTATATTTGCTGTTTATTGTTCAACTCTCTGTCTTTACTAATCAGCTTGTGTACGTAGGGACTTTGTTCGATAGAAAAGCAGGAGCATTTCAGAATGTGGCCTTCATACCAGTAACTGTTACATTCAAACTGTTACATTTAATATATCAAAGTTTCAAAATGTTATGGTTCACTCTTTAGCACTTTTAAATAGACGAAGCATTTTTAGAAAGTGAACTATTTTAAAAAGAACATCTGTACAGCAACAGAAAAGGGCCCATTTGAAATATTTCTGATTTTCGGATTACGTAAGATTGATTATGAGCATCACCGAGTTTCCTCTATATGTAGCAGGTGAAGTAAGCGCCAAGTTGCCATGGCGACCGCTTTGGGTTCGTGAGTATATTTCATCTTCATTTTTTCATATCACACCTTGGCTATGCCGTTTGAGGTTGGTTTGTCATGGTCTAGCATTCTGTTTGCAGGTGAACGTTCTGTATCTGTGTGCGGACAACGTCCTCCGAGACTGCAAGGACATTGACGATGAAATTTTTCGTCAGGACATGACAGTACAGGACTACAAGAAACTAATGAGAAAACAGGTTGGTGTGAACATGGAATCACTGTGGTTGTATCCATCTTCTATGTGATCAATAGAGTTAACCATTGGATAAACGTTATGAGGTTTCATGCATAGGAGTAAAATGTACAGATGCTATAATGATCTGTGATATTTCATGAGTTAGTGACTGAGTTTAGTTTTACGCTGCACTCAGCAATATTCCAGCTATATGGCGGCGGTCTATAAATAATCGAGTCTGGACCAGACAATCCAGTGATCAACAGCATGAGCATCGATCTGCGCAACTGGGAACCGATGACATGTGTCAACCAAGTCAGCAAGCCTGACCACCCGATCACGTTAGTCGCCTCTTCGACAAGCAAGGGTTACTGAAGATCAAGATTCTAATCCGGTCTTCACGGGTTTATATTTCATAAAGTCACTGAAGATCCCTTTACCTGTGGACCTGTGAAGATCTGGGTTGGATTTGATCTTCAGTAACCCATGCTTGTCATAAGAAGCGACTAGCGAAATTGGGTCTGTAAATAATCGAGTCTGGACCAGACAATCCAGTGATTAATATATCATGAGCATCGATATACACAATTGGGATGCGATGACATGTGTCAACCAAGTCAGCTAGCCTGACCACTCGATCCCCGTTAGTCACCTCTTATGACAAGCATGGGTTACTGAAGACCAATTCTAACCCAGATCTTCACGGGTCTCAAAGTGTCTGTATTGATACATATGTTTATGAATGTTGTTTTGATGGGAGCACCAAGTTAGTCTTCAGTGTCTTTATTTGCTGTGTGGAATTGGCCTACTCTTGCCTCCATTTACTGTATTGTGATGTTTAATTGCTTGCAGAGTGGTATCGATGAGTCCAGGATTCAGTCCTCGTCAAATGGGAAACAACAGCAACCCTTCCACAAGTTCAATATTGAACCCGAAATGCCGAAAAATCACCGCGAGTGGTCAGTGGTAGCTGGACACATGACGAAAGGTATTGCCATGACAAATGATCACTTGCTTTCATCTAAAACAACATTGACACACTGCATCCTCACTTGTTAGTTGTTCCTGTCGGGGGGCGGTGGGGTAGTCTAGTGGTTAAAGCATTTGCTCGTCAAGCAGAAGAACCCAGTTCGCTTAGACACATAATATCAGATTCTAAAAAAAAACAACCCCACAGAATATGAAAATAAGTTACCTCTAACTGAACACAGCTGTGAAAAGCTGCAATACTGCTGATGTGGTTTAAAGCCGCATTTATTCAATCACTCACTGATAACAACCGCCTCCATGGTGTAGTGGTTAGAGCGTCCACCTGGAGAGCGGAAGGTTGCGGTTCGATCCCCGACCGTGTCATACCAAAAGAAGTTAAAATATGGTACTTGTCGGTCCCTGCCTGGCGCTCGGCATTAATGGGTACAACAAGGACTAGTCGGAAGGACAAGTCGGCTCGGAGTCAGTATAATGTGTCTGAGTGGGGTATTCATGCTTCACTGCGGCATGGTATCTCAGTGAGCTAGCACTATAAAACCAGCTTCAGTCTGGGCTAGTACAAGCAGCCATACATACACATACACACGCATGCATGTCGTCATATGAGCGAAATATTCTCAAGCACAACGTTAAACCCAATTTCACATCACGTTACTGATAACTACAGATGAACTACAGGAATAAGAGTAGAGTCAGATGATCCTGAACTTCTTGGAGTAATTATAAAATAAGTTAACTCTCAATGAACTCTACATAGGAACTACAGTAAAAGGGATAAAACCAGAAGATCCCTAATTTCGTTGAGTAGTATATGAGTGAAACTTGTGTTCCAGAGCACACGTTCCTGTGTATGGTGATGTTGGGCAGCGAGATGGTGACTCTCTCCATCCACTTCCGCATGCCACAGTCCAGTCCGTACAGCAGCAGCTCCGAGGGGCCTGACTCCCCCATCCACAGCAAGAGCAGGACCAACTCCTTCGACCGCCTTGGACCCCATGCTATACTGGCCACCATGAGCACCCCCAGGTGTGCCTTCGGGATCCGGGCCGTCAAGGGGAAGATCGTGGCATGTGGTGAGTGTGTCTCTACTTGTATGGTTAGATGAGCATGTGGGGTAGCCTAGTGGTTAAAGCAGTTTGCTCATCACTGTGGTGAGTGATTGTACTGGCAAACAAGGATAAGTTGGACCGGCACAGAGAACGCATTTACGAGAAGTAGGCAGTGCATAGCAATGAGCAAACCCATTTGGTTTGTGAAAGGTAGCGCAGATGTAGGCTAGTGCATGTGCATTGCATGACGATGAAATTGATTCTGCACATAGCTGCACACGCCTTGTTCATAAGACTCTCAGTCGGTGTAGCAAGTCGCAATACACTTGATCGCGGACAACCTGGGTCACCTTCGCTAACAATGGCAAGCGCCAGTGGGTGGCACTCATACATGCTAATACGGGTCAATTGTCAGGTCGGTGCTCAACTTATCCTTGTTTGCCAGTGGTTGTATGGTTAGAGGAGAGTGCAGGGTAGCCTTGTGGTTAAAGCGTACACTCATCACGCCGAAGACCCGGGTTTGATTGTCTACATGAGTACAATGTGTGAAACACATTACTGGTGCCCCCACCGTGATGTTGCTGGAATATTGCTAAAAGCAGCGTAAAACCATACTCGGTCAATCTGTTGTATTGTTAGAACACCTGTGGTGATTCTTGGACTGAAGTGGGTACGCATGCATGTCTCGCTGTTGACATCTTATAGTACAATAAATCCCCATTACACATACGGTTCTTCCTGTAGGGATTTCCGGTTTAAGTTTGGTTGAAACACTGAGTAGTTGCAGTGTCTCATCTGGCTGATATTGTGTTTTGAACCTTGACGAATTATATTATTGATGTAATTATCACCCACAACGCGTTTTGCGCGGGGGTATTAAAATGGAGTCCGTCCATCCTTCGTCCGTCTGTGTGCACATTTGTCTTTTCTGGAGCAGAACTCTAAAACCGTTCACTATTTCTTCACCAAACTTGGCACATAGATAGATCTGGTGGTGTACTGGTTCCTTTTGTAGTTTTGGAATTCTGAATAAAATATTTTTGGCTTTTCCGTGGCAACAAGTTTGACTTAGCCTGAAATTGGTGATAGTGCTCCTTTCTGGAGCAGAACATTAAAAACCTTTCAATACTCTCCTTCCACTTTTCTATATACGCACCTAAATATTTGACATTATCATAACTCGTAGACATAATCATGAAGAGTATTTTGCCATTGTGGGGGATATTGATGACTTTGTCTTCTTGTTGTGTAGTCATGGCATTGTGTATTCATACATCAATGACCCGTGAAGGTCCGGGTTAGAATATTAGCCTTCAGTAACCCATGCTTGTCGCAAGAGGCTACTAACGGGATCGGGTGGTCAGGCTTGCTGACTTGGTTGACACATGTCATCGGTTCCCAGTTGCGCAGATCGATGCTCATGCTGTTGAGCATTGGATTGTCTGGTCCAGACTTGATTTACACACCACCGCCATATAGCTGGAATATTGCTGAGTGCTGCGTAAAACTAAACTCACTCACTCACTCACTCATACATCAATGATCATGTTAGGAACCTCTGAATCGGTTATGTACAGGCTGCCTGATATATCCAAAATATTGCTGACAGTACTACCCTAGAAATACCCACAGTCGACAGACCATAAAACAGGTACCATGTGAACTCCAACTGTCAGTATCTCTGTGTAAGGAAAGTGATAGGGTCAAAATCTGTGTTGCATGACATAGGTCATGATAAGGTCAAATTCTTTGTTCAGGGACATAAGTAAGTGATAATGTCAAAGTCTCTATTGAAGGACGCAAGTTAATGATAAGCTCAAAATCCTTGTTGAAGGACGTGAGTCACTGATAAGGCCAACAGTAGAATGTCTGTTTCTGGTTTCCCTAATCCAGAATCCAGAGGCCTGGAGTCACTGAACATCTTTTCTTGTTTTTTTCCTCACTAGGGGTGACTATTGAGTGGAAAACAACTATTGCGATAGCGATAGTCTATTGCAACATACTATTGCGTCCAACTGTTGCAATAGTTTTTTTCTCCTTGAATTTTCTCATTTGAAGTCATTTCCCAAATGAATGTATAGTTTATTTGAAATAAAAACAAGTTGAAGTAGTTTCAGTCTCTTTTAATAACTGATAAGGAACTTGAAACCCAGATCAAGTAAACAGTAAACACATAAACTAAATGAAGCTGCAAGTCTGCACCCACACATTGTTTATTTTGCGCTGTGCCTTTATCAACGGAAGTCAATTACTAAACTATCGATAGTCTGTGTTACACATACTATCGATGCATTGATATTTTTTCATTTCTACCCTAGATTAATTGCTATCGGAGACTCAACAATTATCCATCGATAGTGCATTGCATCATTACAGCCCAATTCCTCACCATCCCCGTGTTGTCCAATTGTGCCACGAGTAGAAATTTGTTGTGCTTCACAGAGGATTCTACTCACATCTTGCTCAGCATTCAAAATAACCGCCGGCACCGAGGCCCAGCGCCGGTTGTTATTGTATCGGGCCAACAGTTTCAAATATTTCCAGGCCCTTGTGGCCTTCAGTAAATTACCTGTCAGGGTTTCTATTCGACTGGAATCTTTCCCATATTTTTCTTTTTAACGTTCGGGAATCATCCATGATCCATCATGTTACAATAACGTACAGTTTCACTTCCTGGTATTTCAGCAATTTGTGCGTAGGAATGTCAACACCAGTCTTTAACAAATAAAAACTTCGCTGTGTGTCATATAGGCTTTGCTAATTGATTTTGTAGTGTGACTTTAACAAAATGGGCCTGCAGATTTCATTCAGGGCCTGTCGATTTTAAAGCCTGCAGGCGGCAGCAGGCCCTGATGGCCAACTGGCAAATTAAAGTATTGCAAACACTGATCCTGCATCAAACAATAAAAGAGCACACCTCAATATCTCTGACCCATCACACGCTGAAAAAGAAAGCAAAAGTATTTCTTTTTGGCCTAAGACATACATTGGCAATGACTAAAGAATGAGATGAATCTGTATTGTGTTGCAGGAGGGTATGATCGGGGCGAAGTGATGAAGTCAGCTGAGATCTATGACCCTGAGACCAATGCCTGGAGAAAGCTGCCCCCCATGAGACAAGCTCGGGGTAGATTCACAGCTGCTCACCTTGACGGAAAACTGTACGCCATTGGTGGATCGGACGGACACAATGAACTGTCAGCAGTCGAGTGCTTTGACCCAGAGACGGAGACGTGGAGCAATGTGGCCAGTGTACACGAGGCTCGAGCTTCACCAGGTAACAATCTCTCTTTCATTGACGTTCTGAAGTTGATATGATGAACAACGGAGATAATGCGGTTGTAAACTACTGCTTTACTCCTACAATGTTTCAGTGTAGATACTAACACTGCTAGCTAGCAACTGCAACATCGCACTCATTGTAAGAGAGGTTGTACTTCCATGTGAATTCCCTCCCTTGTTCAGACCGCCTCCGTGTTGTAGTGGTTAGAGTGTCCGCCCAGAGAGTGGAAGGTAGCGGGTTCAAACACCGGTTGCATCATACCAAACAACGTAAAGATATGGTACTTGTTGGTCCCTGCCTGGTGCTCGGCATTAATGGGTACAACAAGGACTGGTCGCTCGGAGTCAGTATAATGTGTCTGAGTGAGTGGGTATTCATGCTTAACTGCGGCATGGTATCCCAGTGAGCTAGCACTATAAAACCAGCTTAAGTCAGGGCTAGTACAAGCAGCCACACATACACACGAATGTATGTCGTCATATGAGCGAAATATTCTTAAGTACGACATTAAACCACATTTCACCTCACCTCACCTCACCTCACCTCACCCTTGTTCGGGTCAAGTTCACAGGGATTGTTGAGATATTTGTGATAGACTTTTTAGGGGGAACATTTTTAAACTGGTCTGAGAAGCTGAATAGATCCCAGGCTTGTCACAGATTTTGACTGATGTTTTAGAGTTTGTCCAAGCTTGGGCAATCAGATAGCTCCCTTCTTGAACATTACGTCAAGTGTTTTTGCCTTTGATATGAAGGTTGCACCTGTATGGGGGACCACTTCACATAGATCTATTGTTTTATGTTGTGATGTTGTTTTCAGGGGTAGCTGTACTGAAGGGAAAGATCTACTGCGTTGGCGGTAGCTTTGGACAAAATAGCCTGCGCAACTGTGAGGTGTACGACCCTGCAACCAATATCTGGTCTCGTATCGCATCACTCAATTCAGGTGAATACCAGGAAGAACTACAATCCTTTTTAAACCCAGTTTGGTAGATACAGTAGTTAAACCCTGGCTAATTGATACAGTAATTAAACCCAGTTTGGTAGATACAGTAGTTAAACCCTGGCTAATTGATACAGTAATTAAACCCAGTTTGGTAGATACAGTAGTTAAACCCTGGCTAATTGATACAGTAATTAAACCCAGTTTGGTAGATACAGTAGTTAAACCCTGGCTAATTGATACAGTAATTAAACCCAGTTTGGTAGATACACTAGTTAAACCCTGGTTATCACCTGCAACGCGTTTTGCGGGGGGTATTAAAATGGACTCCGTCCGTCCGTCCTTCCGTGCACATTTGTCTTTTCCGGAGCAGAACTCTAAAACCGTTCAATATTTCTTGACCAAACTTGGCACATAGATAGATCTGGTGGAGTACTGGTGCCTTTTGGTAGTTTTGGAATTCTGAATAAAACATTTTTGGCTTTTCCATTGCAACAAGTTCGACTTAGAATGAAATTAGTGGTAGTGCTCTTTTCCGGAGCAGAACTCTAAAACCTTTCACTATTTCTTCACCAAACTTGGCACATAGATAGATCTGGTGGTGTACTGGTTCCTTTTTGGTAGTTTTGGAATTCTGAATAAAATATTTTTGGCATTTCCATGGCAACAAGTTTGACATAGACTGAAATTGGTGATAGTGCTCCTTTCTGGAGCAGAACTTTAAAACCTTTCAATACTCTCCTTCCACTTTTCTATATACACACCTAAATATTTGACATAACCATAACTCGTAGACATAATCATGAAGAGTATTTTGCCATTGTGGGGATATTGATGACTTTGTCTTCTTGTTGGTTGTTAAAATAATTAAACCCTGGTTGGTAAATACAATAGTTGAAATCTGGTTGGTAAATACAATAGTTAAACCCTGGTTGGTAAATACAGTAGTTAAACCGTGGTTGGTAAATACAATAGTTAAAATCTGGTTGGTAAATACAATAGTTAAATCCTGGTTGGTAATTACAGTAAATAAACCCTGGTTGGTAAATACAGTAGTTAAACCCTGGTTGGTAAATACAGTAGTTAAACCCTGGTTGGTAAATACAGTAATTAAACCCTGGTTGGTAAATACAGTAGTTAAACCCCTGTTGGTAAATACAGTAGTTAAACCATAGTGGGATGATACTTTAGTTAAACCATGGTGGGTAGATACCAAAGTCAAAGGAGGATAGACTTTGGTGGGTAGATCTGTGGCTAGAATCTGGTAGGTGAATACTTCAGTGATCACCTCTTGTGAATGGTGGCTAGATCCCATGAAAGAAGATTGACACATTGTTTCTTCATGAGGCACAAGTTTGTGTAAAGTTTGTAATAATGTTTTCGTCTGGCATTACCAGGGAGGTTCCAGGCCTGTGTCAGAGCCTTCAAGAACCGACTGTATGCCGTGGGTGGCACTGATGGCTGGAATGTCTTTAACACGGTGGAGGTATATAACCCAGACAAGGATGTGTGGGAATACGGCCCTTCCCTCAACGTGGCAAGACGTGGTGCTGGCATCGAGGCCTTTAATGGTAAGTCAGACAGTGGGGCTGCTGGAATCACCAGTTTTACAGGGAAGATAGTCTTACAGATGGTCAGTTCCTGTATGGGACTGAAAAATATTTTTGTAAATTTAAGCAGAAGTTCTTGCTCACAGTAAAGATTCAGATGTGTGCATTTATACATTAGAAGCAATCAAGTAGCTATTCATTCACAATCATCTGAGAGGGGCGGTTTGGTAGCCTCGTGGTTAAAGTTTTTGCTCGTCAGGCCGAAAGCACGGGTTTGATTCCTCACATGGGTACATTTAGTGAAGCCCATTTCTGGTGTCCCCGCCATGATATTGCTGGAATATTGCTAATAGTGGAGTAAAACACCAACTCAAACACGTAATCATCCAAGATCTTCGTTGAAGTTTCACTAGCACTAGTTCAAGAATATATTACACAAAATCACGTTCTAGTTGATGGTGATTTTAACTTCTTATGTGTTTCCAGGGAAGCTGTACATTGTCGGGGGCAGTGACGGAACACAGTCTCTGAAGACAACCGAGGCATTTGATCCTAGGGAACAACAGTGGACTTTCAACCCTGCCCTCAACACTCCCCGAGCTAACGTTGGTGCCGCAATCATTGACAACAGGTTGTTTGCTGTGGGAGGGTTCAGTGGCAAGCATTTCCTTGACAACATGGAATACTTTGACGAAGAACACCATGAGTGGAGCATCTTCGAACCATTCTCACAGTCACGGTCAAGGTCAATGTCAAACGCAAGTGACAGTTCAGGCAACAGTCTGTGTAATGGCAACAATGGCACAAATTGTGCAATTGAGGACACTAATGGCGCCAATGGTGTGCCAAAGGGCTTTAAAGAGCAACCATGTGGCCCAGCTACCGTCAATGGTCATTAGCTGTTGGCAAAGCCTCCCGGCTAAAGATTGGGGGAGAAAATGAATATTTTTGTGAACATATTTCATATCCTTGAAATTTGTGGTATATTTTGTCATTTCAGGTATATTTATTCAAATGCCTTTTTTTTAAGAAGCACTAATGAAGTCAGTTATGGAACCGTTATTCAACCTAAATGCGTATTTGAAGACTTCAGAAGGTGTGATAGATAGGTTTAGGTTGGAAGGTTATTTTCTATGAACAAGTAGTACCCTGCCTATACTACCCAATGTGGGACCATTTTCTGTTGTCGGCAGGATTAACATCCATGTAACAAATTTGGACAGTTTTCAGATAATTACAGGCACATGTGGACATTCTTCAGATAGTGGCAGGCTTGGACATTCTTCAGATAGTGGCAGGCTTGGACATTCTTCAGATAGTGGCAGACTTGGACATTCTTCAAATAGATCAAATCTGCACATTCTTCAGATGGAGGAACGTAGTGTATATTAACTTGGGAAGTAACGATGATGAAATCTCATTCAGAAAGTATTATCAAGTGAGACAATATTTTTGTAAAAATGGTTTTGATGGAAAGTCAGTCAAGAGTCTGATGGTCAAAATTTATTACACATTGTATGTATGAGGTGGTACAGCAGTCACTTGTGTCTCACGTCCAAGCTAAGATCCTGAGTTCAAATCCCATAATTAAAGATATTTCTTGGTTTGTCTTCACCATACCTGTGCTTGTGAGTTTCACCTTCTCTTCTGGCTTTCCTTTCACATCAAGGAGACACACCATGATGTCAATGTTCAAAGTGGTGTTAAAGTGGTATTAAACTCACTCACTCACTCACTCACTCACTCACTCACTCACTCAGTACAGTGTAGTCCTATTTCAGCTGGAGAAGCCAGCAAGACGCCATAGTAAACCCTGCAGTGCCAACATAACCACCATTACGTTTCTATCGGAAGAATTATGATAGTTTAAACCAAGTTCCACCAATATGATTAAGTGAAATATGTTGCATATCTTGTTGAAAATACATTGTCTGTAATGAACACCATGGGATCTATCAAAACTTTGAGCCTTTCAATTGCAAATATGGGGAAAATTTGTCATATTAAGACTTGGGTTAATTTACTGATCTTCTTTTTTGTAATTTCAGAATTTTCTTTCGAAATTGGGAATGTTTATGGGAAATTCTAATTGTTATTTGCCACAAATTTAGGGAGGGTGAACAGCCCTAGATAAATTCTTGAAAACGGGACCCCAAATACTAGAGTAATTTCTAACTTCCTAAATATTATGCTAGTATCTGTTTGATGCCGCTTGTCATGATCGGCTCCACTGGCTTAACCAGTTTCCACCATTTCCAGAAAACTGTTTTGATGTAAGCATACTTGGTAAGCGACCACAGATTAAAATCAGCTTGAATTTGTATGAAAAACATACATGTATAATATTCACTTTCTTGTCAAATGTTTGGCAAAGTTGTATGCAAAGTTTAGCAAAGGAAGGACTTTAGTGTTGTTTAATGTCTATCTTTTCTCACAAATCATGGCTTAGAATTGTAACTGCTCAAATAAAATTAAGGTTATTTTCATATTTATCAATTGAGAGCATTTATATCTGTGTGGCATATGATTTTCATCATTTATATGTAGATTGCGTGTAAACGAACTCATTTGTAAATATGTGTGCTGTGAATCAAGTTATTTTTCCTGAACAAATGTCTGTTAAAGACAAGATATCCTTTGTGAATTAATCATGAACTTCACAACTCATGACCTTCAGTTATCGGTTTTACCCGTTACCTTGTTACCTCAGTTGATGCAGGCAAACAGAACTGGAAAGTCCTTCTTCGGGAATGAACACCATTGTTCTGCCTAGGTCATAGAGCACAGGTGGTCTTGGTGGTGCAAGGGTCTGATGAGTGTTGGTTCGAATCTCAGATTCACCCATATAATGAGTCGTCGGTCACTCAATTTACTAAAGTGGTGGACATCTTCAATTTGCATTATAATCATACCTGTGAGTTTTAACCAAACTGGCCCCGATTTCTTGAAACAAACTTAAGTCTGAGTTTTGACTTAAGTTAGAGTTTTTACTCAAATTTGAGAAAAAGCATTTCCCAAAATGAACTGAAATGGATATTAAACTCAAACATAGCAGACAATTTGAGTTTGGTGAATAGAATACTTAGGTAGTTTGGGCTTTTTTATTTTTAAAATGCTGCTGAGTTAATAATTCAGCTGTTTCAAATTGTTAAACTCAGTTTGAAATTTTGAGTAAAAACTTAAGTTTGTTTCGAGAAATCGGGAACTGGTTCTCATCTTCTTGATGGTCAGGTTTGGCTTCATGACTTTAAGATGACCAGTAACTGTATGTGTTTGAGGTAGTATTGAGCCAGCCTCCCCTCGGCATTAGGTCAAATTGTTTTCATATCTTTTTTTTTGAAGATTTGAAGCTTCCTTTGAGTAAGTGATGAATTTAGTCAAGTGTATTGTGTTAGGTGTACAGAGCTTTAATGTCAGCAGCATAGTAAATACTAGTCATAAAAAAAATAGAAAAATCTTGTCTTGTGTATATTATTTTGTATTTGCTGATTGGGGTCTAGCTGGTATATATTTCTTGGTTTAGTGTTAAACTACTTAAATTTCTGTTAGCAACATCAGTGTTTAAGTGCTTTAAATTCTCTAACCAAGGTGAAGGTCACGTCATCAGTCAATGATTACATATCTGAAACCAGCTGTCTTTACTCTCTTTACGTTATCACTACCTTACTGATAGGGATGCAAGTCTTGCTCACAGCTGGGCGGTGGGGTAGCCTAATGGTTAAAGCATCCGCTCATCACGCCGAAGACCCGGGTTCGAATCCCCACATGGGCACAATGTGTGAAGCCCATTTCTGGTGTCGCCCGCCGTGATGTTGCTGGAATATTGCTAAAAGCAGCATAAAACCAAACTCAGTCAGTCAGTCTTTACGTTATCACTACCTTACTGATAGGTATGCAAGTCTTGCTCACAGCATCGCGGTGGGGTAGCCTAATGGTTAAAGCATCCGCTCATCACGCCGAAGACCCGGGTTCGATTCCCCACATTGGTACAATGTGTGTCAGGTGTAATATTGCTGGAATATTGCTAAGAGCTGCTTAAAGCTAAACTCACTCATTATTTTTAAATTGAATTCACTAGTTATTGACAGTGTTTCAGCAAATTAAGGATTTTCATTGCGAAAGGATGTTTATATGTAAGCTTTTCATGAATTTTATTTTGTGCCTTTTTCGTGTTCAATCTTGTCATTTTCTGAACGAGTCGGTCGCACAAACTACACATGAATCAGTCAGTGTGTCGAAAGGAATGTTGTTTCTTCATAGAAAGAAGTCAAATTGAAATATATGTTCAGATGTTTGCTTTGTATCATGTCATTCTCACATAAATTGGAGGCCTCTGTGCCTATAGCACTACAATTGTCAGGGCGGTAGGGTAGCCTAGTGGTTAAAGCATTTGCTTGTCACACTGAAGACCCAGGTTCGATTCCCCACATGGGCACACTGTGTGAAGCCCATTTCTGGTGTCCCCTGCCGCGATATTGCTGGAATATTGCTAAAAGCGGCGTAAAACTCAACTCACAAGAGTCCATTGAACAGCACAGTAATACTCACTCAATAACATATTGTCAGACGTTATTTGTCATCCTGGTAAAAATTTATCATTTCTTCATCTTGCTTTGGTCATATCCCTGTGTCAATTCGGGCTTCTCCCCACATTAAACTGAAAACTATCCAAAAGCGATGTTTCACTCACTCACCCAACATGGTCAGCGCCAGATATTGCCATTATATCATCTCCACATGTAATCATTTCATCTTTTGGGGAAGCAGACGGCAGTGTGTGTGTGTGTGGAGCTGTTTGTCATTGGTTAGGGAAACATTTTCTACATATTTTCTTAAAAACATCCAAATGACATGCATGGGATAATTGTGTAATTATTTGAAACTAAATTGTTCCTATAATTGAATAAATAGTGTACAATACCATTTATTTTCTCCAGTATTGTTTTGCTTGTCATATTGATAATGCGTGTTATGTACAAAAATTGTGTGTCTACCTAACTCTATGAGCTTTATTTTATGTATATCGAAGAAATTGTTTATAATGTGTGATCTCATGTATTTTAAAATTTGGCTGGAAATGAGAAAAAAAGTATCAAATATCAGCACAAGATTCTTCTCCACATAATAAGATCGATATTCAAGATTTTCATAAATGTTTGTAAGAAATCAGATTGTGCTGAGAACAAATGTGAAATATATATACCATTTTCGATTATCCAGTGCATCATATCTCGTCTACAATGATATGTTTCTAGTGGAAACATTCTCTACCTTAGCTTTGAAGTGATTTCACCAGCTCTGTATTCACAAATTTTGCACAGGATTTGTCTATCAACATCTGTGAAAAATGAATGTTTTCATCGAAAATTCTCATTCAAAAGCAAAGATTAATGATGATAGAAGTGAAAAATGTGTTTCCTGGAGCCGCGTTTCACAAAGCAATCGTGAGCGTTACAAGTCTCATATCTCCTATACCTTAACATAGAGTTAAGACTGTCCTAGTGCTAGGATCGCTTTGTGAAACAGGACCCTGGAGTTTCCCGACACAAATACAACCAAAGTCAGTGAGTACTGGCAAAATCTCGTTCTAATTGCTTGTTTTATCATGACCAGTGTACTTTGGTTTGGGCCTTGTATTTTGAGTGTAATGTCATTTGAAGCAGACTGGTGATGTGCTGGGTGGGTCAGGGTGTATAAGAGATGTAATTCCCTGGACAACCGAAAATGATGCTGTACATAGATCTGGATGAAGTCGTGACCTTTTGCGAACATGATCAGGGTCCTTTAAGCTCATCTGAGTAGTGAGAAATGAATTGTACATTCACAGATCAATTGTTCTGTTATGGCAACCGAATAAGATTTGTCAGAAGGAATCTGGAAAGTTCATGTCCGAGGTTGTGCAAATTATTGTATGATTTGCAATCAACAGGGTACACATGTTGCTAGGGTTACGTCCATGCAATAAACAACTGGTCTGTGATCAGTAAATGTAGTCTGGAGTTGGTTGTTATTCCAGGACATGGAAGAGATCAGTAAATGTCTGTTGAATGCAGCACTCGCAAGACCAGAAAATTTATGGATATGGGCCCCGTTTCACGAAGCTCTCGTAAGCCTAAGTTCTCGTAACTTTTCTCGTAGCGTCGTACCTCATATGTTACAGTAATGGAGGTACGAATGCTACGAGGAAAGTTACGAGAACTTAGGCTTACGAGAGCTTTGTGAAACGGGGCCCTGATGTGTGTAAGCATGAAACCAGTCCGCAAGCTTGACACGTCAATCTCGTTTATCGCCTTACGGCAAGCATGGACTGCTGAGGATCAGTTCTGACTTGTTTCTTCAATGACACAGCATAAATTAAATCAGCAAGTATAAAAAGACAAAAGGGAGTAATCACAATTTTATTGTGTCCACATTAATATATATTTACACATTTCATCAATGCTCTCATGTAAAGTAATTCATTGTTTTGCTTCCAAATGAACAAGTAATTCTGACTGAAGTGACATGTTTATTTAACTGGGATTTTACATTCGGACCTCACAAAATTTGGCAAAGGATGATTTTTTAGAACAGCATACATTTAATAAAACCAGCTTGCATCTCAGGACATGGTTTTGTTCATGGTAATTACATTCCCTGACACGCACGCACCTTGAATATATGAAGAACGATGACTTTGAAATCCTGTTCTAGAAAGTGTTTCTTGTCCTATCTCCTCCTTTGAAGCCCTATTTTGTTCTCTAGAATCCTTGCATCCCTCATCAGTTGACCAGTATCTTGTATCCCATGGAACCTCGGCATAAAGGATCTCAACTTTCCAGTGGCAAACTTTGTCATCTGGGAACTTTGTGAACAAAGTTGTGTAAACATACAACAATGCTGACAAGGCACAGTTACTGTTCACATGTTTGTTCACAACTTCGTTCTCATCATGGTGGTTCATGGACGAGGTTGTGTTGAAGTTTGACATTGCTGAGAAGTTCGCTGTTAACATGTTTCTCATCTGAGAACTTTGCTAACAAAGTCATTCACAAGCTTGAAGAAGGCCTGGTCCTGTGTGTTTGTGAACGCTGTCTGGGACACGGACCGACTGAGCTGTGAGGTGCTACTGGAGCCACCCTGAGGGCTAGCTTGTAGTGTCCCCGGGGACGTGGGGCCCCCACCCCCACGCCGCATGTACCGTAGCATGCTGGACAGGAAGGAGTTCTGAAACACACGAAAAAGGTTGACCATTACTAAATCTGCGTTACAACAGTTTCCTATCAACATGCCGATCATAAACAGGATGACCATTACTAAATCTGCGTTGCAACAGTTTCCTATCAACATGCCGATCATAAACAGGATGACCATTACTAAATCTGCGTTGCAACAGTTTCCTATCAACATGCCGATCATAAACAGGATGACCATTACTAAATCTGTGTTGCAACAGTTTCCTATCAACATGCCGATCATAAACAGGATGACCATTACTAAATCTGCGTTGCAACAGTTTCCTATCAACATGCCGATCATACACAGGATGACCATTACTAAATCTGTGTTGCAACAGTTTCCTATCAACATGCCGATCATAAACAGGATGACCATTACTAAATCTGTGTTGCAACAGTTTCCTATCAACATGCCGATCATACAGGATGACCATTACTAAATCTGTGTTGCAACAGTTTCCTATCAACATGCCGATCATACACAGGATGACCATTACTAAATCTGTGTTGCAACAGTTTCCTATCAACATGCCGATCATACACAGGATGACCATTACTAAATCTGCGTTGCAACAGTTTCCTATCAACATGCCGATCATAAACAGGATGACCATTACTAAATCTGCGTTTCAACAGTTTCCTATCAACATGCCAATCATAAACAGGATGACCATTACTAAATCTGTGTTGCAACAGTTTCCTATCAACATGCCGATCATACACAGGATGACCATTACTAAATCTGTGTTGCAACAGTTTCCTATCAACATGCCGATCATAAACAGGATGACCATTACTAAATCTGTGTTGCAACAGTTTCCTATCAACATGCCGATCATAAACAGGATGACCATTACTAAATCTGCGTTGCAATAGTTTCCTATCAACATGCCGATCATAAACAGGATGACCATTACTAAATCTGCGTTTCAACAGTTTCCTATCAACATGCCAATCATAAACAGGATGACCATTACTAAATCTGTGTTGCAACAGTTTCCTATCAACATGCCAATCATAAACAGGATGACCATTACTCAATCTGCGTTTCAACAGTTTCCTATCAACATGCCGATCATAAACAGGATGACCATTACTAAATCTGCGTTTCAACAGTTTCCTATCAACATGCCGATCATAAACAGGATGACCATTACTAAATCTGCGTTGCAACAGTTTCCTATCAACATGCCGATCATAAACAGGATGACCATTACTAAATCTGCGTTGCAACAGTTTCCTATCAACATGCCGATCATAAACAGGATGACCATTACTAAATCTGCGTTACAACAGTTTCCTATCAACCAGACATGGGGTAATTGTAATTTGTAATTGTAATTGAATGTAATTAATTACAAAAATCTATGTAACTGCATGTAATTTGTAATTGAATGTTTAAAATGTAATTTGTAATTTAATCAATTAAAATCTCAATGTAATTGAATTTTTCAATTACTTTTTCAATTACATCAAATTACATCTCACTTTTTTATTTTGGTGGTCATCAGGCAACCCTTGCAATTATATTCTGTACAATAAGGAGGACAAAGCAGTGTTTTTCAAAAAGATGCTTGTTGTTGGTATATACTCTAACAGGTGTTAAGTTTTGAAAGAGATTTGAATGTCTAAGGCACCATCTGCACATTTGTGAAACAAAGGGAATCAGTAAGGCATGACTGAATGTAGGTCGGTATTTGAGGAAATGGGGGATTAACAGTACTATTAGTCAAGTTCCTATCAAAATGGCCTCTTTGTTTATTTCTCATAGGATATGATATTCAAAATCTTACTGAACTGTAGTCATATTTTTATAATCATGAAAGGTAATAAGCTATAAATCCAAGTTGACAAATCCTTTAGTATGTTAATGTGGATTATGTCAGATAGAGAGACCGGCTGATTATATATTGTAATGTAGGCCTGTAATGATGTCATGATACAGCACACCTAAGGTAACAGTGGTGGACAAACAGTTTTTTTGCAACAAGAGATGATAGAGGTGTGTATTTGATAATAAGCCCAAAGAAATATGCAAAATACAAATTTGATCAAATATGTAATTTTTGAGTAAAATTGATATTTTATACTTATCCTGACTCATGCTCTTTTGCTTGTCTTCTTCTTCTTGCTAACATAGTGGAACACTTGTATCTCCCTAATTGAAGCTCCCTTCAATTTAAAAAATCACTAATTGGTACTCACCACGAGTTGCCTCCCTTGCCCCTTTGGCCGGGAACAGGTGTCGCCACCCTCTGGCCTCATGCTTCACTCTCTCCTGATTTTGCGAGCCCAACACTTGAATTTACAGGGAAATCCAAAGTGTTATGTGGGGAGGATGGGAGGGCTAACCTCATGAGTCAGGATAAGTATAAAATATCAATTTTACTCAAAAAATTACATATTTTTCCTTATCCTGACTCATGCTCTTTTGCTTGTAGAATCCTACGGAAACGGAGGTGGGCAAAACAGAATACTTTGGATTTATAGAATTAGTGATTTATATAGATTTAACTGTAATAACCCCTACGGAACTTCATAAAGGCATAGACTTAGGATAATTCCTCTATTATAAGCCATAGGTTATAATGCCATACTGGGGTATTTACATTAATAATATACTGAGATATTATAAACAACAATATCAAAGCGACTCTGATAGAGAAGCTATACCACTGAACATATATACATACTGCTAGAACTCCGTGAGAGTTATAAGCTAGATAATGCATGTAACAATTATGCATATAAATCTCGTGAAGACGGCGATGTTAACGTTTATTTAGGGACTGTCAACTGCTGTGCGAGGACCAAGGGACCGAAATGGTGAATGCCTGAGACGCCCTCGGTGGTGATATCTCTCAGGTAGTGATTAGCAAACACCATGTTAGATTTCCAAAAGCATCCTTCCATAATTGTATTCAAAGAACAGTTACCGTGTAAAGGCGAGTGGAAGCTAGCGCCCTGATTTCATGGGGATTTGATGCTGTTGGAGGGTCCAGTCCTGCTGCCTTGTAGGCTGCAAGTATGACAGTTCTTATCCATATAGATATGGTGGCACGAGACTTCTGTTTGAGTTGTTGCCGACAAGGGAATGAATAATCGCGTTTGAGAAATCTTAAGCCTTGTTTTGGAACGTCAGAAATAGATTTTGAGAGCTCTGACTGGGCATAGAGATAAGTCCAGTGTATCTTGAGATCCGAGAATGGAGGATAATGCAGGGATATGAAATAACCTGTCTGGTTGACCTGGTAGTTGATTTTTTGGCGATGAAATCCCATCTTAATCCCAGGTGTGCTGTGTTTTGATTGTCATCAAACTGTATCCTCTCATAATCTAGTGCTGAATTTCCGACATCCTGGCTGCTGTGGCTAGAGATAACAGGAAAAGCGTTTTCTGTGAGAGAAACTCAAAGTTTGTCGATTCCAGCGGTTCATAAGCCTCACTTGTGAGGTGTTGTAACACTATATTCAGATCCCAAGCTGGGGCGTGGAACTTCCGCTTTTGGTCCTCCAATCGGAAAGCCCGTAGTAAGGCCAGTAACTCTGGAGTTCTTGTTAATCTAACACCCGTTCTCATGGTAATGACAGAACTAAGCGGCAAGATATGTTGACAATGTCGAGCCTTTTAAATGTTTGTTTTGCCGTAAGTAACACAAATAATCTGCCACTTGTGGATGAGTAGCATCTCTTGCTGTAAATCCCTTATTTACTGCGTAATTCTCAAAACTGTGCCACTTGTCGTCGTACAAGTTACGTGTAGAATAGCGTAAGGCAAGCGTGACCGCTTTTGCCGCCCTGGTAGAATACCCTCTCTTGTTTAAACACATTTTAATACAATCCATACGTGAAGTTGGAATACTTCTGGGCTTCCGTGCACCTGTTTGGTGTGTGGATGTATTAATAGATTTGAGCGCTTGGGTAGCTCTAGTGTTGGTTGACCGATTTCTTGAATTAGAATGGGAAACCACGTTCTGGCCGGCCAGTAGGGCGCGACCAAAGTGAGTTGGAGGCTCTGTGTTTGTCTGATTTTCTGTAACACTTGAGGTATTATTGCTGGCGGCGGAAACGCGTGACGCATTGAGGCCTTCCCAGGATATGCTTTAGCCGTCCGTTGCCCATGCTTGTGGGTCTCGGGACTGGTGACACGAATGTCGGTAGCTGATTGTTGAAAGCGTGTTGCGAATAGATCTACTAAGCGGGGCTCTATTTGCTTGATTATCTGTGCAAATATTTCTGTATTGAGCATCCATTCTGTCGTGGTGACGGTTGATGTGGCCGAGAGAGTCGTCTGCTAGTACATTCTTGGCTCCGGGAATGTGACATGCTCTGACATGTAGAGTTTAGATCGCGGTATTAGATCGAACAGTTGAAAGCTTAAAGTCAATAGGTTCAGTGATCTTGTTGAACCTTGTTTGTTCACATAGAACGCCACTGTCGAGTTGTCGGTATGAATCATTAAGGCGCGATTCTGTAGAATGTTGCTCCAATGAAGTATGGCGTTGATTACAGCTTTCATCTCTAACATGTTTATATGGAAGCTTGCTTTCTTGCTGATTCCATAACCCTGATGCCGTCCGGTTGGCGAGATGAGCTCCCCTAACCTTGGAGATTTATCGCGAGTCTACATATAGATGGGTTTTGAATTCCTGCTCTTCTAAACAAATACCTTCGCCAAACATTCGACCTCCTGGTCCACCATAGTAGATGAGGTCTGAGGCGCTTCGTAGACTGAATGGTTGTAGGTCGCCGAGATGTGCATTGATGAAGACCTGTAATGGGCTTAACTGTAATCTGCCTGAGACTGTCATGTCTTGGGCTGATGTGAGGAGACCCAACACGCTCTGCCATTGTCGTGAGTGGTAACGGAGAGAGTAGAGCTGATCGGAATGGTCTGTTGGATCTTGAGCCAACGGTCTTCTGGTGCGGCTAATCGACTATCGGTTGTGATTCGTGATAAATCGAATGCCTAGGAACTGCAGATCTTGCGATGGTACTAGGTCCGACTTGAGTAAGTTTACTAACCATCCTAGCTGTGTTAGTAGCTTTATGATGTAGTTTAACTGTAGTTTGAGATGCTGTGGATCTTGATCTACTTGTATCCCGTCGATCGAGGTAGAACGCGACTACTCGTAGCCCTAGACGATGTAGATAGGTGACAATCGGTTCTCGTTATCCTCGTGAATAGCCAGGGGCTGATGATATGCCGAATGGGAGTACTTTCCATTGGTAATGTAGCCCGCCTAGTGTAAATCTTAGATATTTCCTGGATTACAGGGATGTATCGGGATATGTAGATAAGCGTCTTGCAGATCTATACTGGCCATGTAATCCATGGGGCGAATCAACTGCCGTAACTGAGGAAGGTGTATCATCGCGAAACTTTGGTGGTTTGCGTAGATAATTCCTGTTGAAAAAGCTCATGTTGTAAATGAGTCTGTATTTCTCCTTGGAGTTTTCTTGGGTACTAGGAAAACTGGGGAGTAGAAGCCTGGTTCGATGTCTACTTGATCTAGTACTTCTATGGCCTGCTTGGTTATGAGTGATGTAACCGCCTCTTAACTTTGGTAGTTGTTGTGCCTGTAAGTCGAACTTGTAAGGGTTGACTGTCAGCGGGCGTGGCCTGTAGTGGGATACGAAATCCGTGTTGAAGAATGTTGGAGACATAAGGGTCTTTTAACATTCCCCAGTTCTCCCAGTGTAGTTGGAGGCGCCCACCCACTTGTGGCGGTTGTACTGGAGCGGCTGGGGTGGAAGACTCCAGTCGTTCGAACCTGTCTTTCAGCGTTTATAGTTGCGGAACCTCTGGGTGTCCTGCCTCTTCCTGACCCTCCTCTATAGTTGCCATATGGGCTAATTTTAAAAGAATCTTTTTCCTGGCGCTGGCTATCTTCCTATCCGTGCTTTCTGTAGTCCGAGAACTTAGATCTCCTGAGTATCTTTGTGAAGTCTGCCTGATGACGCTTGCTAGCGTGTCCATCGACTTGATCATAAGGACTTCTGGAGTCCTTAGTGACTTCCCTTGGAGACTTTGTCTATTCCTCCGTCAAAGATGTTTGGGGATGACCACGGGGCTGTATAGAGTGGAGCTGTAAAGTTCTCACCCCAGCTGCAGGAAGCGAGGAGGCCTTGACGACGAGCTAAGGTCAGTGCTGCTGAGACAGATGTGAGATGATCTGTAAGGAACTGCTGGTCCTTCTTTTGCATCAGTAGGGCCGAGTAAGATCATCCTATCATCTTCAGAGAGGGTATTACGAAATCTGGTGATAAGTGTCTCATTGATCGTTCTAGATCTATTTAGGCCAAAGAACATCGCGTCTCGTCATGTTTTCTATCTGCACCAGCTTGCGATCGTCAATCTTGTAGTTCTTGTTCTTAACATGGCTGATCAGCTTGTAGTTTTCATCGATGTCTTGTGCCTTCAGGAAGGGTCCATGTTGTGCGTGGAGAACTTCTTAAGCGTGAAAGTTCGGCAGATGTGGAGTCTGCACTTTCGTGAGCTTTAATGAAGGCTGTATCTAGATTATGTGGCACCGCGCAGCAATCGGGTCAATCGGAGGTAAGGTGATGGCGTCTGCATCGTCTTCCTTCATCAGGTATGTCTGCGCTTGAGTTGCCACTCTTGGACGGTGAAGATAAATCTAGGTTGTTTACCATCCAATATCTTATCTCAGCGTCTGAAAGATGATGCCTCCATCATCTTCTGTACCAGCATCGGAGATGAGGGGTTGATGCTCTTCTGATGGTGACCTCTGGGCTGCTATCTCTATGTCGGGTGACACTTTCGGGAGACCTGAGTGTAGACCTGTGTGCCGACTTGTGTGATGACCTGCGAGGTGATGTGCGTGGAGATCGGCGTGGTGAGCGGCGTGGAGATCGTCTAGGTGATCTGCGTCTATGGGAAGACCTAGATCTGCGAGAGGAGAATGTTGGCGGCCGTGAAGCTCTTGAATAGTCCCTCGGCGTCCTTCTGGACGATGGCGATCTGTGTGGCGGCCTTCGCAGCAGCCTCTCTGCGTCCGGACCTGGGAGCGGCGCCTTGACTTCCGTGGCGGTTTCCGTGGCGTCTGGTGGTCTGAGTCTGCATCTGAGGGCGAGGCCGAGGATGATGATGATCTCTCCCGTCTTCGCGAAGGCCTTCGCGACGACTGTACATCGGGCGCCCTTCGTTGAGGTGGTCTGTGACTTCCTTCGAAGGCTGCTTCGTCGTGGCTGCTTCGCTGACTGGGGTTGCCTCTGGGGTATCGTCTGCGTTGCTCGGACCCTGGGCTGGCTGCTTCCCGACTGTAGTGGCCCTCCATCATGGTCATGATCTGCCGCAACAGCTCGTCTGGGATGGTCTCGCGGCGAAGTAGTCGGTGCCCTCTCTCGCGATGACAGCTGCTGACCCTGAGGAAGTCGTCTGACATCAGTGTAGAGGCATCAGGCTGCATGGCGATCTCTGCTGATGTCACTGTAGCTGTCACCGGTCGCTTCTTGTATGCGTCGTCAGGGATGATGATTGGCTGATCATCGTAGAGGCCCAGTTCGGGCGGCTGGAACAATCGGCTGAGAAAGTTCTTGGCGACCGTGGAGACTTCCCCTTGATGTCGACGCTGCCCTGGGGTCGAAGTCTGGCGTTTGGGAAGACGCGTCGTGGCCCTCTTGGACTTTATCTGCGATGGCGGGACGTCTGGGGAGGCAGGGCGCTTCTTAGCGGTGGCGGACTGCATCCCGCCCATCTTCGACGGAGTCTCTTGCGAAACACCAGGCGGGAGGGGGTCTATCGACAGCAGCTGACTGGAAGGGGAATCCGATGTATCGGCCATGTCTAACCCTTGTTTGCGTGACCTATCTGCTGTGCGTCTCCACGACGCAAAGATATTTATGAAAAGCAGAATTGGATAGATTAATGCAGTAACTGCAACGCGTGTATCAAACGCACAAAGGGTAGCACAACTAGGGCATAATACATGCGGGTCAGCAATTGAAAACGTAAATTGCAAATAGTACAGATTTTCATCAACGTAAATACTAGCTGAACAATCACGAACTCACGTGAATAAACAGTAGAAATAACGATTAATTATCAATGCAAATTAATGAAGGATACTAGCTATACCTCTATAGTAACCTAAAAGAGGTAATAAACTAAGAAAAGCAAAGGATATAGTGTGTAAGGAGACACAGGCTCTCACATCCTGCTCACTGGGCGAGAAGAAGGAGAGAGTGAAGCATGAGGCCAGAGGGTGGCGACACCTGTTCCCGCCAAAGGGGCAAGGGAGGCAACTCGTGGTGAGTACCAATTAGTGATTTTACATTGAAGGGAGCTTCAATTAAGGAGATACAAGTGTTCCACTATGTTCAAGCAAGAAGAAGAAGACAAGCAAAAAGAGCATGAGTCAGGATAAGGAAAAATAGTGTATATTGTAGATATAATCTAATTTTGCATTTCACTTGTTGAAGACAAAAATATGAATTGGATTAGTGACCACTGCTTACCAACATCGATATCTTGTTTATTAAAGGAATACAGAAATATATTTGTTTTGTTTTGTTTTTGTTTTTTTAACAAAGTAATTTGTAATGTAATTAATTACATTGGTAATGTAATTGTAATTTAATTAATTACATTTTAATTTAAGGTGTAATTGTATTTGTAATTGTAATTGAGGAAAATCAAAGTAATTGTAATGTAATTAATTACATTTCAAAGAAATTGAACCCATGTCTGCTATCAACATGCCGATCATAAACAGGATGACCATTACTAAATCTGTGTTGCAACAGTTTCCTAACATAAAGGATGACCTATGGCGCACTGATTTGATGATGGCTCATAATATACCTTCAGTGCATAGTCTGGTCCAAACATGACTTTTAGAGGCAACCATCATAAAGCTTGAAAATTGCTAAGTTCATTAATAAACAACAAACAGTCAACAATTACAAGTGTCTGTCAGATACAATTTGTCTTGCTACATAATATCTGTTGAAAATAAAGTGAGTTCAGTACGTTTTATAGGAATTGAACCATGATCATAGGACTCTGGCAGACCCAAGGGAGACAACTCTGTAAAAGTTAAAGAATTGTCTGTTGTACCCCCGATTACTGAAAATGTACATCTAGATCTCACCAGTTCAGCTCCGAGTTCCCGCTTTAGGAACTGTTTTTCTCGAGACGAAAGTCCGGGGGTGCGGAGATAGTGACAGGCCTGGGACATGATGATGTATAAGGAGTTCTCCATCACATACAGCACGAGGCTTCTGTCAACAGTCAGAACACACAGTGTTACATCGGGGAACAGTGGAGCACAGGAAGAACAAACAACACATGAAATCTTCAAACAAAGATAAAGCATACATTACATCAGTATTCCAGGACGCAAGTCGAGTCAAACTCTGTTTGTTTTAGTAACCCATTTTAATAATAGTCCATGTGATGAAATTAAAATTAAAAATGATGCATAACCAAGTCGTGGCCAGTAGTCATAAGTTTTTTGCACAGACTATTTATGCGAGAAAATAATATTAGCCCTCCAAAACTCCAAGATAGCTGTCAAAGATCAAAATGGCTATCAACTGTCGCCATTGTCTTTTTGTGATCTAGATAAAGTGATAGTATTAGTCAATTTTGGCAAATAATGAGCATTTTGCACTCTTTTGACTTTATCACTTTTCATGTGTTTGCTAGGTAATATTGTTGAGCCTCTACCTAGCTCAGTAGAAACAAGTGGTCATGTCTAAATTGTCCATCTGGGTTTTTCAGATAAATGTATCCTGCCGAAAAAGGAAATAAATTTCTGAGAAAGAGAAAAAATCCTTTATACCATGCCACAAAGCAAAGAATGAACGTAGTTGTATTTGAGTCAGTGAAGTCATGCAACACAGCAGAGGTTAACCTCCGCTGAAAAAACCCTAGCTGTTTTCAATCAGATGGTGAAGCCCATTTCAGGTGTCAATATTGATGTTCCCAATGATGTGGAATACTTGGTAATCCAAGTTTTTAAGGTTATATCAATTGAACTCACGCCAATATTGCTCAAAGCGGCATAAAACTATACTCACTCACTCACTTCTTTGTTTTAATTCTTTAATAATGTCAGATTGAAACCATGTATACCCCCATCAAGCTACTGCTACAACTGATGGTGGAACACTCACTTTGGTATATGCTGGCTTGTGGCAGCTTCTGGCGACCGGTGTGGTGAACCTGTCCCTCTTGGGTCCAGCTGCAAACATCAACAGTCATATCAGCATCAACAGCACTGGAGCAGCGTGGTAGCAGCAAGAAGCAGCAGATGGGGGAGGAAAAGGAGGTTGAGAAAGAGGAGAAGATGGCCGAGAAAGAGGAGGTTGAAAAGAGGAGAAGGAGGTTGAGAAAGAGAAGATGGCCGAGAAAGAGGTGGAGAAAGAGGAGGTTAAGAAGAGAAGATGGCCGAGAAAAGGAGGTTGAGAAGATGACTGACTGACTGAGTTTAGTTTTACGCTTTTAGCAAAAGAGGTGGAGAAAGAGGATTGGTTAAGAAAGAGAAGAAGATGGCCGAGCCAAGCTTTAACCACTAGGCTAGGAGGTTGAGAAAGAGGAGAAGATGGTCTGAGAAAGAGGTTGAGAAAGAGAAGGAGGTTGACAAAGAAAAGAAGATGGCCGAGAAAAAGGAGGTTGAGAAAGAGGAGGAGGTGGAGAAAGAGGAGGAGGTGGAGAAAAAGGAGATGGCCGAGAAAGAGGAGGTTGAGAAAGAGGAGAAGATGGCCAAGAAAGAGAAGATAGCCGAGAAAGAGGTTGAGAAAGAGGAGGAGGTTGAAAAAGAGAAGATGGTCGAGAAAGAGGTTGAGAAACAGGAGAGGAGAAAGGAGATGAAGGCAAAAGAGGAGAGGGTGGAGATAGAGAAAGAGGAGAAGAGGGTGGAGGAGATGGATAAAGAGTTGGACATTGTTTCAGTGAAGAAAGAGGAGAGGGTGGAGATGGAGAAAGAGGAGGAGAGGGTGGAGATGGAGAAAGGAGGAGAGGCTGGAGATGGAGAAAGAGGAGGAGAGGGTGGGGATGGAGAAAGAGGAGGAGAGGGTGAAGATGGAGAAAGGATTGGAGAGGTTGGAGATGGAGAAAGGAGGAGAGGGTGGAGATGGAGAAAGAGGAGGAGAGGGTGGGGATGGAGAAAGAGGAGGAGAGGGTGGAGATGGAGAAAGTGGACAGTGTTTCAATGGAGAAAGAGGAGGAGAGGGTGGAGATGGAGAAAGAGTTGGACAGTGTTTCAGTGGAGAAAGAGGAGAGGGTGGAGATGGAGAAAGGGCTGGACAGTGTTTCCATGGAGAAAGAGGAGGAGAGGGTGGAGATGGAGAAAGAGTTGGACAGTGTTTCCATGGAGAAAGAGGAGGAGAGGGTGGAGATGGAGAAAGAGCCGGAGAGGGTGGGGATGGAGAAAGAGGAGGAGAGGGTGGAGATGGAGAAAGAGTTGGACATTGTTTCAGTGGAGAAAGAGGAGGAGAGGGTGGAGATGGAGAAAGAGTTGGACAGTGTTTCAGTGGAGAAAGAGGAGGAGAGGGTGGAGATGGAGAAAGAGTTGGACAGTGTTTCCGTGGAGAAAGAGGAGGAGAGGGTGGAGATGGAGAAAGAGTTGGACAGTGTTTCAGTGGAGAAAGAGGAGGAGAGGCTGGAGATGGAGAAATAGGACTTGGAGAAAGAGTTGGACAGTGTTTCAGTGGAGAGAGAGGACGTGGAAAAAGAGCTGGACAGTGTTTCGATGGAGAAAAAGGAGGAGAAGAACAGAAGTGACTTGCCACCCACCTTACTGAGTATCCTGTAGCAGGTGGTTACACAGGATATGAAGGTGCCGAATGTGGGCTGTGTCTCCTGATCCACCGACGGGGTGCTGAACCCCAGACCCAGGAAGCAGTCGTACTCACTGGTGTCCATGCTCTGTCAGGGAATACGCACAAATTAGCATCGCATGGATGATGGGTTTGGCTTTTGTTTTGCTTGTTGTTTTACGCCACAACTCAGCAGTATTCCAGCTACATGGCGGCAGTCTGTAAATAATCGAGTCTGGACCAGACAATCTAGTGATCAGCATCATGAGCATCCACTTAATTAGGATACAATGACTGGTCAACCAAGTCAGCAAGCCTGACCACCCGATACCGTTAGTCACCTTTATGACTGACTGACTGAGTTTGGTTTTACGCCGCTTTTAGCAATATTCCAGCAATATCACGGCGGGGGACACCAGAAATGGGCTTCACTCACTGTACCCATGTGGGGATTCGAACCCGGGTTTTCGGCGTGACGAGCCAACGCTTTAACCACTAGCAGTCACCTCTTATGACAAGCATGGGTGACTGACAACCAATTCTAACCCGGATCTTCACAGGTTCATGCATGATGGGACCTTATTAACTCTTTCAACACCAGTCAACCAGAGGCATTTACTGCCATGACACCGAGTTCCCAGAGACTCTGAGGTCATAGATGAAGCCTATGTTTATGAAGGAAATTATAAGCTTGTAAAACGTTATTGCTACTACATCCCATACACAATTTAAAAGATCTAATCCTACTGTTGATAAATATGAAGTTTATTTTTATAATATTATTAAATTTATACAACTACAACTTAAATAAATTTATATTTGAATGAAAATGCAAGCTTACATTTATAACGCCCAGATAAACCACTTAAAGGAGCAAAAACTATGGCGATTTTTTCCATTTGTGACATGTCACAATATGCCCCGGTGCCTTTTCTTTTATATTTTCATCTTTACGTAATCAGAAAATTATTATAAAAAAGATTTCTTAAACAATATGTATGGTCAGCCTATTTCCCGATATCTGTGGCTTTCCGCCGGTAAAATGACATAACAACTGAAAATACCTCCGTTTTCGAAGCTTCAGATGAATAACATGCAAATCGCTTGATGTCGGGCATCGCTTGAAAGCTCTGAACATCAACAATATCACTGTACCCTTGTCAAGAGTATTTTCACAGTTGTAAGAAGCGATTTTATTGGATAAAATTGGTTTCTAATGACGCTTTTTCACAGTCTGCTATAAGGGTCGTCATTGGTCAAAATCAGACACGTGACCTAAGGCAGCCAATCATATTACAGCAATGGATATCGTCCTCGTGAAACTTAAAACCTTTAGATTTAGACAAAAGTTTTGGGTAAAATAATGGTATTCTGAACATATTAAGCAAGAAATCGCTACCCCATATCGTAAATTATGGAACTTATTGGATGTATCGTGGCTTGGTTATGACCTGTGACAAAAATGCTTCATGTATGTATTTTCGCATTAAACATCGTGGTCCGAAAGCGTGAAGATTGAGGCGGCGAGCGCGAGATGTCACTCGTCAGTGACTTGACTTGCATTACATGATCGCACAAAAAGATGGAAATAGTAATTTTATATGTACGTTTGACAACTTTAATGAATGCTGTTGTTGATTTTATTCATTAGTTATTCAATTTATTTAATAATTTCCTCGAAACATCGTTACTTTGCTCTTTGACAATGTTTATTGTAGACCCGCTGCAGAAGCATGTGTCCGAGAATCGTTGTTTTCAATAACATTGCGAAAAATAGTTTATAATTTTAATTCTGCTGATAATATATGATAAATTGAAATTTAATAAGTGTTTTCAGACATTGTGAAATGTGATAGATTTGATATATGAATCAAAAGTCAGGTAGGTTCCTAAAATTATGTCTCATTTTGACGTGACTACTGCCTGGCCGATTAATCGGCCTCCGGTGTCTGGGGACTCATAACGTTGTGGCCGATTATTCGGCCTGCGGTGTTGAAAGGGTTAACATTGAACCTTATCATCCTGGTAGCACTGTGGGACGTTAGCATCAAGAACTCTTAGAACTGTTGAACAAGAGATAAAAGGGAAAGTCTAATTGGCTTTAAAATATTGTTTTCACCACATCTTCACATCCTGCCATGTTTACCTGGTCCAGGAGGACTTCGCACAGGTCGGGGGTGAAATGTTTCAGCGCCGTCAAACTCCGAGACAAAATACTCAACATTCTGAAAACAAAACAAATTGATGAAAAATGATTGTTGCCAGCTTCAAGTCTGCTTTAACAGCTCATGAATCTAGTGTTCTGTCGTGGTTACATGGAAGAGCCATCAAAACTGAACTAATCTAAATGGGAATATTTTTTCATTATTCTATACATTAAATTAGGATGTAGGATGAGAAAGCCACAATAACTCGGTGCGCCTAGTGGCAGCAAGAGTTGTATACTCCCCAGGGAGTTGAGATTGCTAATACGATGTGCAGTTGATATTGACATCCAATGATCGAGGGAAAAAATACCAGCGCCTTGAGCATGCACTAGTGCGTGGATATGTGCGCTATATAAATATCCTATAATAATAATAATAAATAATAAATTAGCCTGTTATTCTATACAGCATCTTCCCTACCTGAGTTGTACACAGACCAGCTGTGTGGTGGGTTGTTCCAGGTCCTCTGTGGATGCCTGGTGCTGCAACATGGGGGGACGAGTGGATGGAATCCTTTTTGCTGACTCTGTCCTGGCCGCGCTGTTGCTGCAATATCAACAGTAGCCATGACAACCTCAAGGAAGGTGCCATTCCGATTCACCAAATCAACTGGAGAAAGTGGGTGTGCAATCTTAAATGAATACCTCTACATTCATCAATCAGAAAACTTGTACAAGCGAATGGAGACCTTCACTCCAGGGAGACAACCCTGACAAGCTGTGTGTACGCTATTATGTCTACATGAGGCCTAGGGATGGTTCACTTTGGATCTTATGTCAACCATTGTGATGTCATTGGATTGTGAGGTCATGGTTACCAACTGTGTTTGCTTGTTTGTTGCAAACACAACACTGAGCAATACTGAAGCAATGTAACATTGGCCGCTACTTAATCTGGACCAACCAATCAGTGATCAATATATGATCAACACTGTCACGGAACTATGAGGTGAGGTGAAATTGGGTTAACGTCGTGCTTGAGAATATTTCGCTCATATGACGACGTCCATGCGTGTGTATGTGTATGTGCAGCTGCTTGTACTAGCCCAGACTGAAGCTGGTTTTATAGTGCTAGCCCACTGAGATACCATGCCGCAGTGAAGCATGAATACCCCACTCAGACACATTATACTGACTCCGGGCCGACGAGTCCTTGTTGTACCCATTAATGCCAAGCGCCAGGCAGGGACCAACAAGTACCATACTTAAGCGTCGAACCCGCGACCTTCCGCTCTCCGGGCGGACGCTCTTCCCACTAAACCACGGAGGCAGTGCCAGAGAACTATGACATGCACTCAGCTCAAGTCACAGATATGACTTTCTACAAATGACTTTGTGAGCGAGTATAATTTTATGCCGCTTTTAGCAATATTCCAGCAATATCACGGCAGGGGACACCAGAAATGGGCTTCACACATTGTATCCATGTGGGGAATCGAACCCAGGTCTTCAGCATGACAAGCAAACGCTTTAACCACTGGGCTACCCCACTGAAACAGAGATAGTCATGATGACCTATCTATTCATCTCACAAGCACAAGTTGAAAGGAACTGACCCTTTCCTGGCAGCACCTGAAGTGAGACAAGTGTTACTGACCTCGAGGACGTGCAGCAGATACCGTGGTCTGATGAGCAGTGCTATGAAGGTCTGGCTCATGTACACCATTGAGGTCTGGAACAGAACATTTGAAAATACATCATACTGAACAAAGGTACAGCTTCAGTTGCAGAGATATATATCATATATATCACTGGATTTTGATGTCACTGTAACAGATGGCATCACAATGATGTGGAATGCATTGTACTCAGACTTTTTCGAGTTATATCAAATGATCTCACACAAATGTTATATTCAATATGGTTTTATGCCGTTTTTAGCAATATTCCAGCCATATCACGGCAGGGGACATCAGAAATGTGCTTCACAAATTGCACCCATGTGGGGAATCGAACCTGTGCCTTCAACGTGACGAGCAAACGCCTTAACCACGAGGCTACCCCACCGCCCGATACATATTCAATGGAAGAAAGGTTGGACGATAAGAATGGTTAGATGATAAACCAGGTTTGGTAACAAATCAGGGCTAAATTCTGCAACACCATAATGATTATAAAACTAACCAGGAACTTGTCGAGCACGTCCGGTAGATGAAGGCGCCATTCCCGACTGAAGGCAGACAGCTGACAGATGAAGTCACAGGATGACTCCGCCTCCCGGAGTGCTGTGTCCAGCAGGCTGATACGGGCAATCTCCATCGACTGAGGAAACACAGCGGACATTACGTACTGGTCAACTTTAGGTAACAGGCTATGTATCTGTTGTTCCACCAGACTAGGGTCATCACAACTGTGTTATATTACTGCATTGTACTCTAGTCAGTATTTACTCCAACACAATGTACCCAACCCAACCTTGTAATCACACCTTGTGTCCCACCCTTCCAGTTTATCACATGTTCATGTGCCCCAGCCACCTGTGTTATATCATCACACCTTGTGTCCCACCCTTCCAGTTTATCACATGTTCATGTGCCCCACCCACCTGTGTTATATTATCACATCTTGTGTCCAACCCTTTCAGTTTATCACATGTTCATGTGTCCCACCCATCTGTGATATATTATCACACCTTGTGTCCCACCCTTCCAGTTTATCACATGTATATGTGCCCCACCCACCTGTGTGATCCTGTCCTGATGTGCCCCGGCGAAGCTGAGAGCGTCCTCCAGGAAGGAGTGTCTGAGGGCGGCCAGCACTGTGGAGTACACCTCCATACACAGGCAGTACACGTTGTGCCATGACTGGACCATGGGCACAAAGAAGCTGCCAGACTGAAAACAGCGACATAATATTACCATGAACAGTGAATACACTCATATTCAAAAAGTTTGTAGAAACTACTTACTAACAGCAGCGTATGAAATAAGCTAAAAATCCAGCCAGACATCAGGGCTGGTAACTTCAAAATGTTACCAGCCCCAAATGGATTTAACCAGACCAGACACCAAGATATGATGAATTTATTCAGATATATGGAACATCTAACATTTTTACCAGACCATCAGGCTGGCTAGCTGTAATAAACCGTCCATTAGAAATCTAGCCTGCCTCGGGCGATAGGACGGGCCTTATTTCATACACTGCTAACAGTGAACACAATCATAACGAGTTGCTAACTATATGTGTGATGTTTTGGGAGGTCACTGCCTTTAAACAAGATGTTTGGAAAGACAAAAATAGTGCCTGTAAACAAGATGCTTAGAAAGACAGAATAGTGAGCCAAGCCGCCCAAGCAGAGCTGCCAAAGCAGAGCAGAGCCTGGCACAATCTTTTCATTGTCTATTTGTGCGATTGGCCAGGGAAACAAACAAGCTTCGGCTCTCTCTATTCGGTCAACATCACATAGAGCTCACATGTGAACATCCAAGTTAGACTTTTGTCTTCAGCAACCCTGCTTATCATTAAGAGAGACTAACATAAACCGAGCCTGACTTGGTTGACACATTGTATCCTTGTTGAGTAGATCTGGTTTGTCCAGACATGATAATATTGCTGTGATGTAGCTGGAATATTGCATGTGACAAAATAACGTCATATAGACACTACCTTAAGGGGCACGGCTGGCCTGGAGAAGATGTCCTCGTTAGTGTAGCAGTTGGTGACCACCAGGCAGGTGTGTGGGGTCAGGTCCGCCAGGGACAGCGCTGCAGAACCCTGCAATACAATACACAGGTGTGTAATCAACCAGTACTACACCTATATCACCTACACTGTACATCCATTTACCTGGACTGTACCTACACTTACCTTGACTGTACAGTCACATTTACCTGAAGTGCACTTAGATTTACATTGACACTGCCTACAGTTACATTGACTGTACCTGTATTTACCTTGACTGTACCTACACTTACCTTGACTGTACAGTCACATTTACCTGAAGTGTTCTTAGATTTACATTGACTGTACCTGTATTTACCTTGACTGCACCTACACATACCATGACTTTACCTTGATTGTACCTACACATACCATGACTTTACCTTGATTGTACCCACACATACCATGACTTTACCTTGATTGTACCTACAGTTATCGACTATGCTTGCACTTACCTCGACAGTACACACATTTACCTTGACTACACATTCATTAAGTCAGCCCCAGGTAAAACAGCAACAGTAGGAGTTACCTACCCTTTCAGACCGGGCCACACTCAGAAGTAGCAGGAACACAGCATGGACGTATGGCAGCCCTCGCTTGGCCTGCAGACAGACATAATATCATATTGTCAGACTGTTAGTTATTTTCTTATAAATGTTTGTACTTATTCACTTTTCAAGATACCAGTTCACAGATAAATCTATAAAGATTATTATTATTTCTGAATAAAACATACAGTATATTCTATATGAAACTATTGTAATCATTTTTTCAAAATGGCTGCTGTGGTGCATCTACAGCATAATAGCGGACCGCCTCCGTGGTGTAGTGGTTATAGCGTCCGCCCAGAGAGCGGAAGGTCGCGGGTTCAATCCCCGACCGCGTCATACCAAAAGACGTTAAAATATGGTACTTGTTGGTCCCTGCCTGGCGCTTGGCATTAATGGGTACAACAAGGACTGGTTTGCTCGGAGTCAGTATAATGTGTCTGAGTGGGGTATCCATGTTTCACTGCGGCTTGGCATCTCAGTGGGCTAGCACTATAAAACCAGCTTAAGTCTGGGCTAGTACAAGCAGCCGCACATACACACACACACACGCATGCACGTCGTCATATGAGCGAAATATTCTCAAGCACGACGTTAAATCCAATTTCACCTCACCTCATAATAGCACGGTAGAATAACGCGGTAGAAGAGCGTGGTAGAACAGTGCATCTACCTTCATGAATAACTCCACGGAGATGAGCAGGGTCTGCAGGATGGAGTGCTGCTGCAGGATGGGCATCCACACCTGGTCGTCCCCGATCACCTCGATCAGTTCCTCCAGCAGGCTGCAGGTGACAATCTGAAGCTGATAGATATACAACACACATATTATAAATCATAACAAGCATTGTCACTAAGGTGACATAATCCCCCGCCACAAATTATCAAATCAAACTAAAAGAGTAATGAAAGTGAAGGTTGTAGTTTAAGATGAAGTTAAATGTCAACAAAAACATGACCAGTCAACCTCTCTTGATATCTTGCTTTGTAGCTGTTCAAACACACAAATATTTTCAAGACTCACTTTGACCTTGACATGAATGTCATGGTGTATGAAATATGCAAAAACTAGTAATAGAGAAATTGCTTATCAAACAACATTCAAGAGAAGTCTTGAAAGTCTATGAAGAAAATCCAGTGAACCGTTCTTGAGATATCTTGCTGACAATCTTAACATACTGAAATCTTCAAAGTGTCGCTGTGACCTTGGAAATCACGTGAAGGTCACCATACTCGACTGGGTCTTGCACCTTCCCTATATGAAGCTTGGTGTCAAATATGAAGAAAATCCAGTGAACAGTTCTTGAGGTATCTCGCTGACAAGCTTAACATGCAGGCTAACATGCTGAAATCTTCAAAGTGTCGTCGTGACCTTGAAATTATGGGAAGGTCACCAAAATCGACTGGGCACTGTGCCTTCCCTAGATAAAGCTTGTTTTCAAATATGAAGAAAATCCAGTGAACGGTACTTGAGGTATCTTGCTGACAAGGGTAAAATGTTAAAGTCCCCTGGTGCCCTTGAAATGAAGGTCAAGGTCACCAAACCTGATTGGGACCTTTCTTATACTGTGATGAACCTAGGTACCAAGTATGAAAAGAATCAAGTCAATGGTTCTTAAGATATTCCAATTCGTACATACGGACGGATGGAGCCTAATACTATATCGCTGCTTCGTGCTAAACGCACAGCGGGGGATAATTACATGTTGAACATACCCACAGTGATCTGATTGGCCAGTCACTACATGCTGGGTTACAGTGTGAGTACGAGAGTGGTCACAAGGAGGATCAAAATGGCACACAAAATATTTCAAAGAACAAAGGTTAGCAGCTAGTGTTGGGAATTGCCTGAAATCTCACAATTGTTGATTGGTTCATTACCAACGAGCAATCATTGAAAATAATTGCTTAGCGTCATAGCACTTTTCTCAAAGCATTCGTACATATGCTACAATATAGGAGGTACGAATTCTATGAGAATAGTTACGAGATCGTAGGCTTACGAGAGCTTAGTGAAACGGGGCCAACGTCTTAAAGGCTAACCCACGAGTAAGGTTAATCATCACAAATCTGGAAAACAAAACTAATCACGGAATCCATGAGGACACACATGCCCAAACATAACCTGGATCTGTGAGGCAGGTTACACATAGACATAGACTCACTATCAGACATAAACACTGTCATTAAAAATGTCTGACCTCTCAGGTCTGAGTTCTCCATCCTACCACTCACTTTGAGTTTAGCATCAACGGTCTCCCCCTCTTTGCTGCCTGTATCCCTGGGTTCCCCCTCTTTCAGCTGGGTGCTCCCCACCTCCCTTGTGTCCCCAGTCTTGGGCTGAGTGCTGCCCGGGTCCCTCATCTCCCACGGTGCTGGCAGCTGGCGGGAACTCTGTATCAGCACGGAGCAGATATTGGGCAGCAGGTCCGTCAACTTGTCCGTGTCGAGAGCTACCAAAGATATCAGCACAGTGAGCTAGAAGCAGGGATGGCAACAGGAAAATCTATTTTCAGCGGAAAACTTAATATTGTGTCATCGAATGGGGGTTTCTCAATGGATTTAGACGATTCACAATTGAACAATTTGAAATAAAGTCCGCGGAAATTTGCCATCCCCGTAGAAGTACAACAGGATGAGCTACAAGATATTACTAGCACTACAACATACAAGCATAACCATAGCTATAACATGACACCACAGCTACAATGTACCACTACAGATACAACATGCCACATAACTACCATATACATCCAGAACTTTAACATATAACAGATCAAGTGTGTTTAAGAGATACAAGTATGTTGGACTCACCAACGTTGTTCTCCTGTCTGCTGTGCTGTAGCAGTATGGTGAGGCAGCCGAGGAGGCCGATCTGTACGGAGGGGATGAGAGTCTCGCTGTTCGCACACGTCTCCCCCACTGCCTCCCGCAGTGTCACCATCATGGCGGAGGGCTTGCTGATGCAACTGAAAAATGACATGTATTTTTGTTAATTCCACATGCAAATGAGCAACATAACAGTCTCCATGGCTTTCCAAGGAGCTCTAAAAATTTTTGCCAATCAGCATCAGATCTTTTCGAAAACATAACCAGTAATAGAAGTAAGAAGTAGAGTGAGTGAGTGAGTAAGTTTAGTTTTATGCCACTTTTAGCAATATTCCAGCTATATCTGGTGTCTACATCAGGGGACACCAGAAACGGGCTTCACACATTGTGCAGGTCTTGGGCGTGACTAGCGAATGCTTTAACCACTAGGCTACCCCACCGCCCCAGTAAGTAGTAGACGTACAGCCGACCAGTCTCAGTTAAAGAGAGACAATGGTGTTATCTGAATGTGATGTCACAGTAGCTGATGACATAAGAATGCACCTTTATCACCTTGGAGGAATTGCTTGATCTCAGACCTGTGAAGGTCAGGGTTAGAATATTGATCTTCAGTAACCTCTGCTTGTCGTAAAAGGCAACTAACTGGATCAGGTGGTCAGGCTCGCTGACTTGGTTGACACATGTCATCAGTTCCCAATTGCGCAGATTGATGCTCATGCTGTTGATTACTGGATTGTCTGGTCCAGACTCGATTATTTACAGACAGCTGCCATATAGCTGGAATATTGCTGAGTGCGGCGTAAACTTTAACTCACTCACTTGATCTCACCCAAGAAGTATCGCCTGTTGAAGTTTGGATCATAAACATTTTTAAGATAGGTCTGTGATAGGTCTGAATATCATTTACCTTCCCATATTGACATCAAGCCTAACATGTTCACCATGTCCTAGATTCTGTTGGTTGCTTGGAAGGAAACATTAGGAGTTAAAGGACATACATCTAATTATTGTCCTACAGAGTTACCTACCTTGCTTCATATTTCAGACAGCGTTTTGCCAGTGTGAAGAGCAGTGTTGACTATAGACATGAGCTTCATATTCCCGACAGAGTTATCTACCTTGCTTCATATTTCAGACAGCGTTTTGCCAGAGTGAAGAGCAGTGTTACTATAGACATGAGCTTCATATTCCTAACAGAGTTACCTTACTTGCTTCATATTTCAGACAGCGTTTTGCCAGAGTGAAGAGCAGTGTTGACTATGGACATGAGCTTCATATTCCTGACAGAGTTACCTACCTTGCTTCATATTTCAGACAGCGTTTTACCAGTGTGAAGAGCAGTGTTGACTATAGACATGAGCTTCATATTCCCGACAGAGTTATCTACCTTGCTTCATATTTCAGACAGCGTTTTGCCAGAGTGAAGAGCAGTGTTACTATAGACATGAGCTTCATATTCCTAACAGAGTTACCTTACTTGCTTCATATTTCAGACAGCGTTTTGCCAGAGTGAAGAGGAGTGTTGACTATGGACATGAGCTTCATATTCCTGACAGAGTTACCTACCTTGCTTCATATTTCAGACAGCGTTTTGCCAGTGTGAAGAGCAGTGTTACTATAGACATGAGCTTCATATTCCCGACAGAGTTACCTACCTTGCTTCATATTTCAGACAACGTTTTGCCAGAGTGAAGAGCAGTGTTACTATAGACATGAGCTTCATATTCCTGACAGAGTTACCTTACTTGCTTCATATTTCAGACAGCGTTTTGCCAGAGTGAAGAGCAGTGTTGACTATGGACATGAGCTTCATATTCCTGACAGAGTTACCTACCTTGCTTCATATTTCAGACAGCGTTTTGCCAGTGTGAAGAGCAGTGTTACTATAGACATGAGCTTCATATTCCCGACAGAGTTACCTACCTTGCTTCATATTTCAGACAGCGTTTTGCCAGTGTGAAGAGCAGTGTTGACTACAGACATGAGCTTCATATTCCCGACAGAGTTACCTACCTTGCTTCATATTTCAGACAGTGTTTTGCCAGTGTGAAGAGCAGTGTTACTATAGACATGAGCTTCATATTCCTGACAGAGTTACCTTACTTGCTTCATATTTCAGACAGCGTTTTGCCAGTGTGAAGAGCAGTGTTGACTATGGACATGAGCTTCATATTCCTGACAGAGTTACCTACCTTGTCCAGTGTTTGACGAGGGTGAAGAGCAGAGCACTGGCTACTGATGCTAGTTTCATGTTTAGAGCTGTAAGACTTCCATTAAACTGAAAACAATATAAAAATTTAAGTGAAGAAAAAATATATACCAGAGCACTGTTCATAACTTGGGCAGAGGTAACTGCAGTAATATTTTCTAGAGATTTTTCAAATTCAACACATGGTAGGCATAGCAAATGCTTGTTGAGTAGGAGAGAAAGTTAGGTATGGCGTCGACAGATCATCATCCTGGCCTTGATAAGGGACACAACTCTGCACAGCAAATGGTGTTGCCTTATACAACTGGTTCACATGTTTTCCTGATCAAAAAGTGATTTTTCATTGCTTTCAGCAATACTCTATCCATACAATGCTTCAGAAAGATTAATTCTGGACCAGACACTCCTGTGATCATCATTCCAGCTATAAGGAGGCGGTCTGTAAATAATCGAGTCTGGAACAGACAATCCAGAGATCAACAGCATGAGCATCGATCTGAGCAATTGGAATACGTTGTCATGTGTCAACCAAGTCAGCGAGCTTGACCACCCAATCCCGTTAGTCGCCTCTTATGACAAGCATGGGTTACTGAAGACCAATTCTAACCCGGATCTTCACAGGTCAAAAAAAGAAAAGGTACCGATAACATGGTATCAACCATAGGTTACTTGGGAGCTAAATTCCATCATGGAGTCACACAGTTCTAATTAACCAACTCACATTTAGCTGTCCATTATTAACAAGCATGAGCTGCCAGGAACCAATTCAAAACCTGGAACCCCATACGTTTGTTTAATCATCCAAGTCAGTGATCCACATTATACACTTAATTTTCAAAGCAGCTCTATCTGCAACTTTAGCTGCTAGCTATAAGCCTACATCTAGTAAAGCCCTGTATGGTCAAGCAAAACCAGCTTGTAACACTCGTAAAATACCATTGCCCGACGCCCGGGTCAAGTGGAATTCTCCAGTTGGTCAAATATCCACATTAAACTTTACCGTGGAACAGTAGAGCCAAACTACTGAAATGTTTTGACATCTGTATTTTCATCATGATATACAAATGCTACCAGCTAACGTCTGTTAGCTGTTCTGTTATTTATAATTAATAAAGATTATTTGCAAAAGAAACCCAATTGTTATTGTGGTCAAGTGAAATTAGTATTTAGTCAAGTGGATTTTGAAAGTTAACTGGACCTGTGTCAGTGGAGTTTTGAAAAAATGTTCAAACCCTGTGTTTAATGAAAATAATGCCACAAGATGTGGACTTCAAACCCCAGGAAGTAGTGACCAAAATCTCACCTGGGCCTGAATTCCAGCCAGCAGATCCATGACAATCTTCTCCTTCACCTTGTCAGGCAGCGTCAGATCATCCACCTGGACGGACAACATACTCAAGGTGTTACTGAGGGAGACAATAGATCCTAACCTTGGGTTCCATTCTTATCACAATAACAATGGCATAGTAGGGGTGAAACGGTACGCTTTTACCACGGTACGGTACGTGTTGCGGTATAAGGCATTCGATTCGGTCCGTTTCGATTTGGTATGTGAGATATGATCATAATGCCAAAAAATGACAAGAAGAGTCAAACCTTACATGTGATTGTTTAATAACATGGAAATTAAATAACCATAATGTTTGTTCTTTTGAATGAACAAAACTGTCATTTTATGACTAGAAAGAAATGCCGGTACGAAAACAGAAAGTTTGGATTGCTTTATGGTATACCAAACCAAAGGCAAAATACCGTGGTTCTATTAATACCGCGGTACACCATTTCACCCCTATGGTATACCGGAGATACATAGATCACAGAGGTATGGCACCCATTGACCCTTATATTAGTGCTAAAATCGTCATATCCTATGTGATTCTATGGAACATACAACAGTCAAAGGGGCGAGTTAATGAGAGAGTGGGTGTGTGTGTGTGTGTGAGTGTGTGTGTGAGTGAGTGAGTGAGTGGGTGGGTGGGTGTGAGCGAGTGAGGGTGTGTGTGAGTGGATGTGTGAGTAAGTGGGTGGGTGTGTGAGCGAGTGAGAGGGTGTGTGAGCGAGTGAGTGGGTATGTGAATGAGTCTGTGAGTGGGTGTGAGCGAGTGGGTGTGTGAGTGAGTGGGTGGGTGAGCGAGTGAGTGCGTGTGTTAGCGATTGAGTGGGTGTGTGAGCGATTGAGTGGGTGTGTGAGTGAGTGGGTGGGTGAGCGAGTGAGTGCGTGTGTTAGCGATTGAGTGGGTGTGTGAGCGATTGAGTGGGTGTGTGAATGAGTGGGTCTGTTAGCATTAGGACCAAGTTCAAGAACAGGATAATCTATAAAACGGTAGAGCTAAATGAGGTTCAAACAACACAAGTCAAAGTGGAGCAGTCATAAAACAATAATGTCCACTGACCTTGAACTTGGACGATGTGATGAGGAAGTTCTTCCAGGCCAACAGGAGCTGCAGAGTAGCATTTTCCTTCATCTCTTCATCCCCACTAACTTCAGCGTTCTCCCCCTCTGCCACCAGACAACGCCTCAAGAACTGGAACACAATGGTGAATAGTGACGGGGTATGTTCCATGCTGCAGCCAGTAATACTAGAGGTACCATGGCAGGTTTTGAAATGAAAATATAACCACCAAGTAAAATTCAGGAAAGGCCGGTGCCATGTCCAGGTTATTTATAATAATGATAATAATAATAGAGCATTTGTATGGCGCCTTTCCAGGCTAGATATCCTGCTCAAGGCACACAAAATGTCAATAGAGTCAACAGAAAGCTTCTCGAAAGAGATGAGTTTTTAGGAGACTAGTTCTAAATCTGGGATAAACAGAGCATGAACGGATGTTGTGAGGCTGACAGTCCACTCTTTAGCAGCAGCGTAAGAGAAGGAACGTTGTCCAAATCGTGTGAGCTTGACTTTTGTACTGTCAAGAGGTTCTGGTTTTCTGATCGAAGTGATCTAGATGGACAATAAGGTTGTATCAGTTCTGAGAGGTAGACAGGAGCTGTGTCGGTCAAACATTGATGAGCCAAGCAAAGGATTTTGAAGTTGATCCTGTGCTTGACAGGAGTGAGTGAGTGAGTTTAGTTTTACGCCGCCCTCAGCAATATTCCAGCGGTCTGTAAATAATCGAGTCTGGACCAGACAATCCAGTGATCAACAGCATGAGCATCGATCTGCGTAATTGGGAACCGATGACATGTGTCAACCAAGCCAGCGAGCCTGACCGCCCGATTCCGTTAGTCGCCTCTTACGACAAGCATAGTCGCCTTTTGTGGCAAGCATGGGTTGCTGAAGACCTATTCTACCCCAGATCTTCACGGGTGCTTGACAGGAAGCCGATGGAGTTCTTGCAACACTGGAGATATATGGTCGTATCTGTGACTGAGAGATATGATACGAGCAGCAGTATTCCGTACACGCTGTAATTTTAGCCCCCCACACAGTATGCAGGGTATTCTTGAAGCACAAGGTTTGGTGGGTAGCCCAGTGGTTAAAGTGCTCTCTCATCACGCCGTAGACCTAGGTTTGACCACCCCGTGGGTACAATGTGTGAAGCCCATTTGTGATATTGCTGGAATATTGCTAAGAACAGGCAAAAACCATATTCACTCAAGTCTGGTGGAGATTCAATGTTGTAATGAAAACTACAACAGTATGTATGGCATACTCAACCCTGGAACACGCACTCCCGTTTCACAAAGCTATCGTAGCGCTACAACTGTCATACCTCCTATACTGGGCACCGTTTCACAAAGCTATCGTAGCGCTACGACTGTCGTACCTCCTATACTGGGCCCCATTTCACAAAGCTATCGTAGCGCTACGACTGTCGTACCTCCTATACTGGGCACCGTTTCACAAAGCTATCGTAGCGCCACGACCGTCGCATACCTCCTATACTGGGCCCCATTTCACAAAGCTATCGTGAAGCGCCACGACTGTCGTACTCTCTATACTGGGCACCGTTCACAAAGCTATCGAAGCGCTTCGACTGTCGCACCTCCTATACTGGGCCTTGTTTCACAAAGTTATCGCTTCGCCACGACTGTCGTACCTCCTATACTGGGCCCCATTTCACAAAGCTATCGAAGGCCACGACTGTCGCACCTCCTATACTGGGCACCGTTTCACAAAGCTATCGTAGCGCTACGACTGTCGTACCTCCTATACTGGGCCTTGTTTCACAAAGTTATTGTAGCGCTATGACTGTCGTACCTCCTATACTGGGCCCTGTTTCACAAAGTCATCGTTGCGCTACGACTGTCGTACCTCCTATACTGGGCCCTGTTTCACAAAGTTATCGTGAAGGCCACGACTGTCGCACCTCCTATACTGGGCCTTGTTTCACAAAGTTATCGTGGCGCTTATGACTGTCGCATTACCTCCTATACTGGGCCCTGTTTCACAAAGTTATCGTAGCGCCTACGACTGTCGTACCTCCTATACTGGGCCTTGTTTCACAAAGTTATCGTAGCGCTATGACTGTTGTACCTCCTATACTGGGCCCTGTTTCACAAAGTTATCGTTGCGCTACGACTGTCGTACCTCCTATACTGGGCCCTGTTTCACAAAGTCATCGTTGAGCTACGACTGTCGTACCTCCTATACTGGGCCTTGTTTCACAAAGTTATCGTAGCGCTATGACTGTCGTACCTCCTATACTGGGCCCTGTTTCACAAAGTCATCGTAGCGCTACGACTGTCGTACCTCCTATACTGGGCCTTGTTTCACAAAGTTATCGTGAAGCGCTATGACTGTCGTACCTCCTATACTGGGCCCTGTTTCACAAAGTCATCGTTATGCCACGACTGTCGTCACTCTCCTATACTGGGCCCTGTTTCACAAAGTTATCGTGGCCTTCACGACTGTCGCATTACCTCCTATACTGGGCCTTGTTTCACAAAGTTATCGAGGCTATGACTGTCGTACCTCCTATACTGGGCCCTGTTTCACAAAGCTATTGTAGCGCCTTCGACTGTCGTGCCTCCTATACTGGGCCCTGTTTCACAAAGTTATCGTAGCGCTTCACGACTGTCGTACCTCCTATACTGGGCCCTGTTTCACAAAAGTTATCAGAAGGCTATGACTGTCGCACCTCCTTTACTGGGCCCTGTTTCACAAAGTTATCGTGAAGCGCTATGACTGTCGCATCTCCTATACTGGGCCCTGTTTCACAAAGTCATCGTTGCGCTACGACTGTCGTACCTCCTATACTGGGCCTTGTTTCACAAAGTTATCGTAGCGCTATGACTGTCGTACCTCCTATACTGGGCCCTGTTTCACAAAGTCATCGTTGCGCTACGACTGTCGTACCTCCTATACTGGGCCTTGTTTCACAAAGTTATCGTGAGCGCTTATGACTGTCGCACCTCCTATACTGGGCCCTGTTTCACAAAGTCATCGTATAGCTTACGACTGTCGCATTACCTCCTATACTGGTCCCTGTTTCAAAGTTATCGAAGGCCACGACTGTCGTTGCCTCCTATACTGGGCCCTGTTTCACAAAGTTATCGTAGCGCTATGACTGTCGTACTTCCTTTACTGGGCCCTGTTTCACAAAGTTATCGTAGCGCTATGACTGTCTTACCTCCTTTACTGGGCCCTGTTTCACAAAGTTATCGTAGCGCTACGACTGTCGTACCTCCTTTACTGGGCCTTGTTTCACAAAGTTATCGTAGCCCTATGACTGTCGTACCTCCTATACTGGGCCTTGTTTCACAAAGTTATCGAAGGCTTATGACTGTCGTGTACCTCCTATACTGGGCCCTGTTTCACAAAGTCATCGTTGCCACGACCGTCGCACCTCTCCTATACTGGGCCTTGTTTCACAAAGTTATCAGAAAGGCTTATGACTGTCGTTACCTCCTATACTGGGCCCTGTTTCACAAAGTCATCGCTAAGGCTTCGACTGTCGCACCTCCTATACTGGGCCCTGTTTCACAAAGTTATCGTGAAGGCCTACGACTGTCGTTACCTCCTATACTGGGCCCTGTTTCACAAAGTCATCGCAGCGCCACGACTGTCGTTACCTCTATACTGGGCCTTGTTTCACAAAGTTATCGTAGCGCTACGACTGTCGTACCTCCTATACTGGGCCCTGTTTCACAAAGTCATCGTTGCGCTACGACTGTCGTACATCCTATACTGGGCCTTGTTTCACAAAGTTATCGTAGCGCTATGACTGTCGTACCTCCTATACTGGGCCCTGTTTCAAAAAGTTATCGTAGCGCTATGACTGTCGTACCTCCTATACTGGGCCCTGTTTCACAAAGTCATCTTAGCGCCACGACTGTCGTACCTCCTATACTGGGCCCTGTTTCACAAAGTTATCGAAGGCCACGACTGTCGCATTACTCCTATACTGGGCCCTGTTTCACAAAGTCATCGTTGCGCCACGACTGTCGCATTACCTCCTATACTGGGCCTTGTTTCACAAAGTTATCGTGAAGGCTTCACGACTGTCGTACCTCTATACTGGGCCCTGTTTCACAAAGTCATCGCGCTTACGACTGTCGTACATCCTATACTGGGCCTTGTTTCACAAAGTTATCGAATGGCTATGACTGTCGTTACCTCCTATACTGGGCCCTGTTTCAAAAAGTTATCGTGAAGGGCTTATGACTGTCGTACTCTCCTATACTGGGCCCTGTTTCACAAAGTTATCGTAGCGCTACGACTGTCGTACCTCCTATACTGGGCCCTGTTTCACAAAGTTATCGTAGCGCTATGACTGTCGTACCTCCTATACTGGGCCCTGTTTCACAAAGTCATCGTTGCGCTACGACTGTCGTACCTCCTTTACTGGGCCTTGTTTCACAAAGTTATCGTAGCGCTACGACTGTCGTACCTCCTATACTGGGCCCTGTTTCACAAAGTCATCGTTGCACTACGACTGTCGTACCTCCTATACTGGGCCTTGTTTCACAAAGTTATCGTAGGGCTACGGCTGTCGTACCTCCTTTACTGTAACATAGACTTACTGTATCCTGTCCTTCTTCAATCCCCAGCTCCCCTGTCAGACAAGGCAACAACAAGTACCATCGTTTATTGTCCTTTCCATTGATATGGCCAGTTCGTCGTTCCAAAACTTTTGGATCCCTGTTCCACAAAACGATGTCACTACTACAAGTGTCATAAGCTTATTTTACAGTATAGGAGATACGACAGTCGCAGCACTACGATAGCTTTGTGAAACAGGGCCCTTGTTGGCTGGGAGTGTAGGGTCACTTTGTGGAATGGGATCCTGCGTTCTGGGCAAATGCTATTACCCTCAAGTCCATGAAGGGGGTCCCAAATATCATGTACAGTATACCCTGGTTATAGTGCAACCATTTGTCCAGGAGAAATTGTGGCATTATAACCAGGTAGGACAGTCAGAGGCCCTGTGCAATCAACAAGGTGATTGAGCTGATGTCTCCTTATACTGAGCCTTGAATCTGGGATTACAAGACTACTTAAAGCATTAATGAGTTCGGTCAATTAATTGAGTCATGTCAATTAACCAATTAAGGTAAGTATACTATAGTTTGGCATGAAATGCATGTGGACCCGTTTTTTTGTAAATATCTCTTCATCCAATGACCCAATCGATCTCAAACTGTGCAAGTGGATTTTTTGTCAGACAACCTAATCACATTGTAAATCACTGATTTTATGCATTTGTATTAAAGAATCTGTCTATGTAACTGTCAACAAAATAAACAGCAGAACGCAAACTGCTTGCAGAGGGAGGGAGCCAATGACCTGTAACACATGTAGCCAGTGTAATTGGCATTCTAAGCAGGGGAAATGACTTTTCTTTCGAAAAAATACATTGGCAATGGCATTATATCCAGTTTGGCATTATAAGCAGAGTATTATAGGTAGGAATTCTGTTCTGGCACAAACATGGCATTATATCCATTGTATATAGTATTCAGCTATGGGGGATTGGATTACAGCTGTGAGTACCACAAAGCTCAGACCCCTGTCACCTACCTCAGTCCACGTGTTGAGTCGTTTGTCCTTGGAGATCATCTGCAGAGACTTCTTCAGTTTGTCGTCCAACTTGGAGCTGCACACACAGAAGAGAGTCAGATATAGTCAGGTGTCACTGCTAGTTTCCATGACATTTAAGACCGCCTCTGTGATGTAGTGGTTAGATCGTCCACCCGGAGAGCAGAAGGTCGCGGGTTCGATCTCCGACCGTGTCATACCAAAAGACGTTAAAACATGGTACTTATTGGTCCCTGCCTGGCGTTCGGCATTTATGGTACAACAAGGACTGGCCAGCTCGGAGTCAGTATAATGTATCTGAGTGGGGTATTCATGCTTCACTGCGGCATGGTATCTCAGTGGGCTAGTACTATAAAACCAGCTTCAGTCTGGGCTAGTACAAGCAGCCTCACATATATATATATACACGCATGCACATCGTCATTTGAGCGAAATATTCTCAAGTATGGCGTTAAACCCCATTTCACCTCACCTCACATCACCATGACATTTTACATCACAATAAAACCAAACTAAAACTCAAATCTCATTCAAACAAATCAGTTCTAAGTCACATTTCTGTATTCTGACGTTGACTAAGTTATATTTCAGCTTTCAGAAATGAAGTGCGGGCACACCAATCTTTCAGGAAAGCGATTAATGAGGTGTTGGCAACATGACGTCACAAAAACACACGCAATCCAGAGATAGGCTGCTATTTCAATACACACAGCAAGTGTGTGCATGTAGACCCCTCCCTGAATGAGTGAGTGAATTGGGTTTTACACCACTTTCAGCAATATTCCAGCAATATCACAGCGGGTGACATAAGAATGTGCTTCACACATTGTACCTATGTGGGGAAATCGAACCCAGGCTCTGTGCACGACGAGCGAATGCTTTAACAACTAGACTACCCTCCCACCCCCTCCCAGCATGAAAGGCTTCTACACTCTCTCTCTCTCAAAGGCAAACATACAGTCAACAGCTTCTGTCAATTAGTACTAAATCAACATATGTAAGTCATTCATGCCCCACCAGTAGTGAGTTTGCCTGCGAAAGCACCATTAAGGAGTCTGTCTGTAAAGGTCAGCAGTACCTGTGGATTATGTAGAGCTCCTGGGCCAGGATCTTGAAGACAAATGCCACAGTTTTTATTTCAAACTTGAGGGAGTGATCATTCAGGTCTGATGTTGGGTCAGGCAGGTTCCGTGTCAGTGGAGCAAACACACTCGGCCAGAAGGCATCCCTGAAACAAATACAGACACCCTTAGTGCTGGCCCCATTTACTTTATGCTGGGGACACTAGGCGGGAGACAGAGGGGGCATACCTGCTTAATGCAGGCCACATTTACGTAAAGCAGGGCACACTCACTGGCTTCAGAGCACAGCTAGTTAGGGGAACACTTACTTGGTTAATAAGGAGATACCATACTTAATGTGGCCACACTTACCTAGTTTGTGACACACTTACATATGGCAGGGGGTGCCTACTTAATGTGGCCACACTTACCTAGTTTGTGACACACTTACATATGGCAGGGGGTGCCTACTTAATGTGGCCACACTTACCTAGTTTGTGACACACTTACATATGGCAGGGGTGCCTTCTTAATGTGGCCACACTTACCTAGTTTGTGACACACTTACATATGGCAGGGGATGCCTACTTAATGTGGCCACACTTACCTAGTTTGGGACACACTTACATATGGCAGAGGGTGCCTACTTAATGTGGCCACACTTACCTAGTTTGGGACACACTTACATATGGCAGAGGGTGCCTACTTAATGTGGCCACACTTACCTAGTTTGTGACACACTTACATATGGCAGAGGGTGCCTACTTAATGTGGCCACACTTACCTAGTTTGTGACACACTTACATATGGCTGAGGGTGCCTACTCGTGTTAGGCATACTTACTTGGTGCGGAGGACCTCCATGGCCGTCTCCCGCAGTCCCCGCCACAAGGAGTGGATGAAGTCGGCACAGGCACACAGCAGGTCTGGAGGACACTGGTAGCTACTCTGGGAACAAGAAAATAACTCTTGTAACAAAATCAAGAAGTAATGCAAAAAACACTATGTTCTTATCCTAAAGCAAAACCTCATGAAACATTCAGTAAACAGTACTAATCCGGCATGAATATAGCTCACATGTGGCTAATCACACCGTCTGAAATAGGTTGGTTGTTGTATAACACCACACTCAGCAATATTCCAACTACATGGATCTTCACAGGGTGGAAAATAGGTACTGTCTGTACAGCGTGTATTCTCTCTCGAATGATGCCTTTGTCCAGTGTTAACTAAGCGTGTCCATGTCAACGATCTTAACAATCTGAACATGAAACAGGTATGGCTGCCAGTCCTTAAGCATGTTCAGCAGACACTTCTGGTGTGTGGATACAAGGTGAGGTGAGGTGAAATTGGATTTAACATCGTGCTTGAGAATATTTCGCTCATATGACGACGTGCATGCGAGTGTATGTGTATGTGCGGCTGCTTGTACTAGCCCAGACTTAAGCTGGTTTTATAGTGCTAGCCCACTGAGATACCATGCCGCAGTGAAGCATGAATACCCCACACAAACACATTATACTGACTCCGAGCCGACCAGTCCTTGTTGTACCCATTAATGCCGAGCACCAGGCAGGGACCAACAAGTACCATAGTTTAACGTCTTTTGGTATGACGCGGTTGGGGATCGAACCTGCGACCTTTCGCTCTCCGGGCGGACGCTCTAACCACTACACCACGGAGGCGGTCTGGATATAAGGAGATGCTTGATGCAATGGCACCAGTATGTTTAACAAGTACCAACATCTGTGGATAGTCTACGAGGACATTGACATTACATGTCAAATTTGAAATTCATCCTCATTGGGTCTATTTTATGAATAGACACATGACCTAAAACAATAACTATAAAAACTAACTGGAATGCCCAGACAAACAAATATTAACATCGAAGTCAGCAATATTCCAGCTCAACTAGCATGGGAACCACAGAACTATCTGCGGAGTTTCTACAGGAAGGAGCAACTGGACGACATACTCAGCCTGGACACAGACAACTAGACTGACTGAATACACTGTGTCATTTAGAAAGTGGTCAAGTGTAACACATGTTACATATAGTGAGTGAGTGAGTTTGGTTATATGCTGCTTTTAGCAATATTCTAGTAATATCACGGTGGGGACACCAGAAATGGGCTTCACACATTGTACCCATGTGGGGAATCGAACCTGAGTCTTCAGCCCGACGAGTGAACGCCTTAACTACTAGGCTACCCCACCGCCCCTTGTTACATATAGAGATTGTTACACAAGCATGCCACATGACTTATATGAAATGGGTGTGAAATTTGTATCGCTCGAGCGAGAGCAAGGGCAAAACATAATTTTACACAAGTTTTGTATAAGTCGTATGTGACACTTACGGGTGTAATAATTTCTTTATTATCCATTTTATTCATGTGCATTTGTGCAGTAAAACACGGTAAGCAAGTGTGACGGTCCTCTTCATTGACGTCATTTTCAATTGTTTAATGATAAAATACAGACACAATGGTAGCTAGGTTACAGTGATATGTGTACATGTGTACATGATATATAAGACACTAGTTATGTTTCACCAAATGGGTAATAATATGGAATACACTCTCTCTCTGTAAAGTACAGATTTTAGTACTTTTGTTGGGTTGAATCCCATCCCGGCAAGTCAGACACCTGAATGACAGCACACAAAGTCAGCCACCTAACCCAGTCATCCACCGAGGCTGTTACAAAAATGGAACTCGGACAACTGGTTGTAGACCACAGACTTTGCGTACCATTCTGATAAGTTTAATTTGGCATGGCTCCCACGGCCAAAAGCTAGGAATACACAATGCCATTTAGAAATGGTCAAATGTAACACGTCTTATTACGGACAAAAGTACTGTATTTTACTGAGATAGTGTAAACCCAAATAAATCATATATTAAACTAGAATGACTTCATGTACAGTGATAATATGGACGAGATGGTTCACCTGTTTCTTGATGTCCATGAGTCCGAGGACCGTCTGCAGACAGGAGCTCTTCCCCAAACTCAGGTCATGCTACAGTAGACAGATAAGTAGTGAGTGAGTGAGTAAGTCAGTATAGTTGTATGCCACTTTTAGCAATATTCCAGCAACATCACAGCAGGGAACACCAGAAATAGGCTTTACACATTGTACCCATGTGGGGAATCGAACCCAGGCCTTTGGCGAGACGAGACCCAGACAGACAAGTCACATGATGTAGGTCAAACAGACTCATAGACTGATAAACTGTTTGTTTTTGTTGTTGACACAGAGTTGATGAGATGTGTTACATTGAAATCAAGATACTGTCCTTCAGCCAAGTGAACAATCCATTCATTGTTATCTGTTTTGTAGAGCTAGTCTATGAAACATGTTTATCTCACCAACACCTGCTCGTCTGACCATCACACTTCAAACTCAGTAACATGTACATCATCTCACAAACACAACTGTATCTCACCTACACACATCTATCTTACCATCACACACCTTCCATAAGTGGTATTTAGAAGCTGGTATGATGAAGAGGAACACTTTTTATGGATAGACAACGATGAGAGTTCTATGGATATGCAACTTCTTTAACATAATTTATCTTACCTTCATGTAAAATACTTTAATTTCATTGGTCAATGACGGTTTAACAAGTTTCCGTGTCACCCTCCCAGGAGGGTGACAACTGGAAAAAATATTACTCGCTGCCACAGTAACCGCCAAGCTCTCCGCCGAGAAGCTGAACGCTAACAATCGTATGACGTTATAATATGACGCATGCCATCCCCGGAGTTCGAAAACCGTTTGATCAGCTGTTTTTGTGTTCACTTTGTACAGATTTATTTTACCGACTTTCACTGCCTTATTTAAGCTATTTTATACATTGAATGGTTTGCACACTCAGCTTAAACATAATTAACAATTTTCATAGCAGTTTTATGCTTGTCAGAATATGTTTCACTGATGTTGAAAATCCAGTCAAGAGTCAGACGCCATTTTGTTTGCATGTCATATAGTCGGTAGCGATCTTTAGCATAAAATAAAATAATATTTTGTACATTTAACATGGCGGTAAGATAAATACGTTGTATGCTTCTCCCTCGGGTAATACGGTCTGATGTACGCCTCTTTGTAGCAGTGTCACCTGAGCCAGTAAGTGAGGGATGACACTGCTACAAAGAGGCGTATATCAGACCGTATTACCCTCGAGAGAAGCATACAACTTATAATGAGTGACGGTTCGGTGTAACTATTGACACAGTTTTCAAGCAAATGTTGCTACACCGAAACGTCACCCATATTATATTAAAGAAGTTGCATATCCATAGAACTCTTCTCATACCAACTTCTAAATGCCACTCAAACAAGTTTTTTTGGATCGACAACTTCTTTATTGCAGTGGCTGCAACGATTCAGTGTAGATCCTAACATTTGTTTGATAACAGTGTTAGGATCTACATCGAAGTTGAAAAGAAGATGTCTATCCATAAAAAGTGTTCCTCTTCATCACACACCAATCTCACCAAAATGCCTCTATCTTAACATCACATTTCCATCAGACAACACACACATATCTAACAACACACACACCCATCCCTCCTTACCTTCTTGCCATCCGAAGAGTCCACCATCTGCACGTTGAGGAAGACCTCGATGAGTCCCGGGCTGTGTCTCCACACACTCTGACAGCAGCTCCAGGATCATCACCTTCAACCGTAGATCCTGCGACAGACAAGACGCTTTTCAGTACACTCAGTAGCACCGTCGATCCGTAAAGATCCGGGTTAGAATTGATCTTCAGTAAGTCATGCTTGTTGTAAGAGGTGACTAACGGGATCTGGTGGTCAGGCTCGCTGACTTGATTGACACATGTCATTGGTTCCCAATCATGTGAGGTGAGGTGAAATTGGGTTTAACGTCGTATTGAGAATATTTTGCTCATATGTTGACGTGCATGCGTGTGTATGTGTATGTGCGGCTGCTTGTACTGGCCCAGACTGAAGCTGGTTTTATAGTGCTAGCCCACTGAGATACCATGCCATTAATTGTTGTACCCATTAATGCCTAGCGCCAGGCAGGGACCAACAAGTACCATATTTAAACGTATTTTGGTATGACGCGGTCGGGGATCGAACCCACAACCTTCCGCTCTCCAGGCGGACGCTCTAACCGATACACCACAGATGCCGTCCCCAATCGTGTAGATCGATGCTCATGCTGTTGATCACTGGATTGTCTGGTCTAGACTCTATTATTTACAGACAAGCATGGATCACTGTGGATCCAGTCAGCCTTCAATCACCACAGGAAGACAAGCATGGATCACTGTGGATCCAGTCAGTCTTCAATCACCACAGGAAGACAAGCATGGGTCACTGTGACCCAGTCAGTCTTCAATCATCACAGGTAGACAAGCATGGGTCACAGTGACCCAGTCAGTCTTCAATCACCACAGGAAGACAAGCATGGATCACTGTGGATCCAGTCAGCCTTCAATCACCACAGGAAGACAAGCATGGATCACTGTGGATCCAGTCAGTCTTCAATCACCACAGGAAGACAAGCATGGGTCACTGTGACCCAGTCAGTCTTCAATCATCACAGGTAGACAAGCATGGGTCACAGTGACCCAGTCAGTCTTCAATCACCACAGGAAGACAAGCATGGATCACTGTGGATCCAGTCAGCCTTCAATCACCACAGGAAGACAAGCATGGATCACTGTGGATCCAGTCAGTCTTCAATCACCACAGGAAGACAAGCATGGGTCACTGTGACCCAGTCAGTCTTCAATCATCACAGGTAGACAAGCATGGGTCACTGTGGATCCAGTCAGCCTTCAATCACCACAGGAAGACAAGCATGGGTCACTGTGACCCAGTCAGTCTTCAATCATCACAGGTAGACAAGCATGGGTCACTGTGGATCCAGTCAGCCTTCAATCACCACAGGAAGACAAGCATGGGTCACTGTGACCCAGTCAGTCTTCAATCATCACAGGTAGACAAGCATGGGTCACAGTGACCCAGTCAGTCTTCAATCACCACAGGAAGACAAGCATGGATCACTGTGGATCCAGTCAGCCTTCAATCACCACAGGAAGACAAGCATGGATCACTGTGGATCCAGTCAGTCTTCAATCACCACAGGAAGACAAGCATGGGTCACTGTGACCCAGTCAGTCTTCAATCATCACAGGTAGACAAGCATGGGTCACTGTGGATCCAGTCAGCCTTCAATCACCACAGGAAGACAAGCATGGGTCACTGTGACCCAGTCAGTCTTCAATCATCACAGGTAGACAAGCATGGGTCACTGTGGATCCAGTCAGCCTTCAATCACCACAGGAAGACAAGCATGGGTCACTGTGGATCCAGTCAGTCTTCAATCACCACAGGTAGACAAGCATGGGTCACTGTGGATCCAGTCAGCCTTCAATCATCACAGGTAGACAAGCATGGGTCACTGTGGATCCAGTCAGCCTTCAATCACCACAGGAAGACAAGCATGGGTCACTGTGGATCCAGTCAGTCTTCAATCACCACAGGTAGACAAGCATGGGTCACAGTGACGAAGTCTGCCTTCAGTTACCACAGGTGGTCAAGCATGGGTCACTACTAAATCACCCAGGGTACAATTTATTTGAAACATTTATTCTTCATCGTATTGGGGAAACACCAAGTGTTTTGCCTACCTCAGACAGAGCCTGCAGTCTAGTGAGGAACATGTCTCGAATGGGCTCGGCATCATTGCCTAGGCAGGCCAGGATGGACATCGGAGACACCTGGAACATTAAATATAAGTCAAGTAAACAATCAATTCGTAAGTATTATCCACATCAAAATAACGTTCCGAGGATGTTTTTACAGTTCTTAGATTATTTTTTGTTTGAGGGTACAGTTTGCTAATTCCAAAAACAAGGCAAGGGCCATAACTCTGTCAAAATATTCATTCCCAATGCTCAGACTTTCAAGATATTTATCTCTTTTATATCTCTTATGTTTTCAGAAAATATGTTTCCATTGCAGTCAGATGAACAGATAAAGCTCAGTCCTATATCTCCTACTCTACTTCATGGTGGGAAAAAAGGGGATAAGCTACATGCAAACTGGCAGTCCTAGCAAGTTTGACTAAAGCGTAAACTATGTGAACCGACTACCGGGTACCCACCAAAGCGAGTCTCTTAAGCAGCACAGCAGCCAGGGTAGGGAGGCGAGGGTCGTCGCGGTGGTAGATGTACTGGGCGATGGTGGCCACGATGTGTTGATGCTGGTGCCCAGCCGGCTGTGAGGAGAGAGCATGCTCCGTTGGTGACACTGGGAGGTCGGGGGACCTCAGTAACAGGAGACGGTTGAGGACGGAGAAGGAAAGTTGGATGAGTTGGATGAGGTCGACGCCGACACCCTCTGCATTGCTGGAAGATAGTGTGGGAATCTTCAGAACGCGGTACACTGATGATAGGTGACAACCTGCTGGATATCTACACTGGGGGCACACCTCACCTGCTCTTATAGTCAACGACTTTCTCAACACTGTCTACACATGGGGGCACACCTCACCTGCTCTTATAGTCAACGACTTCCTCAACACTGTCTACACATGGGGGCACATCTTATCTGCTCTTATAGTCAATGACTTTCTCAACACTGTCTACACTCGGGGCACATCTTACCTGCTCTTATAGTCAACGACTTTCTCAACACTGTCTACACATGGGGGCACATCTTATCTGCACTTATAGTCAATGACTTTCTCAACACTGTCTACACATCTTACCTGCTCTTATAGTCAACTACTTTCTCAACACTGTCTGCACAGGGGCCACATATCACTTGCTCTTATAGTCAATGACTTTCTCAACACTGTCTACACTGGGGCCACATATCACTTGCTCTTATAGTCAATGACTTTCTCAACACTCTACACATGGGGGCACATCTCACCTGCTCTTATAGTCAACGACTTTCTCAACACTGTCTACACAGGGGCCACATATCACTTGCTCTTATAGTCAATGACTTTCTCAACACTGTCTACACTGGGGGCACATATTACCTGCTCTTATAGTCAACTACTTTCTCAACACTGTCTACACATGGGGCACATCTCACCTGCTCTTATAGTCAACGATTTTTTCAACACTGTCTGCACAGGGGGCGAATATTACCTGCTCTTACAGTCAAAAACTTTCTCAACACTGTCTACACTGGGGGCACATCTTACCTGCTCTTATAGTCAACGACTTCCTCAACACTGTCTACACATGGGGGCACATCTTATCTGCTCTTATAGTCAACGACTTTCTCAACACTGTCTGCACAGGGGGCACATATTACCTGCTCTTATAGTCATCGACTTTCTCAACACTGTCTACACATGGGGCACATCTCACCTGCTCTTATAGTCAACGATTTTCTCAGCACTGTCTACACTGGGGGCACATCTTACCTGCTCTTACAGTCAACGACTTCCTCAACACTGTCTGCACATCTTACCTGCCCTGAGAGGCAACGGCCTGTTCAACACTGTCTACACCAGTGGCGAGGACGTCCAGAAGAGCTCGTCCAGCCTCAGTAAACAGTAGACTGTACACACACACCTCCTGTAGTCGAGGCCTTGGAACACAAACATGGAAGTAAGTCACTAGTTAAACAACACTGGACAAGGAACAATTTCATTAATTCCTTGTTGTGTTCTGAATGAACATGTACAGTGGGGAACTACACATGCATCCATTCAAACAATAGACCAGGCAGACAAAATATTCACTAACACATGGAGGACATATCTCTGGTTGAGTTTAGTGAGTTTAGTTTTGTGCCACACTCAGCAATATCCCAGCAATATGGCAGCAGTCTGTAAATAATCGAGTCTGGACCGGACAATCCAGTGATCAACAGCACGAGCATCGAGCTAAGCAGTTGGGATACGATGACATGTGTCAAACAAGTCAGCGAGCCTGACAACCTGATCACATTAGTTGCCTCTTGCGAAAAGCATTAGGCAATGAATTTCAATTCTTATCCAGATCTTCACAGGTCAATATTTTTGAAAATTTTACTATCAATTGTATATTTATATACCTATCCTATCTCACGGTATGCACCTCTCTTCTTCTTCTGTGACCATGTGTGGAAATGTGCTCTGCCCCCGACCTCTGCCCCCACTCCGATAGCAGTACCTGTCAATCATCTCAATAAGTGTGCATATCACTCAGATGATCACGTGACGGTCTGTGCCTGTCATTCTCGTCTTGGAGCTTCCAGTTATCTGTGATGTGGGGCAGGTCGGGTGGGTATCCATCGCGTGAGATAGGATAAGTATATGAATATACAATTTATAGTCAAATTTTCAAATTTTTAAACTTATCCTATCTCATGGTATGCATAATCCCACGGTTGGCAGGAGGGTCGCAGATTACCCTGTCAATACTTACAACCGTGAAGACGCATAACCCAAGGAGGCCAGGAGAAAGCATCAACTCCCGATATGCAAACTCCAAACTTGAGATGGGATGCTTCAGATAACCCCTTGGCTTACACAGCACAAAAACTCTAGGGAGTGGGCGATCCCGAATTAATGTGGTTTTCAGCCGCAACTTTTGACAAGCAAAAGGACGCAGTTTGGCAAGTAGGCCCCGCTGCCCAGCGATTTATCAGGTGACCCAAGTGAATTAAAGTCGAGGACCTTAATCTGGCCGGTCCCTGCTTCGAAACTATCCCCCCACAGACACACGCTGGAAGGCGGTGAAAGAGGGAATAGCCCGGTTGCTCAACTAGTTTAACGTTCAGTACCAATCCCCCTAACTTACCAAAGGTGAGAAAGGACTTAGGAGCGGAACGCTTTGAAAAACACGCCGGAAATCGGAAATCAACACTTCACTGACGTGATTGCTCAGAGAGAAGAGGTCAGTAAGTGGAGTGTCGACCACCTCTGCATGTAGCACAAGACTGGCCTCTCAGTCTATCGAGTCATAACTATGACAGTGCAGACACGCCCTAGTACCCTAGGTGAGGTGGTCTATGCCCAATATAATCCATACCAATAAGAAAGATAGGACCGATATCTTTCATGATATAGAGAATGCAAAACCTACACGAAGGTAGGAACTGCATCTTATCTGCGTTTGCAAGCCGACGACAACTGCTACGCCAGAACCAATGGACCCAGATGGTGAAGACCTTCCACGTCAGTGACAGACAGATCCCGGAGGTAGGGTGAGACAAAGATCGAGTCCAACTCCAAAAAACAACCCTCCATGATGCCGTGAAGAAAACAGTTCTATGTCGCGCCATCGTAGAGGTCAAGGCTCTTGTCTCATGAGGGTTGGCCGTAGTAAGAGGAAGGTCAACACAGGCGTAGGCATGAAGGATGGTAGATTGCATCCCGAAGGTCAGTGTGGTACAAGAGACTTCTGTAGATGAGGCAGATGACAGAGAAATAAACAGTCTCTTGCGTAACCTACGACGGTCAATGGAGGCAGTTAAAAGACCTGTAAATTCCGGACAGGACATAGGGAAAGATTCTCGGTGTCGTCAGGGCCCAAAATAGAAGACAGCGGCAGGAAGGCAAATAGTCTGTCCGGCTGTCCAGGCAACTGGTTTCAGCGAAGAGATCCCACTTCAACCAGGGAGGGCTTTGACATGTCTGGTCCTCTTGAAACGCAACTGGGAGACATCCAGTGCGTGAAGCTTGGAGATGCAGGCAGCAGTCGCAAGAGCCAGGAGGAAGAAAGTCTTAAACGTGACATGCTTGAAGCCTTCTCTGCCAGAGGTTCATACTCCTCTGACATGAGATGATTAAAAACCACGTGTAGAAAAGTGACTATGTACAAGCGATCTACTGGAGCAAACGGCCTTAAAGAGACTCCACTGTAAACATTCAACCCATCCAACCACCACTGGAGATGGAGATGGAGCGCTGGAGGAAGAGAGATCAATGCGGGAGGGACGCCAATCCTGATGTGCTGACCCAGAAAAAAAGTTGAAGCTATCCCCTGTAAGTCAAAGCTTGAGCTGACGTCAACAGACCCAGAAACTATTGCCACTGAAGAAAAAATATCTCCCGAGATAGGATACATTCGAGTAGCCAAGCTACCATGACAGCACTGACGAAGTGCTGAATGTAGGAGGTTCGTGGCATGGAGGTGTCAATCAATCTACAGGAACGTACACATTGACAGAGTGCTGAAGGCCGTATAAACAGTGATCGGAGGAACTTATAGTTCGCCAAATGAAGTCTACCGGAACATTCGTAAAGTTGATGGAATGGCAGAGGTAAAAAAGACCAGTGACTCCAGGAACGTTCATAAAGGAGACGAAGGTAGTAACATCGATGCCTACGAACAGTCCGGACATAGCTGCAGTGACCTCTGAACTGAGGCCTTCAGCTAAGAACCGAGTATACCCAGCCAAAGTGAAAGCGTCATGGTGATTCTGTCTGGCACACTCGGTAAACTGTTTCTCCCGGCTGACTGACGAAACTCGACATAATCACTCTTACCGGGAATGGCACTGTCCGTCATCACTGGCAATTAAAGGCTGGGATAGTTATCCGCTTTGTAGGACCAAGACAAGTGTGTCAGGGCATTCCATAATCACTCTAATTATCAAAAAATCTCTGGTAAACAAACAGTAGTCTGCTTCCCACATGCAATAGTGACAAAAAAACAGGCACCACGCTCTTCGGTTAACCAGGCCAGTCCCAACCCATAACATCTGTTTTAAGGGACGCTCGCTACTTGACCAAAGATTGATACCACACGCAGAAACTGTGGATACTAGGCCAACTTCATATTCAGGAATATTATACGACACTTCACTGAGTCTGGTTACTACAGACTGACTGACTGACCGAGTTTAGTTTTACGCCGCTTTTAGCAATATTCCAGCAATATCACGGCGGGGGACACCAGAAATGGGCTTAACACATTGTGCCCATGTGGGGAATCGAACCCGGGTCTTCCGCGTGACGAGCCAACGCTTTAACCACTAGGCTACCCCACCGCCCCTACTACAGACTACTCGAAACAGCGTTATGATGTATCACTTGGTGTAATCGTGGCCTGTTTCGTCATCCTCATCATCATTCCTTTAACATCAACCAGTTTCTGGACAGATATGTCAAACCTGGTCTAACTGAGAGAACACACGTCCACTCGGTGTAGCGACAAGAAAGAGAATGACAGGCACAGACCGTCACGTGATCATCTGAGCGATCTGCTCGCTTATTGAGATGATTGACAGGTACTGCTATCAGAGTGGGGGCAGAGGTTGGGGGGTCAGAGGCCAGATAACTTTTGATTCAACTTAGCCTACAGCACTTTTCCACACATGGTCGTAGAAGAAGAGAGGTGCATACCGTGAGATACGATAAGTTTAAAACTTAAAGATATGCAGGGAAAAACTTATTCAGTTACCATGGAAACTGCATCAATTAGAGTCATTAAAAATACTTTGTAAATGCAGCAATTGGTTAGTATACTGATATTGTTGGTATTGTTGGTAAATGGGGAGAGGATTGTTGGCATGGCTCACCTTTTACTTTTTGATTTCTTCTTTTGCAATGTCATTAGGTTGAGGATCTTATGGAACACCTGCAAACACTTGTGGCCTAAACAAACATGGACACGTCATTAACACCAGCAACCAATTGTGATGCAGAATAAGCACTAGTATTGGGCACCTGCAAGCACTTGTAGCACATGCAAGTTACATGAGATCTCTAAATATGCTCATACAGTTTATGGCTCCTTCGATTTTTTACTCACAACTCAAATCTTTACAGGACATCCTGTACTGAACAATATTGATCAAGAGGAGGTGTGAATGTGTAAATCCGACATTTCTCTGATTTTTTTGTTTTGTTTTACATATTTTTATCATTTTTGGTCTTTGTCCAGCACATGAACACTGTGACCCCTCAAACCACCCACCTATTGTCTCCCTCCTGGTGATGTCGTAATATCTCCACTTATGATACACGGGGAAGATCTCTCGTAGGACGTACATCATCACCGGCTGAAGCTCCTCCTCTCTCTCCGCCTTCGACAGTGGCTGGCCAATCAGAAACATACAGACAATATCAACATCAGATCTGGCCAATCAGATTTTGTTTAGATGTTTGCTGTTTAACGCTGCACTCAGCAATATGGGGGCAGCCAGTAAATAATTGAGGCAGGCCAAAACAATCCAGTGATCAACATGATGAGCATCAATCAGAAACATATGGACAATATCAACAACAGATCTGAAACATACAGACAATATCGACACATCACATATGTCCAGTCCAACAGATACAGACAATATCGACACATCACATATGTCCATTCCAAAAGATACAGACAATATCGACACATCAGATATGTCCAGTCCAAATGATACAGACAATATCGAAACATCAGATATGTCCAGTCCAAATGATGCAGACAATATCGACACATCACATATGTCCAGTCCAAAAGATACAGACAATATCGACACATCACATATGTCCAGTCCAAAAGATACAGACAATATCGACACATCACATATGTCCAGTCCAAAAGATACAGACAATATCGACACATCAGATATGTCCATTCCAAAAGATACAGACAATATCGAAACATCAGATATGTCCAGTCCAAAAGATACAGACAATATCGACACATCACATATGTCCAGTCCAAAAGATACAGACAATATCGACACATCACATATGTCCAGTCCAAAAGATACAGACAATATCGACACATCAGATATGTCCAGTCTAAAAAAATCAAACAATATCGACACATCAGATATGTCCAGTCCAAAAGATACAGACAATATCGACACATCAGATATGTCCAGTCCAAAAGATACAGACAATATCGACACATCAGATATGTCCAGTCCAAAAGATACAGACAATATCGACACATCAGATATGTCCAGTCCAAAAGATACAGACAATATCGACAAACATAGGACCAATGAATGTTCTCTTTTGTGTCATCCAATCGTACCATATGAAATATGAACTGCCACTTCTTAGCTAGTTTAGGGCAGCTGGAGTATTTCCTGGAATGAAAGTTAGTCATTACCTCAATCAACTCTGTGAGGAAGCCAAGTACTGCAAGGGTGAGGGGGTATCTGCCCTGTGTGGCCTCTGTGCTGGCTAAGATGGTGCCATATAGTCCGGAACTGAGGCCACGCCCACTGGAACAAACACACATACATGAAGATGGGGCAGGTGACCATGTTTGCCTACATCTTCTGGAATATTTGAGCATCTACAGAAATCATAACATTATCTTTTAATTGACAAACGCCACATTCAAGTCGTTGTCATTATAAACATTTCAACATTTTCCAAAGGTTATCTATGGACTGTGAGGAAGGGAGGTAACTGTGTCAGCAATGACTCACCTTAACACCTTTCCAAGGTTATCTACATTCTCTGTGAGGAAGGGAAGTAATCCTGTTTGTTTCATGTTGACTCACCTCAACACCTCGCCCTAGGTTATCTACATTCTCTGTGAGGAAGGGAGGTAACTGTGTCAGCAATGACACACCTCAACACCTCACCAAGGTTATCTACATGTTCTGTGAGGAAGGGAAGTAATCCTGTTTGTTTCATGTTGACTCACCTCAACACCTCGCCTAGGTTATTTACATTCTCTGTGAGGAAGGGAGGTAACTGTGTCAGCAATGACTCACCTTAACACCTTTCCAAGGTTATCTACATTCTCTGTGAGGAAGGGAAGTAATCCTGTTTGTTTCATGTTGACTCACCTCAACACCTTGCCTAGGTTATCTACATTCTCTGTGAGGAAGGGAGGTAACTGTGTCAGCAATGACTCACCTCAACACCTCACCAAGGTTATCTACATTCTCTGTGAGGAAGGGAAGTAATCCTGTTTGTTTCATGTTGTGCCATATCTGAGAAAACAGAAATACAATTCAAAATGTTTTCAGGAAAAGCGTAAATACAAAATATAGGAAATGATAAGGCTTCAGTGATTAATGCTACTAGATAACACTATTACCATTTGAAAACATCAAACATATAAAAAAGCAGACTCTTGTCTACCTGTGGATCCTGTCTACCTGTGGTTCCTGTCTACCTGTGGATCCTGTCTACCTGTGGTTCCTGTCTACCTGTGGGTCCTGTCTACCTGTGGATACCTGTCTACCTGTGGTTCCTGTCTACCTGTGGTTCCTGTCTACCTGTGGATCCTGTCTACCTGTGGTTCCTGTCTACCTGTGGATCCTGTCTACCTGTGGTTCCTGTCTACCTGTGGATCCTGTCTACCTGTGGATCCTGTCTACCTGTGGTTCCTGTCTACCTGTGGTTCCTGTCTACCTGTGGATCCTGTCTACCTGTGGATCCTGTCTACCTGTGGGTCCTGTCTACCTGTGGGTCCTGTCTACCTGTGGATCCTGTCTACCTGTGGGTCCTGTCTACCTGTGGTTCCTGTCTACCTGTGGTTCCTGTCTACCTGTGGTTCCTGTCTACCTGTGGGTCCCGTCTACCTGTGGTTCCCGTCTACCTGTGGATACCGTCTACCTATGGGTCCTGTCTACCTGTGGATCCTGTCTACCTGTGGATCCTGTCTACCTGTGGTTCCTGTCTACCTGTGGTTCCTGTCTACCTGTGGATCCTGTCTACCTGTGGATCCTGTCTACCTGTGGGTCCTGTCTACCTGTGGATCCTGTCTACCTGTGGTTCCTGTCTACCTGTGGGTCCTGTCTACCTGTGGATCCTGTGGATCCTGTCTACCTGTGGGTCCTGTCTACCTGTGGTTCCTGTCTACCTGTGGTTCCTGTCTACCTGTGGTTCCTGTCTACCTGTGGTTCCTATCTACCTGTGGATACCTGTCTACATGTGGGTCCTGTCTACTTGTGGGTCCTGTCTACCTGTAGGTCCTGTCTATTTAAGGTAATATTAACAGGATCCCCTTGTTTACATAAGGTTTCCCAGTTTAATTCGGGTCTGCCATCTAAGTAGTTTTCCATCAAGTACATTCCACATCTACAAAATGTTTCAAGTAGGGTTCCGATGTTTGCATAGGATCTTCAGGTCTGCATGTCTAATTATGTCCCTCGTCTACATAGTTTCCCAGTCTGATTAAATTCCCCTGTCTACAAAAGGTCTCATGTCTGCATAGGATCTTTAGGTTCCCTGTCTAATTAGGGTCAACATAGTTCTCCTGTTTGATAAAGTCCTATTGTCTACAAAATGTCTAAAGTAGGGTTCCATGTCTTCAAAGGATGTCCCATCTACATGAGATCCGCTTGTCTAGAAATGTCCCCCTGTCTAATGTGGGTCCCTCATCTACACAGTTTCCCAGTCTGGTAAAGTCCCCTATCTACAAAAGGTTTCATGTACTGTTCCAATATAAAAGATGCTTCTGCACCTGCTTTACGTTGTGTTTAACACTGCACGTGATGCACTCCACGGTGTTGGCTAGGAGGTCCAGAGGAGGAGGGGACACAGCACTGAATCTGAAATACACACAACCAATCATTACACCTGTGAGTGAGTGGAGTGCAGAGGAGTGGAGTGGAGTGGAGTGGAGCGGAGTGAAATGGAGTGGAGCAGAGTGGAATGGAGTGGAATGGTGTGGGGTGCAGTGAGTGAGTGAGTGGAGTGGAGTGGAGTGGAGTGGTGTGGGCCGGGGTGGAGTGGAGTGGAGAGGAGTGGAATGGAGCGGAATGGTGTGGGGTGCAGTGAGTGAGTGAGTGTCTCTGGTCACTGGTGCGATGAACACTAGGCTACCCCAGCACCCCCAGACCTGCTGAATCTTTGACAAAGAACATAATGATAACGTTCTACTGAAATATTCAAGAGAAGATATGTGAGGTACAAACCTCTGAATGACTTGGAATCCCAGATTAACGATCTCACTGAACTCTTCTACAGAGTCAGGGTCAGAGGTCATGACCTGGCGCACCAGCTGCATGACCTGGTTTACTCTGGATATCTGTAGCGGAGACACCATTCCTGGAACAGAAGTCACAGAGTCAAAAATATACATTTTGTGGGCCGTACTGACACAATAGGGTCAGAAGATCAGATCTGAGTCTGCAGTACTGAAACATTTGGGATACACATTTATGTTCGTATCACTCACTCTCTTCCACCCTGAGCTATCTGGTGCAGCAGCTATCAGGAGCCGTCAGCCGTTGTACACCAACTCACCTCCACCCTGAACTATCTGGTGCAGCAGCTCCTTGACCTCACACATCAGGAGTTGCCAGCCGTTGTACACCAACTCACCTCCACCCTGAGCTATCTGGTGCAGCAGCTCCTTGACCTCACACATCAGGAGCTGCCAGCCGTTGTACACCAACTCACCTCCACCCTGAGCTATCTGGTGCAGCAGCTCCTTGACCTCACACATCAGGAGTTGCCAGCCATTGTACACCAACTCACCTCCACCCTGAGCTATCTGGTGTAGCACCTCCTGCACCTCACACATCAGGAGCTGCCAGCCGTTGTACACCACCTCTCACCTCCCACCCTGAGCTATCTGGTGTAGCAGCTCCTGGACCTCACACATCAGGAGCTGCCAGCCTGACCTTGTTGCCACCAACTCACCTCCACCCTGAGCTATCTGGTGTAGCAGTTCCTGGACCTCACTCATCAGGAGCTGCCAGCCCGTGTACACCACCAACTCACCTCCACCCCTGAGCTATCTGGACCTCACAGCAGCTCCTGGACCTCACAGCTATCAGGAGATGCCAGCCATTGTAGCCGTTTGTACACCAACTCACCTCCACCCTGAGCTATCTGGTGTAGCAGCTCCTGGACCTCACACATCAGGAGCTGCCAGCCGTTGTACACCAACTCCCACTGGATGATGGGGCTGCTCCTTTTGGCTGCCTGAGCTGAAAACAAACATGTCTCAGTGAATCAGTGAGTTGTGTTTGATTGCCAAAGTTAAAGTATAGATACTCATGTTTTAGGAGCGTCTGTCAGAGTGTGTGTCTGTGTGTCTGTCTGTCTAAGTGTGTGTGTGTGAGAGAGAGAATGAGGGAGGGAGAGAGAGAGAGAGAGAGAGAGGAGAGAGAGAGAGAGAGAGAGAGAGAGAGAGAGAGCATGTGTTTGTCTGTGCATGTGTCTGTGTGTGTTTCTGTGTCGTTTCATTGAAAATCACTATTTCGTTTCGATATTTGAATACCTATTTAAATTATTTCCACACAGCCAGAATGTAATTTTTACTCCCAACTAAAGCAGTTTCGAGCGCTGAAATGAGGCGAAACGTGATTGGTTGAAGCTGGGCTAATTATCCAATGAGAACTGTTGTTAGTAGACATCGCCAAGTTGACGATGGATTTCACAATAAAAATGCCAACACTCTCGAAGAATCGAATCGAAAATGATCGAATGGAAGGTCCAATATCGAAAATCGAATCGAATGGAGGTCTGGGTAAATCGTTGCAGCCCTAGATCTACCATGTGATATACCAAGCTGCATTTGGACATTGATACCCACTGACACAGTAGACACACTCAGAGCAAGTGTGGCCATGTTTTATCCCCTAGGCAGGCTTGGTAATAAACATGCCACCATTCTTCATGTTTTGGGATGACAAAGGACGGGGATCGAACCACCAAGATTCCTTTCAGCTGGAGACCCTCTGTCCACTATACTACCTGGGCAAACCACAGTCTGATGACACATAACTGGCACAATTCCTGAGTTTGATCATGCGTCTCTGATATTTTGTGGAATGGCATAACAAACATTTGGCACTCTCATCTGACCAAACATTCCATCAGCAATAAAATCAATGCTCCCACTGAACATGTGTGTATAATAATATCAAAATATAAGAGTGAGTGAGTGAGTGTAGTTTTATGCCGCTTGTAGCAATATTCCAGCACTATCACGGCAGGGGACACCAGAAATGGGCTTCACACATTGTACCCATGTGAGAATTCGAACCCCGGCCTTTGACATGACAAGCGAACACTTTAACCACTAGGCTACCCCACCACCCTAAAAAAACTACTTGATTAATGCTTAACACTTATCAAACTGTGATGACATATTTGATATCAAAAGACTCAAGTGAGAGATTCTCGATTCACAAGTTCCCAGCAGGTGTTCCCTCGGTAAACAGACATCAAAGTAGTGATCTCTGGCTAGTGTAGAAAGAAATCTACTAATGATGTAAACAATATTGAGAAAAATATTCCAACAAAACCCTCCTGACATCAAACTGTTACTTGACGTTAACATTGATATGTTGATGCACCATCCACCATTGCAGAACTGATATACCTAAGAATAAAAACACCTACATACCAACACACCTCCCAAAGATCTCATTAAATGTCTCATTAAACATCTTGAAACAATTCTTATATTAATCAAAATAAACCGTCTCACCATTGATACGGAGAGTTGTCCAAAAGCGTTCCTCTAGGTATCACCAGGTCCCCTGCAAAATAACAACGAAAGTTACGTCTGCTGGAAATCTTTCCCTGTAAACTCAAACAAACCTTTAGAGGTTTTATAATTCTTTGAATAAAGTCCTCCTTACAGGGTACATACAAGCATTAAAATGTCCATTTTAAAAATCTTACGACAGTTGTAACAATATTTTAATAATTTATATTTACAAAACAAAAAACTCGTTTTTGTCTTGTGAAACCAACCCTAGAGGGCCCTCCAGGTCCCTCTACAGCCAAGAGCAGGTAACTCTCACCGTCTACCTCGTACCTCACTTGTCATGCTGAACGTGATCAGACAGAATGTGGGGAGTCGGGTGGCCGTACCCCAAGGAGGACTTTCTTCAAAAAATCAGAAACCTCTACAGGTTTGTTCGATTCTTTTTCAGAAGAAGTCCTCCTTGAAGTACATATAGGCGTAAGACAGACTCCCATAGATAGTGAGTCGGTAGTGGCATTCTGTCTGACAAAACTAAACCCATTCTCCAAAGGAATCTACCACCGATCGGAGATAGCAAAACCTACCCAGTCACCTGACCGTCAGTGTCAATCAGGCTGGGGGCGTGGTTTAGGGCAGGGAGTAGAAATGCCAAGCTCATACACTGATTGGCTTAGAAGCATATCAACCAACCCCACCTCCCAACCAACAATTTGGAAGGGCATGGGGGACACGACAACAATTCCCAGTAACATACACCCAGCCAGTGAAGTGCGGTGGGATGGAAATTACGAATGAAGCGAGTACAAGGCCGTAAAAGCCAATTTGTAGCGTGGGAAAACATCACCACCAAATACAATAACCAATAAAAGGAGGAATGACATAACCCAACACCAGGAAGTGCAGAAAGATGTAATCTCGAGAGCTCAAACGGCTAAAGAGTTACAACTCCGCCCACTGTGTGGAGAACAGTCTGGCTGGGTGTATGTTGCTGCAGATGATGAACGCAGACGGTTGAACAGTCTGCCCGAATGAGTTTACAATTGCCCCATCTGGAGAATGAAACCCATGGAGAATATAGCCCAAACAATGGCAGAGACAAGACACCTTGAAATGGTTTGTTTGTTAAGCCGAGACTGCCAGCACTGCCACTGCCATAACAGTAGAACAGTAGAACATGTGTTACATTTGACCACTTTCTAAATGGCATTGGGTAACCATAGCAGAACAGTTGTTTATCCTTACAGATAGCGCGCCGCTCTTGTGATATAAGCTTTAAGATTTGTACGGACATCTAAGACATGTATCACGTCGTAGAGAGGTACCGGACAAAGGAGGCTGAGTAAAGCTGGAGATCGATAGGCACCCGCTACGTGTAAGGATCCTGCTGAACCTAGGGCTACAAGAGTCTGGCAACCCTAATGCTGACTCTATCCCTGTGAAAGACGGTCAGCTCATGATCCGGCTGACATTTGCGTGAATGTCACGACCCATCTGCCAGACGATACCGTCACAAGGAAAGCTGCCTTCCAACTTAACAGCTGGAGAGAGCCGACAAATCAAAAATGAGAGGACCGGACATCCAATCAAGAACAATTGACAAGTCAAACGATTGACAGCTGGTCGGATTCTGACGCTGCACAATGGGGATGGTGCCCGAGAGTACACCATCGGCAGGTGTGTGAAAAGCAGAAATAGCCGTGGAGTAGCATCTGAAGAAGCGGTGAATCCGTCTTCTCATCTAGATTGCAAAACCCCAATACTCTGACTAAATCTGTAGAAAAGGGCATAACAGGCCCATCTGCCCCCCACACTGAACATTTTTGTCGAATCCCTCCGGCGAAGCCAGAAAATGTCTGCAACTAGTGCAGGAATTCCGCTCACTTGGAGGCAATTACGGACAGTGGCCAAGCCACCCGCTGAATCCTGGGGTCGGTTGGGGCGCCCGCTTTGGGATAGCAGATTTGGTTGAAGGGTTATGGAACAGGAGGCTGAGTCACCAACCTGATGATTACCGTAAACCGGGTTGAGTTGACCAAAGAAGTACAAAGAATACAAGTAGTGGAGCTGTGAGAGAACCCTGGGAATCAGGTGTATCGGTGGAAACACCCACAGAACCCTGTCTGTCCAATCGAGCTTCGGATCCACAATTTGGGAGCAAAGACTGGTATTTGGTTTGTCACCCCAGAGGCAACAGATCCACCCATAACGATCCGTACAACCGGGAGGCAAACCTGAATAATCCCCTATCGAAAGCATCCACATGCGTGAAGGGCTAGTACACGCCGTGAGAGTGCATCTGCACTAACGCTTGTCTACCCCAGGAGATAAACAGTGAGTTTGATTTTATGCAGCTTTAAGCAATGTTCCAGTAACATCACAGCCAGGGGACACCAGAAATGGGTCTCACACATGGTATCCATGTTGGGAATCGAGCCAGGGTCTTCAGCATGACAAGCGACGCTGTAACTACTAGGCTATCCCACAGCCCCTAGGAGAGCATATGACTCAACTGAGCAGAAACTGCCACGCCTCCTGCAGGAGAGACAGCTGCATCGCCCTCGCGTCCAGGCCATTGCCGCCTGATTGTCTATGTACAGACGAACCACACGGCTTCAAACCTAGTCCACAAAGTGTTCCAATACCAGCCTGACTGCTCTCAGTTTCAGCACATTGATGTGCAGGCTCCCTCGCTCTCTGACCCGAAGGTCAAGACAGTGAGGTCGCCTAGAACCCCGCCCCAGCTTGTGAGGGAGGCATCCGTTTGACTCATGATCGGCGCCGGGTCTCCGGGAACCCCTGGGTAGATCTCTCTCCCCAGAAACCAGTCTGTGTAGACACCAGTTCTGATTTCTCGATAATCCAATCCGATCCCGCTTGGTGAGAACACTCATCACGGAAAGGATTGCGTGGCAAGCGCTCTGAGTAGCCAGTCGTCCAGATACAGTGTCAACACTCCATCCTTCTTGGTACCCAGGAAATAGGTGGAGTCAAACCCCCAAAGCGACAAAGTATCAAAGGTTAATACAGGTGCATTGACATCGACAGATGGAGGTAGGTGCCCCTTTAAAGGCACAGGTGGAAAAAGAGAAACTCCTCTTATGTTAGGAAGATGTCTTAGACGGGCTTCAACCTACACCTGCAGCAAGTTGGCTCACCAATATATATGCCTGCTTAATTGCGCCTTGGTGTAAAAGCGAGATTGATAGCGCACCCCTGATCGTCATGTGCTTCCTCCGCAGGACAATCAAACCCACCAGGTGGCAGTAACAAACGTTACAAATAACGCAGTGTTGAAGCAGCAACAAACAGAACCATGCCGTTTTACTAGCAGGTAGCTGTTGACGGGGTATGCATATATACACAAGCAAACAGCAAAAATACAGGGCACGGGCATTATTAAATGCTAATAGCCAAAGCAATTTAATCAACTAACATGCTAACATGTAAAGCAGAATAAGTGCTACGCTCATAGCCTGCACTGTATATAGAGAATGAGCAAAACAAAGGTGATAATGTAAACGCCCCACGACACTTAACTCACTCATTGATGACTTACCGTAATTTCGCTGAAAACGAATATTAGGGCAAGCCTACTATATAATATGAAAACATTATATAGAAACTCCCGACCATCAATAAGCCTAGCTTAATAATAATAAAGGAAGGAGAAGAAGGCGGTGGACCGCCATCTTCTTGCCTGTCACATGGCAGGAAAACAGACGACCCACCTGCAAAGTTACAATTCATGAATGAACATACCTACATATGAATTCCTTCTAACGCCTGTGCGTAAATAAAGGAACCATACATACAGTATTTGATTCTTATCACTCATCTTCGTAGGGACAGGGAAAGATTCCTGAGAATGAACACACGCACGTTCTTCCTGAGAAATGACAGCATGAAAAGTGAGGTACGAGGTAGACGAGGAGAGTTACCTGCTCTTGGCTGTAGGGGGCCCTGGTGGGGCCCTATTGGGATGGTCTCACAAGACAAAAACGAGTTTTTTGTTTTGTAAATATTTATTATTAAAATATTGTTACAACTGTCATAGGATTTTAAAATGGACACTTTAATGCTTATATGTACCCCAAGGAGGACTTCTTCTGAAAAAGAATAAGGGACTTGACTTATATTTTTGGTAGGGTGATTCAGATTGATCTCAGTTTCTCTGTATCATAGTTTCTTGAAGACAGAGCTCTGTTGTGTGGTATGAGAGTTATAGACCACCTTGTTACCTATCAGCAATGTATGGGAGTTTAGGCCTGGCCAGTCTGAACACAGAGCTCTGTTGTGTGGTATGAGAGTTATAGACCACCTTGTTACCTACCAGCAATGTATGGGAGTTTAGGCCTGGCCAGTCTGAACACAGAGCTCTGTTGTGTGGGTATGATATCCTGAGAGCTGTTGGTGTCAAAATACTCAGTGTACAGCTTCAACTCCTGCATCGACAGTTTCACCTGCAACACATATGACAACATGTACAACTACAACAGTGGACCCCTCCGTGATGTAGTGGTTAAAGCCTCCGCCGAGAGATGGAAGGTCGCTGAGTTCGATCCCCTGGCCGCTGGCCATACCAAAAGACATTAAAATATGGTACTTGTTGGTCCCCTGCCTGGCGCGGCATTAATGGGTACAACAAGGACTGGTCAGCTCGAGTCAGTATAATGTGTCTGAGTGTCATGCTTCACTGCTGGATGGTATCTCAATGGGCTAGCACTATAAAACCAGCTTCAGTCTGGGCTAGTACCAGCAGCCTTTTGACATACACACGCGATGCACATTGTCATATGAGCAAAATATCCTCAAGCACGACGTTTAACCCAATTTCACCTCACCTCACCTCACCTCACCTCACCTCACTACAACAGTGGTTGGAAGTGTTACCATCAGTACTACAGTTATATCCTGGCCATCTGGAAAGGGATGATGCTGCAACCCCGATACATGTACTACAACACAATAAGTAGTATAAGAGTATTTACTTATCTGTACTCAGTACTGAACCTACCCTCTTGGCACTCTCTGGTCCACATGATGACAAAGATGTGTTGAGCTTCATCAGCTTGGGAAAGTCGAGAGGAAAGCAGGCCAAAGCGGAACTGTAGAGACACCCAAGCCCCTCCTCCAGACCCTGGCAAACAGATACATGTCAGACTACAACAACAGCAAAGTTTGAAAAGACAGGAAAGAACAAACAATTCTGGCACCTTTGAGATCTCTGGGCACCGAGAGATGGGGAGAGAGAGAGAAAGGGAAAGGGGAGAGAGAGGGGGAAGTGGGGAGAGGGAGAGACAGGAAGAGAGAAAGAGAGGGGGGAGAGAGAGACGGAGAGGTAGTGGGGAGAGGGGAGACAGGAGAGAGAGAAAGAGAGAGGGAGAGACAGGGGAGGAGAGACGGAGGGGCAGTGGGGAGAGGGAGAGACAGGAAGAGAGAAAGAGAGGGGGGAGAGAGGGAGAGAGAGACGGAGGGGTAGGGGGGAGAAAGTGAGAGAGGGAGAGAGAGAGAGGGGGGGAGTATAGATATCAGACATGTACAAATGGGCAAAACTGCCACATGGCCTGCAATTATGTAAAACCAGTCTGACCACCTGATCCATTTGGTCACATCTTATAATCAAGACAGGTTGCTAGGGACCAGTTGTAGCTCAGAAATACCCACAGAGAGACCAGCACAGGTTGCTAGGGGCCTGCCTACCTTCTGCCACATGTATTCAGCATTAAAAGTCAGCTTTCAGCACCAAGGCAGCCACCTCATACAGTGCCTGAAAACTAATAAAAGAGGTTTTGATGGTTGTCACTTTCAACAAGCTAGAAAGCTGATTTTAACATCGACCTTTCTTAAGCTCCACACATTTACAAAAATCATGTGACAGCAATTTTGTTAATGTTTATCAGGAAGGCAATGGGTGTGTCCAAGTGAGTGAGTATGGTTTTACACCACTTTTAGCAGTATTCCAGCAACATCACAGCAGGGAACACCAGAAATGGGCTTCACAATCACATATTGTAGCCATGTTGGGAATCGAACCCGGGTCTTCGGCGTGATGAGGGAACGCTTTACCCACTAGGCTACCCCCACCGCCGGTTGAGTCCAAGCAATATCAGTGTGGTATGGAGGAGGCCAATTACAATAACATTACTTCAGGCTAAAAATGTTAACCAAATTGTAATGATCAGCATCTCTGCAAACAGATTGAACAACATTCCTCATTGTAGAAGGAAATCATGGCACAATCATAAAATGGTTAAAGCGTTGGTTCGTCACGCCAAAGGCCCGGGTTCGATTCCCCACATGGGTACAATGTCTGAAGCCCATTTCTGGTGTCCCCCGCCGTGATATTGCTGGAATATTGCTAAAAACGGCGTAAACCCATACTCACTCACTCACCATCATAAAATGAAGAGTGACAAACCTAAGACTGACTTAACTTGTAAGCTGACTGGAAACAGTGACTTAGTTAAGGGAGGCAACTCTACATATAACATGAATACCTCAGGATTTCCCAGTGTGTCTTCATCAAACAGGCTGAGTGTGACATACATCAGCGAGTAGACGATGAGTCGGGCGAAGGAGGCAATAATCTGCAACATCAAGACAAACACATACATGTAAAATCATCTAGCCATCATAGCTAGTGGCCAGTTCTAACAAGCATCTGCTTGGAGTCTGAAATGTCATAAGATAGATTTTATTCTCTGGACACATATTTCATTAAAATGACCTTCTGCAAAGTGTGAACTTGTAACGATAAAACAAATTGCAGGAGCAGGGTGGATGAAATTTTACCATTTGAACCTTCACATAGACGTAGTAACTGAACGTCTTGGGATGTAAAAGATTGTAAACAAGAAGACAAAGTCATCAATATCTCCCGCAATGGCAAAATACTCTTCATGAATATGTCTACGAGTTATGATTATATCAAATGTTTTGGTGTGTATATAGCTAAGTGGAAGGAGAGTACTGAAAGGTTTCAAAGTTCTGCTCCAGAAAGGAGCACTACCACCAAATTCAGTTGAAGTCAAAATTGTTGCCATGGAAACGCAAAAAATCCCATTTTATTCAGAAATCCAAAACTAGCAAAAGGCACCAGTTCACCACTAGACCTACCTATGTATGAAATTAGGTGATGAAACAGTGAATGGTTTTAAAGTTCTGCTCTGGAAAAGAGCACTAACACTAATTTCAGTCTAAGTCAAACTTGTTGCCATGGAAACGCAAAGATATTTTATTCAGAAATCCAAAAGGCACCACTTCACACCAGATCTATCTACGTGCCAAGTTTGGTGACGAAACATTGAACGGTTTTAGAGTTATGCTCCGGAAAAGATGTGCATGGACGCACGGACGGACGGACGCACGGACGGACGGATGGAGTCCATTTTAATACCCCCCGCATAACATGTTGGGCGGGGATAACTAGGGTGGCTATTGAAGGTGGGGAAACAACTATTGCGATAGCTTATAGTCTATTGCAATAGTTTTTTCTCCTTGAATTGTCTCATTTGAAGTCATTTCCCAAATGCACGAGATAGTTATATGAAATAAAAACAAGTTAAAGTAGTTTCAGTCAATTTAATAACTGACAAGAAACTTGAAACCCAGATCAGGTAAACAGTTAAAACATAAACTCAGTGAAGCTGCAAGTCTGCACTCTAAATCAAAGTGAACGAATCTGGTACTTCCTGTAATTTGCGCTGCACATTTATCATCGGAAGTTAATTTCGAAACTTGATAGTCACACATACTATCGATGAATGAATAGTTTTTTGTCTCTACCATCGATTAATTGCTATCGGAGACTCAACAATTGCAATGCATCGATAGTTTGATGCATCGTTACGGCCCTATTGTAAACACCCATACACTTCTCATGCAACTTATAATACAACAAGCAGTTGTCACTAGGGTGACATAATCCCCTGCCGCAAATTATCAAATCAAACTTAAAAAGTAATGAAAGTGAAGGTCATAGTTTAAGATGAAGTTAAATGTCAACAAAAACATGACTAGTCAACCTCTCTTGATATCTCATGCAGTAGCTGTTCAAATACACAAATATTTTCAGGATTCACTTTGACCTTGACATGAATGTCAAGGTGTATGAAATATGCAAAGACTAATAAAGAAATTGCTTATCAAAAAACATTCAAGAGAAGTCTTGAAAGTCTATGAAGAAAAATGCAGTGAACCATTCTTGAGATATCTTGCTGACAATCTTAACATGCAGGTTAACATGCTGAAATCTTCAAAGTGTGGTTGTGACCTTGATTAATTACGCGGAAGGCCCTGGGCCTTCCCTAGATGTAGCTTGGTGTTGAATATGAAGAAATTCCAGTGAACGGTTCTTGAGATATCTCGGCTGACATGTGGGTAAAACGCTAAAGACCCCTTTGTGACCTTGAAATGAAGGTCAAGGTCACCAAACCTGACTGGGACCTTTGCATACTGTAATGAACCTAGGTACCAAATATGATAAGAATCTAGTCAATGGTTCTTAAGATATTCCAAGTCGCATACAGACGCTTTGGATGTAATGTGACAGAGCTATAATACTATATCCCACGCTCGGGCTAAACACGCGGTGGGGATAATAAACACTGAGAAATCGAGGGATGAGATATGAATCAAGATGAATAATTGTTTCATGAAATTCATGTACACTATTAAACTCGCAAGAAAGAGGTCATTGATACTAACCATGACTATGTCTCGTTAATTAAAGGCTTCTTATAGACAAACATGTTCAGGTTGTTGCATGCTGCTCACTTGAGAAACTTCCAGGTGATGCAGGCCAGGGCTGAATGGGACTGTAAATACCCTGGTAACTCATGAAATACATCCCCTATTTCCAGCACTGAATACTTCAGACAGTCCAGTCTAAGTAAACTTAGGCTCAGTATTATTCGTTACACTGATATACTGAGTCTAACAAAACCTATAGTACTGTTGGAAATAGAAAAAAACTGTATTTTCTCATTTATCTCTACAATTTATGTAGTTGATATGTGAAAGTGTGAAATATCTGTTAAACTAAGTTCGGCCTAACTACAGTCTCGGTGGTAGAGCGATAGGAAACGGAGAAAAAGGACTTTACTGAAGGGAAATTAGTGCAGAAATGAGCAATGCGGGTTTTTTCTAAGTCCAAAAAGACTTATTTGGAACAGACCATGGCTTTATGCAAATTAGTGTGCTTAACGATATTGTATTACAAAGGACACTTTTAAATGCCCAATTTGAAATTAGACGAGATTCATTATAAACGATAGCTGACGTAAAAAATAATAACTTTTATGCCGAAACTATTAAGGATGTAGCTACCATGCAGTCTCACTGTCACTATAAAAAGAAACAGATAGGAGGGGCCGCCTCAAAAGCAAAACCTGGGGTCGGGCTTGGGGATAGAGATATCAGCTAAGATAAGATAATCCTTTAGGGCAATTATACTGGGAGGTACACGGCACGCCATGACAATTTACAAATAATATCCAGTCCTGTCGATCTTCGGGTGGTCATGCCACCTATATACTACGACATGCTTCTATGGTTTTCGGTATCATACTCTTTTACATATCTCAACATAAACTATATGATACTATATATGAAAGAAAGACACGTAAGATGTTAATCAATAGATGAGACATAGTCAACACACATGAAAAAGCACAAAATATCTTTGAGATGACCCCTTGTGCCTGTAGGCAGCACGCGTGCATTTCATGCCAGGTGAGTTGACGGTCCGGCCCTCATACCTGGCTGAGCTTAAGCTAATTGCCATCTATAGTATGATCTATTGTTTTCAGTAGCTATTCATATTTTTCTAAGTTTTGCCCGATTTTACAAGTAAACATGCTTTTCTGATATCAGATACGATCCCACTGAACGCTTCCAGTTAGGCCGGCGGGTTATTTAGACATATGCTATTTGCAATTGTGTAAATTTTAGGGATACAGAGTAACAGCCTAAAAACAGTTTTTTCTATTTCAGACAGTACTTTAGTAGAAGGTCTCGGCCAGCTAACGCTCAATCAGCAGAAAGGGGGTACCAGGTGGGATAAGTCATGTGACTAAATTCTTCTAGCTCACATGCCATAGGGTAATCCAGACAGCCAAGTCGAATGGTCATGCTGAGAGCATGCCAATTCGCGGTGAGGAATTCACCGTGATCCTCGATGAGCATGTAAAAACAGTGTTGACAAGTCTCGATCCGCCAAGCTGAATGTAGTAAGTAGATCATCTGGTATCTTGCTCAAGATAGCTGTAGATGAGTGAGTGAGTGAGTATGATCTTTACCGGATAGCTGTAGCTGTAAACCAAGCGACCATGTGTGTCGACTGAACCAACATTATTTCTGTACCTTAAAGGCTGCATGGTTCGCAATGCTGGCAGTTCGGTGAATACTGATGGTTTGGCTTAACGCTGTTGATCTGGCGATCTGGCACGGTTCGATGACCAGGATTGGTTACTTGATCTGGCTCGGCGAGGTAAGATCTGAATCGGTACTATGATCCGGGTTCTAGTGCGCTTAACTCAGTTTGGCCCGGACGAACTAGTTCGGTGATGAGCAGATCGATCTGGTTAACTAGTAACGGGATGTTGTAGTGAATCGGGCGATGTGGTTCGGAGGAGATGAGCCATTCTGTACAGAAGAATTAGTTCGATGATGTCGTATTAACCGCCCTGCCGAATCGGGTTCGACGATGATATTTGGATGAGTTCGTGAACCATGGACGCTAGTTAAGACAAAACGCCGATTCAGTGGCTGCCGATTCGATAAATGCTGGTTAAACGATCTCCGTTCAAGGAAAGCCGGTCTGGCTTAATTTCGGGTTCGCTGAATGCCAATTAAGTAGATGCAGCCTTGGTTCGCTGATCTAACGCTAGTTCGTTGAATGCTCATTCGTCCCTATCGAGGGAGCAGACTGTTGCTGATTCCAAGCAGTAGTAAATAGCACTCAACATCGCAGCCAGATCTGGGGATGAGTAGTTTCCGCGCAGGAGTCCAGGAATCTGGTACAATCCGAGTAGACTAGAGAGACGCTGTGAGGGAAGCAGGAGCCCGGCCAGAAGTCGAAAGCACGCTGAGATCTATAATCGGTCTCGCTGAGTAGATCTCCTATCTGTAGAACCATATTGATGTCTCGAGGGGGACGAACCGGAAGAAGACACACATATGGAGACCTGATGAGGAGATCAGGAACAAGAAGGGGAAGTATCATAACGAGAATGATGATCCCTGGATCTTGAACCATAGGCAGCAGCTTCCATCGGTAGGAGATCTAGGTTGATGGGTCAAGGCGCGAGAAGAGGAAGTCCCATGCTGACGAGAAGACGAAGTCCGAGGAGGTGACTTCGATCGAAGAACCGATCTCAACGAAGTAGATGGAGGCGTTGCTTAGTTGAATGTAAACGAGTCAAAGAGTGGCGTCTTGGCAGTGAAGTAGATCTACCAGGTCTATCCAGGTGGACAGTCCGCTAAAAGTCGAGGTGGAGGGAGCGGAGCAGGCGGCATGATCCGCAAACTGTGATTCGATCTGGCAGGCTTCAGCCAAGCCAGAAGATCGAGGTAGCTGGACACAAGACACATTTCTTTCCGCCGAATGGGAAGGAGACGACGAAATACCACTGACAGGCGTTGAGGCGAGGTAGACTGGTTCCTCTTGTCACTACTGGATGAACGAGAGCGAGAACGGCTTCTTAGCAGTCAGGCCTAGAGATCAGCTGATTCTTGTCCTCAAACAGATAAACCAGGTTGCCGAAGATAACTGGTCCGTGAACGAGACAGAGCTGTTCGAAGGTCCCGCTGTGTAAAGGTCTCCTGAGGGTGGTGGCAGTCTCGACAACCACTATCGGGTACGCGGGTCGGAAGACTAAGGACTCTGGCTGGAATGTTGAGAGCCCAACAAATGCCTAATGTCTTCCCGATAAGTAAGAATCTGATGACGCCTTCATGAAATCCCTCATCATTCGAAAGAGGGACTGTGACTGCCGAAAGCAGACAAATTAGGACGCTTTAAACTTACCTTTCTGGGACTGGGTCCGCTAAGTGAAGCGGCATAACGAGCTCTGTCAGCAACATGACGAAAGCGCAGGCCCGAAAGTGTAGTCACCAAGTAAGAACCTTGCATTTATCGCAGAACGAGAGTCCCATTTACACTGTCCCATACAGTCAATACAATATCAATGTGGATCACTCAAGGAGAACACTTTATTAAACCGAGCATTTTTCCTCTCTTTGGCTGGTCAACTTCTCAATGTTGTAGACTAAGTTGAAAACGCTGAGCAAAGCAAAATACGCCCACACTCATGTGCATACAAGAAAGAGAATGATCATTCAGAGATAGTCACGCGGGCAGCTAGTGGTGCATGCCGCGATACTTTGCATGAGAGCTAGGAAGCAGTCTTATAATGAGCATGGAGTGCTTGGGCGGATGGACAAGAGAGGCCTAGGGAAAAGTTTACATCGCTCCACTCAGTGTCTAATCAAGAGAGAAAAGTACTTACCGTGAGATAGGATAAGTTTAAAATACGAAGTTTTTGTTTGTAAACATTTTATTGAAAAATATAGTTACAACTATCGAGGATTTAAAATGGATATTTTAATGCTTATATGTACCCTAAGGAGGACTTCTTCTGAAAAAGAAATACTCTTGCACTAGTTTTCATGAAATACACTGTCCTCACCTGTTCTTCCAAGTACTATTGGAGTAAGTTGTGAAAAAGCTTCCAGGAAACAAAATTAGCTCAAGATCTTGTTCAAAGGAGAAATAATTGAGCAACGGATACCTATCCTTCAGTACTAAAGCCCGTCACTAGTACTACAGCCTATGCAGACCACACACAGTAGTTAAAGTATCAGAAAGACCAGTATTATTTGTCATTCTAAGTGTTTTAGTGTTATCCACCTAGGGACTTAATGTGTTTCTGTGGCATCAATGTTAACAAATAAAAAATTTGATTAGCATTATTAAAAACTAAACATTGGGCAAAATTGTTTGAGTTACATTATAGAAATGTTTGGTTTGGGCCTTTCAATCGCTTTAGACCATCACTACAACGCATCGCGGCTGCCATTAAACGGCTCCACCTTCAGTAGGTCAAGGGTGTAGTCAAACACTTCTTAACTGCAACGCCATGTTGCCCAACTTCCTCGCCATCATGGCATTCTCATCCTCGCCGACGCATTAACTGGCGGAGGACGCCCATCCCAACAATAGCGGTGTTACCTGTCAGCCAGACCCCAGGTGCTCAAATATTTTGTTGACTTTCTACACACAAAAATCAATCGCACTCAGTTAACTGTATGTTACTCTCCTCTTTAGTCAAAAATCTGTGGTCTACTAACACATCTACAGTTGTGCCCCGCTTATCCGAACCTCAAATATCCGAAAACTCGCCCGAACGAAAAATTCATTAAAACGTAATTCACAACGCTTGTAAAACTACTCACTTAACCGAAACCGGGTTTCTGTAACCGGATGGTCATTTTCACATACCAAATGCTAAATCATATGCATTTCTTTTCTCAGATATCCGGGATGGCTGAGCACCTGTCAGTATGTTTACACGCCAAGATTTTACCGAAAGTGGCCTTGGCGCGGCCCTAACATGAAACAAGGGTTACAAGCCGGGCATTCTTTGAAGGGTGAGAGGATTAACTGCCCTTAATTAGCAAGGTGACACTGAGTTAATCTTGAGGCGCACAATTGTTATTGGCAAGGCTAGACGCCCCTGTTGTTTTGGCAGTGATTTTAACCGGAGGTTTATGTTGGGTACAGGAACAATGCAAAAGCTGCGGATGACATCAGAACTGTTTCGCGGATTGGTTGCTAGCATTTGACAGACAGATGAGATTGAGAGGTAGGCATGTTATATTACTGATGGACAATGCATCTAGCCACACCCGAATCTGTCTGTCTTTTTCCATATGGTCCTCGGTTCAGATATCCCAAAATTCATTTATCCGAAAAATTTCAAGAAAAACACAAGTGTTCGGATAAACGGGGCACGACTGTATACTGTTTTCTCCAAAACATTTGATTAGAATCTGATCCAGATGTTACATCAGCCTCCAGCCAAAGAAATATTGTGGACCTTTTCAAATTTTCAATTTTTTGGATACGTTATTAACTGATTTCACAATATATTTTCAGTATTTCAGTTTGGAAATCACCTAATAATAATATCATTTGTTCACAAACCATTAATCATTTCATTCAAAATGTATTTTGTCAGAAGTTGTGAACCTGCAAACATATTTAGTTCACTGTCTCAGCCTCTGTGTAGAGAAATACTGAGTGAGTGAGTTTAGTTTTACGCCACTTTTAGCAATATTCCAGCAATGTCTCAGTGGAGGCACCAGAAATGGGCTTTACACATTGTACCCATGTGGGGAATTGAACCCGAGTCTTCGGCGTGATGAGTGAACGCTTTAACCACTAGGCTACCCACCACCCCACATGTGTTTAGAAATATTGCCAGTGGTGACAGGACACAAAAACAGAGACATGGTCATTCTAGTTTGGACAAACAATGTTCTGTTACCTAACCACCTTGTGCATGTTTAGGAAATGAAAACCATATCAGCTAAAACTTAAACTCACATTAAATGTATCTCTCTTACTGAGGAGGAGGTGCTCATCAAAACTGAAACAAAAATGTCATTGATAACTGTGATCATATCGATATCCAATTCTTTTCAGTATATTTCTTAAGATCATTAACTGATAACAGATGGAACAAGAACACAAAACAAGAAAAATTATGTCTACTAAAATCCTGGTTGCCATGGATAGGTAGCCATGGTAACTAATGTCATTTATCATTGTGATCATATCGATATCCCAATTTTTCAGTATATTTCTTAAGATCATTCATTGTTTACACACAAGAACACAAAAAAATTACGCCCACTAAAATCCTGTTGCCATGGATAAGCTGCTATGGAAAATGACTCACTTGTTGTCCTCGACACTTTACGCCGGTGGAAGTCCATCAGGTCGAAAGCAATATCAGCATTTCCAGGTAGCTGGACAACAGTAGACAGACATGTACCCTTACAAACAATTACACCTGACATGGTCAATATGTGAACAGCAAGACCTTTGCCTAACTGGAGCAATCAAGATAGTCATATCTGCTTTTGCTTCATCTCAAACATGGGGCAAGTGGGGTAGCCTAATGGTTAAAGCCTGCCGGCTCGAAAACTAAACTTACTGACATGGTCAATATGTGAAGACCCGGTTCGAATCCCCACATGGCTACAATGTGTGAAGCCCATTTCTGGTGTCCCCACCGCGGATGTTGCTGGAATATTGCTAAAAGCGCGAAACCAAACTCAGCCAGTCAGTCAGTCATCTCAAATATGCTAAGCCAGCAGTTTGAGGGAGGTGAAAAATCAGATTAATATCAGGATGCACTGATGCTCATACTAGTCTGGACTAACACAGCCCTCTGAGATGTTATGCTCAGCAGATAGTCACCACAGTATATGAACTCGGAGCCAACAAGTAGCTGCATTATCCAATCAATGCCCGTCAGCACCTGGAAGTGTACATTAAGTGAGAGTGAGTTAAGTTTTTTACGCAATCAATGCCTAGCGCCTCAGCAATATTCCAGATACATGGCGACGGTCAGTAATAATCAAGTCTGATCAGACAATCCAGTGATCAACAGCATGAGCATTGATCTACACAATTGGGATACAATGACATGTGTAAACCAAGTAAGCCAGACTGACCACCCGATCCCGCTAGTCGGCTCTTCTTCCAACAAGCATGGGTTACTGAAGATCAATTCTAACCCGTGATATTCATGGGTCGCAACAGTCTGAAGTAAAATATACAGACATATAGATATCAGACATTTACAAATGGGCAAAACTGCCACATGGCCTGCAATGACCATGCAGTAAAGTGAAGATACCCTACCCTATTCTCTTGACAATCTTCTCATCAGCCTTCCCCAGGGCATGTTTGTAGCTCTGTAGGTATCCAAACCCATGACCCTGAAACAGACAGCCCACTGACACAGATCACACACATAGACGGACATAGTGATGGTCTAGGATATCATCAATCTGTTATAGTGATGGAGACTGAGTCCTTCAGCTATTACTGTCAACCACTGGTATAACTTGCACTTGGAATCCTACCCAGTTGTTCTGTAAAATACGCATGAATCCTAGGTCATGTGAAACCATGCACTCTCAACTCAAAATGGCTTCCCCGAGTGACTGAGGATTTAATCCTACATATCACACTATCTCAGTTATATCACAGCATTTCTGTTCAAAGTGGGTGAAAAGTCCAAAATGAAACTGGCCTTTGACCTTTCATTGTCCGAAGAGGACAGCGATGGTGCTGGTGAACTATGAATCCAAACCAGGGCCCCCTTCCACAAAGTGATCGTAGCACTACATCAGTCTTACTGGCAAACAAGGATAAGTTGGAGCTGCGCAGAGAACTCGTATACGACAAGTAGGCGGTGCACAGCAATGAGCAAACCCATTTGGTTTGTGAAAGGTAGAGCAGATGTAGGCTAGTGCACACGCATTGCATGACGATGAAATTGATTCCATACGTAGCTGCACGCGCCTTGCTTCTTGCTTCACCCATTGCACTACACTTGATTGCGGACAACCTGCGGCCCCTTCGCTAAAAATGGTAAGCGAGTGGGCGGCACTCACACATTCTAATTCAGGTCAATTGTCAGGTCAGTGCTCAACTTATCATTGTTTGCCGGTAAGTCGATGTTAAAGTATGGGTGTTATGACCATGTTAGCCCTGCGACTGTTTCATGGGCCTGAGCAAATCTGAGCTTCAAACTTATGATCGGGGGATTCAAACAGACCTAAGCAACACGACTTAAATCCAAATTGTAGCACCTAAGACAACAGGGCCAGCTGTGTCCAATTCTATAACGCAACAAACCTGAGCAGGCTGTGCCAAAACCTGAGATCAGGGCCCTGCTTCACAAAGCAATCGTAGCGCTACGACAGTCGTAAGTCGATGCTAAAGTATGGGAATATCTGAGCATCATTTTTCAGAAATATTATATGCTGACTTTTATTAGGCTGAGCTCAAAGGACTTAACAGAAGTTTACTAGACGAAGTTGCTAAAGTCGCAGACAGTATTTGGCTGAGTTTATTCATGATGCTCACCTTGAATTTCTCCAAGAGATCCAGGAAACCTTTCTCATTTGTCTCAAAGTCCTTGAAGTAAAGTAGCAGCAACTCCAATAGCTCACACTGAAACACAGAAACAGACTGACTGAGTTTGGTTTTACGCCGCTTTTAGCAATATTCCAGCAACATCACGGGAGGGGACACCAGAAATGGGCTTCACACATTGTGCCCATGTGGGGATTCGAACCCGGGTCTTCGGCATGACGCCTTTCACTACACCGTTTACTCAATACATTGTTTATCTTGTAGATGACATGGTGGCCCTACAAAAGGCACAGTCTGTTCTGGATAAACATGTGTAAACTTCAAGCTTTTCTGCCAGGCACAAATCTGAACACAATTTACATGGTACAACACCGCAATGCTGGTTCTCCTGATGCGTAACCTCTGATGACCTGACCTTCAATTCTCAAGGTCACCCACCTGTTCTTTCAGATTCTGGTGTATCCATGCCTGGGATTGATGCTCTGTCTGAAACATGATTCATCAGTTTGCACTCAATTCAAAAGCAGTTACCACATGATTCAAAGAATTTCATGTTACCATGGTTACAATGGGGAGAACTGAAATTGTACTGTGAAATGAAAACCTGAAAGGGCCTTATATATTGCAACAATTTTCCATTCTTCATGACAAACTAGCAGTTCACCTGATGCAGGATGAAAGTGATTGCAACTCACCATCAGTGGCCCGTGAGACTCCCAAGTTGGCATCTGAGCTTTACACACATCGGAGAACTGAGACAGCAGCTGAAAATGACATGGATTTATATATCCAACAGCTTCAACACAAATCTGAGACTTGCTACGTACAGAAGACTTCATAATAGTTATAAAGAAAAACACAAACATGTTATAGGCAAGGCATGACATCTTCGAGTTCAATACAAAACATCCAAATGCACTAGTATGACATTCTATATCTATTATATACCCTCTTATCTTGCATTAATCTGTTACTTAATACATCAAATCATAGCATAGCGGCAGGGGTTCAATACGGAATCTGGGGTGCAATACGGAAGTTGACGTCATCTGTATTGCACCCCTGTATTGCTATCCTAAGTTTCTCTGCTCCCATGAAATCTTCTCGCTCAATACAAAACTTCCAAAGGCACTAGTATGACATTCTACATTTGCATATTTTCTCAAAATACCCATGTATCTTGTTGAAGAATTGTATTAAATTTTACCATGTACAATTAACACTGTGCACTTTTAGTTACAGCATACAGGGAATATGATACCCCTTAGATTTTCTGATGCATGAAGGGAACATGCATAATGCTCGTTGATCAGGGATTTGCCAACAGTTTGGGTGAAAACCAACAAGCATGAATATGGCACTGATTGACCCCAGATCATGAGGGCAAATGTTGGATAAACATACATGGCCATTAGTTACTGGCACAAGCAGGGGCCATAACTCTCACCTTGTCTGTGAGCTGGTAGTTGTCCAGCAGGTCATTCAGGAACTGGCTGTATGCCTCCTGCAACATGACAGGCAAGTAGGTCAAGGTGTAATTGGTAAACAGTCAACAAGGTGTAAACAGTTAAAAAGGTGTAAACAGTCAGCATGGTGTAAACAGTCAGGAAGGTGTAAACAGTCAACAAGGTGTAAACAGTCAGCAAGGTGTTAACAGTCAGGAAGGTGTTAACAGTCAGCAAGGTGTAAAACAGTCTGCAAGGTGTCAACAGTCAACAAGGTGTAAACAGTCAACAAGGTGTAAGCAGTCAGCAAGGTGTAAACAAGGTGTAAACAGTCAGCAGGGTGAAAACAGTCAAAAAGGTGTACACAGTCAGCAAGGTGTAAACAGTCAACAAGGTCTTAACAGTCAACATGGTGAAAACAGTCAGCAAGGTGTAAACAGTATGCAAGGAGTAAACAAGGTGTAAACAGTCAGCAAGGGGTAAAACATCAACAAGGTGTAAACAGCAGTGAGCAAGGGGTAAATCATCAGCTAGGTGTAAACAGTCAACAAGGTGTAAACAGTCAACAACGTGTAGACAGTCATCAAGGTGTAAACAGTCAGGAAGGTGTAAACAAGGTGTAAACAGTCAACAACGTGTAGACAGTCATCAAGGTGTAAACAAGGTGTAAACAGTCAGCAAGGTGTAAACACTGGGTCAGTAAAGTCTAGATGTAAACACATAGCAAGTGAGTGTAGATGTAAATGCATAGCCGGTAAGTCAAACTAAAAAACTGCCGGCCCGATACAATAACAGCTGATGCTTGGCCTCCAAGCTGGCGATTATTTCGAAGGCAAGAAAAGTGTAGACGTAAACACACAGTACGTGTAGATGTAAACACAAGGCAAGAAGTGTAGATGTAAACAAAGTGCAGATGTATTAAACAAGTGCGTAGATGTAAACACACAGTGTAAACAGTGTAGATGTAAAACACAGCACGAATGCGTGTAGATGTAAAAAAGTGTAGATGTAAACACACAGTACATGTGTAGATGTAAACACAAGGCGTGTAGATGTAAAACACGAATGCGTGTAGATGTAAACACAAGGCAAGAGAAGTGTAGATGTAAACACACAGTGCGTGTAGATGTAAAGTGCGTGTAGAGTAAGTGTACACACGTGCGTGTAGATGTAAACACACAGCATGATAAGTGTAGATGTAAACACAGCATGCGTGTAGATGTAAACGTGTGAGTGTAAAGACGAATGCGTGTAGATGTAAAACACGATAAGTGTAGATGTAAACACACAGTGCGTGTAGATGTAAACACACAGTACGTGTAGATGTAAACACAAGGCAAGATGTGTAGATGTAAACACACAGTACGTGTAGATGTAAACACACAGTACGTGTAGATGTAAACACACAGTACGTGTAGATGTAAACACACAGTGCGTGTAGATGTAAACACAGGCATGATGCGTGTAGATGTAAACACACAGCGTGTAGATGTATAACACGATGCGTGTAGATGTAAACACAAGGCAAGATAAGTGTAGATGTAAACACACAGTACGTGTAGATGTAAACACACAGTATGTGTAGATGTAAACACACAGTATGTGTAGACGTAAACACACAGTACGTGTAGATGTAAACACACAGTATGTGTAGATGTAAACACAAGGCAAGATAAGTGTAGATGTAAACACACATGTAGATGTAAACACGGATGTAAACACACACACGACGATGCGTGTAGATGTAAACACACGGTACGTGTAGATGTAAACACACGTGCGTGTAGATGTAAACACAGTGCGTGTAGATGTGTGTAGATGTAAACATGAGTAATGTGTAGATGTAAAAACACACGGTACGTGTAGATGTAAACACACGGTAAAGCTTACGGTGCGTGTAGATGTAAACAGCACGATATGTGTAGATGTAAACACACAGTGCGTGTGATGTAACGTGTAGATGTAAACACACAGTATGTGTAGATGTAAACACACAGCGTGTAGAAGTAAGTACGTGTAGATGTAAACACAGATGTAAACACACGATAAGTGTAGATGTAAACACACAGTGCGTGTAGATGTAAACACAAGGCAAGTAAGTGTAGATGTAAACACACAGTACGTGTAGATGTAAACACACAGTACGTGTAGATGTAAACACAAGGCAAGGTAAGTGTAGATGTAAACACACAGTACGTGTAGATGTAAACACACGAGTACGTGTAGATGTAAACACACAGTACGTGTAGATGTAAACACACAGTACGTGTAGATGTAAACACACAGTACGTGTAGATGTAAACACACAAGGCAAGGTAAGTGTAGATGTAAACACACAGCAATGCGTGTAGATGTAAACACAAGGCAAGGTAAGTGTAGATGTAAAACACATGCGTGTAGATGTAAACACACGAGTGCGTGTAGATGTAAACACAACATGATAGATGTAGAGGCGAGTGTAGATGTAAACACAGTGCGTATGTGTAGATGTAAACACACAGTACGTGTAGATGTAAACACACAGTACGTGTAGATGTAAACACACAGTATGTGTAGATGTAAACACACAGTACGTGTAGATGTAAACACACAATACGTGTAGATGTAAACACACAGTACGTGTAGATGTAAACACACAGTACGTGTAGATGTAAACACAAGGCAAGAGAAGTGTAGATGTAAACACACAGTACGTGTAGATGTAAACACACAGTACGTGTAGATGTAAACACACAGTACGTGTAGATGTAAACACAAGGCATGATAAGTGTAGATGTAAACACACAGTATGTGTAGATGTAAACACACAGTATGTGTAGATGTAAACACACAGTGCGTGTAGATGTAAACACACGTGTAGATGTAAAACACAATGGCACAGATAAGTGTAGATGTAAACACACAGTATGGCAGATGTAGACGTAGAAACACACTTTAAGTGTAGATGTAAAACACACGGTATGGCGTGTAGATGTAAACACACAGTGCGTGTAGATGTAAACACACTTGTAGATGTAAGTACAGTGTACAGTAAAACACACGTGTAATGTAGATGTAAACACAATGCGGTAAGTGTACACAGTGCGTGTAAACACACAGTACGTGTAGATGTAAACACACAGCGTGTAGATGTAAACACACAGTAAACACGTTGTAGATGTAAACACAGATGTATGCACGAATGTGTAGATGTAAACACACACGAATGCGTGTAGATGTAAACACACAGTGCGTGTAGATGTAAACACACAGTATGTGTAGATGTAAACACACAGAAGCATGCGTGTAGATGTAAACACAGGCATGCGTGTAGATGTAAACATTAAAGGCAATGCGTGTAGATGTAAACACACAGTACGTGTAGATGTAAACACACAGTGCGTGTAGATGTAAACACACAGTACGTGTAGATGTAAACACATTGTACGTGTAGATGTAAACACAAGGCAAGATAAGTGTAGATGTAAACACAAGGCTAGATAAGTGTAGATGTAAACACAAGGTAAGATAAGTATAGATGACTCACCTTGTATGGGTGCTGTGTGTCAGGCCAGAAGTTGAGCACTTGATGGAGACACTTCAACAGGTACAGCCTCTCTGTAAAGTAGTAGTCTCGGATCTTCATGATCAGCGCCTGGGCGTGGCGCTCATGACCAAATACTTGCTGCAAACGTCAGTTCAGGGATCACATTTAGTTACATACAATTGAATAATTTTCAGTTCTTTTCACCATACATCTTTTTCAATCACACCAATAGTAATACATAGACTCCAGAATACTCTGTACCCTTGGATGCAAAGTAAGTAGCGGCCTCGCTCTATTAATGTACAATGTAAAATATATGTGTACAATTCACAGATGCACTGAAGGTAAATCACTACCAAGCATGCCAGTTGATACATGTTTCAAGTATACAAATGCATTTTAGTTCCACTATTTCTGTTAGGCAGGGGAGGTGACTCTTTGTCTGCTTGTGTAGCGAAATAAGTGAGCCAGTGAGAAAGAGAGATACACAGAGGGTGGGTGTGTGTGTGATGTTCTCTCTGACTCGCAAAAGAGAAACTGTGACTGCAGGAACTACACAACAAGTCATTAACAGCTTTGCAACTTGTTATAACAATGTTATTCTGAGGTATACTGACCATTGACAGTTTGCTAAATCCAGGGGTAACTAGACCGGACAAAACCAGTTTACCTATGGACATAATAACAGTGTGCAAGCAAAAACGCTGTAATCACCTGCAGGTTTTTCTTGGAGCCCCGAAGTCGTTGGCAGGAATGACATAAGGAGGTCGTAGCTCTGAACCTCATCCAGGCCCTGCAAACAAGAGTGAGTGAGTGAGTTTACTTTCACGCCGCTTTTAGCAATATTCCAGCAATATCACGACAGGAACACCAGAAATGGGCTTCACACATTGTACCCATGTGGGGAATCGAACCCAGGTCTTCAGCGTGACGAAATTAACGCTTTAACCACGAAGGCTACCCCACCGTCCCCTTGGAAACAAGACGAATCAGTCGTGAGGCTGTCTATACTCAAAGAAACTGTCAGGGAGCACAGGGGCAGTCATCTACGTGCACAATCTCTGGAAAGAGTTGCCTCCCTTGGGCATGCCAGAAATCTGTTATTGGCTTTGAATCCCTGAGTGTATCAGATTGTCAGCACAAAGCTCAAGCTTGTGAGTTTCACCAATGTGATAAATATCCAACACCGTCAATCACTTCAGGTGTTACTCGCACCAAGCTGATATGCTGTGATATAAGTAAAATACTGTTCAAAGTTGTGTTTATACTAAACTCGTTCACTCAATATTGTCAGATATTTACAGACCCCGCCATATAGCTAGAATACAAACAGTATTGTCAGATCTTCAAACATGGAAGTCTCATGTCTTATAAAATGATCAAACATGGGCAAAACATTTGGAAATCAACGTGCAGCATGCTGTAGATCAACAGGGGTCACCAAGTTCACGCCTGCTTCCCCAAACCTAAATTGATGCTATCTTGGATACACTCCTGCAGAGTATCAATGAGTGAGTGAGTATGGTTTTATGCCGCTTATTAGCAATATTCCAGCAATATCATGGCATAGAGACACCCGAAATGGGTTACACACATTGTACCCATGTGGGGAATCGAACCCAAGTCTTCTGAGACTGAGAGACAAGCCAATGCTATAACCACTAGTGTTGGGAATTGGTTGAAATCTCACAATTGATGATTGCTTCATTACCAACTAACAATCAGTAAAAAAAATTGGTTATCGCCATTTTTCAGATTTTCCTATCCAGATTGTTATTGCAGATATGTATAACAAATGCAACCTGCTACTTTTCAAGTGATGACTAATATATCATGAACACAAACATCCAAGAGTCTTCAAGAAATATTCAGTCATGACTTTTCAGTTAGTGAAGTGGGTTTTCTAAGAATTAAACTAGTTTTCAGACCCTGACAACTTCAAGATATGTTCCATCGTGAAGCGCTTCAAAGTCTAAAACAGCAGTTCCAAAATTGTCTGTGTTCGATTATGAGAAAATGTGATTGAGTGTTTGGTCGCTTGGTCACTTCGACACCACTAATAACCACTAGGCTACTCCCTCCGCCCCAAGTGTCAAATATCATTGTGTTAGTATCTAGCAGTGTCATACACACCAGGAACCGGCTGAGTTTCTGCTGAACTCGAGTCGAGCCTCGACACTTTCCTCTCCTTCTTCAGCTGCTCTCCAGTGGGGTCCTGCAATACCAGTTACCATGGTTACAACATCCTGAGGCCAGACACATTTATTCCAACTAATTCATTCAACACAAGTGAAAATTAACTACTAAGTCTGTGAGAGGAATTAACATTTGGTCCATCATTCAAAGCAGTGTAAAATTAAGCTCACTCACTCACTCTTGTCTGAGACCAGTAACAATCTGGATGGATTAGTTGCTTTCATTACATTTAAATCTAGTCAGTTCACAATATCGCTGATCTGAAATGAGCTTTGCACAAGATGGATATGAACAACGACTGTCTACCTTGAGTTAGTGGTGATCCGATTAATTGAAATAATCGAGGATTGGTCCCAGTGACTAAACGACCAAGCAATCGATCATGTTTTCTCATAATCGAACACAAACAATTCTGGAACACTTGTTTTCATCAACAATATTTTTCACAAGGTTGGTTTTGTCTGTTACATTTCATAAGCACTATAAGCTCGCTCCAAGTCATGATTGAATTTATCTTAATGACACCAAGAAATTTAAATCCCTATCATACTAGTCATCCTTTAAAGATGTGAAATTTTGCCAAAACCCCCAAAATAACTACATGGTTTTTTCCTTATTTTTGTGCATTAACAATTTTCGATGATTGATCGATGGTAATGAACCAATCATCAATTATGAGATTTTAAACAATTCCCAACACTACCTTGAGTGAGTGAATTTAGTTTTATGTCGCTTTTATAAAAGCAATATTCCAGCAATATCACAGCGGGAACACTAGAAATGGACTTCACACATTGGACCCATGTGGGGAATGGAACCCGAAGTCTTCCATGTGATGAGTGAACGCTTTAACCACTAGGCTACCCCACCACCGAAGAAGCCATCTTCTTCCTTTATGTCCCAAGATTAACTGCAAATCTCAAGAACAACACTACCATACCCTCATTTTCCTATAGGAATATTTGTGTTTGGCAGACTTGTGTCTATTTGACAAAAGCTTTAATTCCACAAACATAAATGACTAAAACAATTTTAAGTGGAGACACTTGGTACTTACGCTTTGTTTTCTGTAGAAGGTAAGGCCATCTAATATCTTTGTCTTGTTTTTCTTCAACTCTATTGCAATCAACTCCTAAAAATAAAACAGTAAATCTAATTTTATGTAAAATGCAAATATTACATCTAGGTAATTAGCTGAATGCCAAGAGGTGAGGTGAAATTGGGTTTTACGCCGCGGTTTGAGAATATTTCACTCATATGACGACGCGGCATGCATGCATGTATGTATGTGCGACTGCTTGTACTAGCCCAGACTTAAGCTGTTTTATAGTGCTAGCCCACTGAGATACCATGCCGCAGTGAAGCATGAATACCCCACTCAGACACATTTATACTGACTCCTCGGAAGCCGTACTCAGTCCTTGTTGTACCCATTAATGCCAAGCCTGGCAGTGACCAACAAGTACCATATTTTAACGTCTTTTGGTATGACGCGGTCGGGGTATTGAACCCACGACCTTCCGCTCTCCTGGTGAACACTCTAACCACTACACCACGGAGGCGGTCAGCTGAATGCCAAGACTATTTTTATGATGGTGGCCTGTAAAAAGAGAAATGTAGACCCGAAAACCTAGTGTGCACTGTGCCTGATGACAAGCACTCACTCCATACCATGACCTCAATATACAGCTATTTCTGTTCATACTACAAACAAAACACATTGTATACATTGCTGAATAGTAGGGCTGGGATCATTCACCGATACATCACGATACATTTACGTTTGATACAGCTATCGTATCGACGACTGGTGTATCGATACAAAACGATACACAACTTTTTTTCAAAACAGTATTATCTTAAACATGTTAAAGTACATATTTAGAGAAACATACGCAAGTATGATAGAGTTACTTGTTTGTTTATTACAATAGTGTTATTGTTATACACAAATACCTTGAAATAAATCATCTTAAATCTTAATACTGTGTCATTCTTTCAAGGTGTATGTATCGTGATATGTATCGTATCGCAGGTAAAATATCGCGATACGTATCATATTGTGACATAGTGTATCGTTCCAGCCCTACTGAATAGGGGAAACAAAACCTCTTTTGATCTTGACATTATCAACTATGTGTAACAAGCCATGTTTAGTGATATCATCCTCTTTGGCTACAGTCTTAAGAGAGCCCTGTAATGCAATAAAACAAATCTGTGGTAGGAGCAGGTAGACAGTCTGTTGAAATAGTGTTCTACGTAAAACATCGGTAACCTGTTTACTGGTACCAGTGAGAATTCCCCCAGAGGAGGATTCTTCATTTTGGGTACAGGTTTTGCCTGCCATTTCCTGTTGTCTGTTTAATGCTATTCTTGTGTGTGTCAAACTTAGATCAAGCATTTGTGATTAAGTATGCCCTGAAGTAGCATGAAGTTACCTTTTTGAGCATGTTTACTTGCCTTTCAAGAAATGGGCAAAATATGTCATTTAGTCAAAACACCACAGAGATGTATTCATTGAGAATAAGAAACAGAATACAGTGGTATAAGAAGATTATAAGATTTTCAAGATTTGGAGACTCAATGACAATGTCACATTAAATATCATATTGTTCAAATTTGTATTGATAAAATAGAGAGTCGCATATAAAGTGAATATGCCCCCAAGCATCTTATCTCCTGCTAAATCACTGCCACGATAATCTCAGGGATATTTCTCATTAACATTAAATTGAAATAGTTTGACATGATACTTAATTTGTAATTTACTACCACACATACGGCACACGGTACATACAACAGATATCGAATAGATTTTAATGTAACATTAGACGATTGAACAGATCAGACATCAAATTGAAACTGATTTCAACTTACCTTTGGCCTTTGTACGCCTGCACCACTTATGAACTGCCATAATGCTCGATTGTTGAAACTAGATAACATCGAAAGGCTCCTTATACATCCAGTGGATAAAAAAGTGTGCTTAGTACGCAAACCAAGTAACACTTTCTCTTCGGGGTCTACGAAAACATTCACTGCACGAAAACTGAAGTACTTGTTTTCTTTTAAGATGTTGTTTAAACAGGACACAAGAAGCACTTTACGTTTGAATAGATTATTTGCCAGGGCTCTAAATTAAACACTGTATTATCGACAATACGCATGTTACCCTAATTTTAGCACAAACAACATTTATATGCAAATGATATTCCAACGTTACCTCTCCACGCCTCCCGCCATTATTCAATAATGGCTCTAAACAACGCTAACATCAACAAGTATTTGCAAGCGCTTCCCCTTAACGCTGTGAGGAGAATGTGACCGCTAGACTTCGGCGAAAGAGATATTTTCTCATTCGTAATGCGAATACCACTGTGCAACTATACCATTCCAATGCATATTTTTAAAAAGTTGATGATTTGAAGTGGTCATATTGGTCATAACCACCGGAAAAATCCATTGGTGGTGATAAAGCAACCAAGATAAGATAAGAAAAGATATTTTAAAGTATAAGATAATTTTATCATACCGGAGGAAGAATGCACAAACATATACACAATGAAACTGACATGATTCAAATACAATTAACCACATAGGTAAGAGGCTGAATAATTCCAGTAGTTATCACATGATGATGATTCAAAACGTGTTGCATTCACGAATACTGGGTGGTATGAAAGAGTGTTGGGCTCTGTTTTGAGGGAAGGTAATCGAACGCGGCGTCGAGAAGGAAGTAGTTCAAAATGTAGTCTGTCTCACAGTCCCTTTGAACCAAAAATTATTTTCCCTTATGCGCAAATGTTAAAGCCCCAAATGAAGCAAGTCTAGATTTCCCAGGTTCTCCGAACTCACTTGGAGCCCTTTCAATATAAATGGGTTTATGTTTTACCATCAAAATTATATATATTCAGGGACTATTCAAAATGGTATGATAAAATATGGGAACTATCAATTCTGACATTTAGTTGCCTTTTGACAATAATCTATGTGGGTTCACTCAATTTAGCTAGAGTCTTCCTAAAAAGGTCTTGTTAAGACAACATTGCACTATGGCTAGGTGAGAGATGAAGCGTGAGCCTTTGTTCTAGGGCTATAGTCTATATCTACAATGCGACACGATTGAAGATGTATGCAAGTGTGGAATCCAGGAACTATTATTGTGGGGCAAGGTTCCTCCCCTGTAAAAATTGTTATGGGTAAAGTTCCTGTGGGTAAAGTTCCATGTGGGCAAAGCTCCTGTGGGCAAAAAGTTCCTGTGGGCAAATTTAACGTTACGCGTCGCCGATATAACTAAAATTTGCGGCTATATAACCACCGGTATACGTCCCCAATTCGGCAAACACAGTACAGTTATCCCCTAAATGGATGAAGGGGATATCCCCCGGTCACTAACCACGACTAGGGCGGTGGCGTAGTGGTTAGCGCGTTCGGTCGTCACGCCGAAGACCCGGATTCGATTCCCCACAAGGGTACAATGTGTGAAGCCCATTGCTAGAATATTGCTAAAAGCTGCGTAAAACTAAACTCACTCTCTCACTCTAACCACAACTGTGTGATGCGCACATAAAATCGTTACACCTCTGCCGGGCCAAATACGGATTTTTATCTTCGAAAGGTGTTCGGGCGATACCATAAAATTTTAATACATTTTGTTCGAAGTGAAATACAGATACACAGATTTAATTGATGATCCAATGATAATGTTTCCACGGCCATAGGGTTTTGTCTACCTATATCGCGGCCGAGTCCTAGAGACCAACTGGAGAAACACGTGATCTTGTACCAACAACCCAATATGTCTGGAGGGCACCTGGGGCATGAGTCAGCGTTATATTAATGTTATGTAAATATTCCCAAAATATTTTCCCAGAGTTTGGTATATGGAAACCTGAAGAGGGGATGGTGTCATAGTTTCCAAGTGTGCGCACAGCTAAGCGCTTCATTGAGGTAGTAAGTGGTTGATCAAAACGTTTCGCTCGCCACGCCGAAGACCCGGGTTCAATTCCCACATGGGTACAATGTAAAGCCCATTTCTGGTGTCCCCGCCGTGATATTGCTGGAATATTGCTAAGAAAGCGGCGTAAAACCATGCTCACTACACTGCACTTTGGGTTTACCAAAATGCCAGCAACTGAGATTCTGAGAATGGTCTATATCCTACACACGTCAACATTATCGGACAAGGCACCGTGTGTGTAGTGTTTATAATATAGGACCAAACACAATCTAAACAGTGTGCATAATCCCGGACACTGTCAAATGCGAGGATCAGTCTAAAATGATCAACGTACCTAGTAAGGGCTGAACGGAGTGGTACACATGCCCTGAACATGGATATATATTTACTTTCTCACGTTAAGGTGCGAGATAAGATGCATGGCACGCTTCAGGTATATATGTATAAATATACGTGTTACTCAAGAATGTTTCTTGACGGATGATACAATAGACGACCTCTCAAGACAGACCCGTGTCACTTCTACAATGCAGTAATGAATACGTGATATATGAGCGTCATTGACTGGTGACTTGCGCGTTATACCTACTTGACCTGTGTATGTAGGTATGTGTGTAGAGACTGGAGCCAAGCACCTGTGACTAATTCCATGCAAAGGGATATACCACACTTGTGTTTTGACACGGGCACACCTCGATATCAACCGTGAGTCTCGAAACTGTGTCACTGGAATCTCCCCATTTTTAAAAAGTGTCAGTGAAAGTTTAAACACCGCGTTATAGAACAGGCGACCAGGTGACAGCCGGGTCTCCGAGTTTGGCCTTTATATCGAGGTTGTTGTGAAGGACATGGGCTGTGCGGTCTCTTGTTGAGGGAAATGAGTGTTGTGGACTGGACAGCGGTCGACTGAGGTTGAAGAGCGTTCACGAAGTGGAGTTTGGTGTATGTGATGACGTGACCTGTGACGGAAAGGTGGACGCCGCCACAGAGTTCCAGATGTTCTGCGACATGTTGAGGCCATGCAAGTGCTGACTTTAGCCTTAACAATGAGTCAAGCAGGTGAGACGAACACACATATTTATTGCTCTGATTTTACCATGTTTAAATTTATTTACTCTTGTTGTATGGAAGGAATATAGCTATAGTTAGGTAATTAACGTATTTACGCCTTCACAATAGTGCCATTGATCACAGACCAAACATTTAACGAAGCTACGTTTTACAAATAATCAACACGTTAAGTCTTCACAACAGTAACGCTTATTATAAATCCAGCATATTATGGATTGGCGGGTGAGCTTTTAGCAATATTCCAGCAATATCACAACGGGGACACCAGAAATGGGCTTCACACATTAAAATTATGTGGGGAATCGACCCGGTCTCGGACGCGACGAGCGGACGCTTTAACCACTAGGCCACCCCACAACCCCCAGCATATTGTGAGCACGTATGGTTTCATATTTATTATCAATATCTGATAATATATACACTACATACATTTACAACGTTACGACTTCACAATTGATTAACACAGCCTTTACAAGTGGTATTCTATCGGTTAAAGCGTTCACGTCACGCCGAAGACCCGGGTTCGAATCCCCACATGGGTACATTTGTGTGAAGCCCATTTCTAGCGTCCCCTGCCGTGATGTTGTTGAATATTGCTAAGCGGCGTAAAACCAAACTCAGTCAGTCAGTCAGTCAGTATTTACAACATTTCACCACCTCATATAAGCATCAAATAAATTTTACCAAGTTACGACTTAGTATTAATTAACCCAGTTACGCTTTTGAAACAGTAACTTCACCAGAATATATATGTAACATCATTTCAAACCTGACCACACCGAGAAAGACTCCATTGAATGTATTTAATGTTAATTCAGACATGGAATATGACTAGTGAGTGAGTGAGTATGGTTTTACACCGCTTTAGCAATATTACAGCAAGATCACGGCGGGGACACACATTGTACTCATATGGGGAATCGAACCGGCTTTCGGCGTGACGAGCGAACGCTTTTAACCACTCAGGCTACCCCACCACTCCTGGAATATGAATAGTGAAGTAATATATCACTAAGTTTCACAGTAACACCACCATCCTATTACGTACAGATGTAGTGATCGTACACTCTATGAATGAGACCGTTGATGTGTTTTGCTATTGCTAGTCCTGAACGGAATGCACCTTGCAGGAAATCAACAGCCTCCCAGGCAATAATATGAAGGGTATATATCACGGTTTACCAGTCACTAATATTATCGTCCAATATTATTGGAGACGCCAACAGACCGATAGTAATATATGAAAGATAGGTTTACAAAGGTCTTCTGGCTATAGGGCCTGATGAGCCAGAACGCGACTCTCACCAAAGATCGAGAGAGCTTCTCGTGTATTATTCAAGTGTATTTCTCGAGTTCGACTCCAGTAAGAACATGTGACAAACTGACAAGGTCCTTGTGCCACTTTTGTAGTTTGTGTTTGTAGCTGAAAAAGAGTTTGTCTTATAGCTCGGTGGTGAAGACACGATCGCCGAATATACGCAATGCTCTAACGAATTATACCGACCCAGAAACCCAGTAGCAATTGCAGATCTGGCCTTTGTTTCTATGCAAGTGCTGTAGGTATGTACATTGGAGTCAACACAGCGACTCGAGCGCCGTGACAAGACGATCTAGCCTAGTCCCACACATACTAGTCTCTCTCCGCCGTGGTCGGTCAAGCTTAAAAAGACAACCGGAATGTCAACAGAAAGTGAAAATGACTCTGATGACCCATTTTCCGAAAAACAGCCGAGTCGTGACGAGTGTGTTGTTGGATTGCAGTCGTCGTATATGACGTCACGTAACTGTGTTAAGCCAAACTGTGACCATTATCATAATGTAAGAGCAGCATTTTTATTTTCTGTGTTTCTTATCGCCCGACCGACACCTTTTTTCATTCCGACACCGCCGACTCGAACCTAAAACGTACCGCCTTGTCATATATAAAATATTTATCTTCAATTAGTTGCAGCCACAAGGCCAAAGAACGCGAGAAATAGTAATGAGAATTACAATAACAGAGAATCAAGAACATTATTAGGATAATTTTGTCTTTATTAAGTTTCTCTTTTTTCCCCACCGACCGACTCATGTCCATGTTTTACTTGGAACACAAAAATAAAATGATGCCTTAATACAGAGCTCTAATGAAAAGCCAGAGACTGTATATGTTACAGGCAATGTGTACGACCATCAATTTGAGGGACGGTGGGTAGCCTAATGGATTAAAGTGTCCCCTCGTCACGCTGAAGGCCTGGGTTCGATTCCCCACATGGGAACAATGTGTAAAGACCATTTCTGGTGTCCCTCGCCGTGATATTGCTGGAATATTGCTAGAAGCGGCGTAAAACTAAAAAATTCAAACCAAATCGATGGCCATTTTCCTCGAATTTATCATGCTCCTTGCAAATTTCGTACAATTCGTACAAGATTACCAGTGAAAATATTCAATGTCACAATAACTGTTACCTCTGTGTATAATATGCAAACCCATGGCGACTATGTTCTGTTGTGTTATCTGTTGGAAACACATATATTTTCTCGACGCGCACATTGTATGGGTTATGCCGTCATGACTGAATTGACTGCATATCGACTATACCTAGCGGGGAATGTTACACGTCTTCTTGGTGGGATCTTATTTTCAAAACAGTGATCTTCTTTAGCATAATGAAATCTTGCCTCTTGCCAAAATGTCACGCGTTGCAAGGTAACAGTTTTCACCTCGACTGCTTCCTAGTGCTATCTCCCTGACGTGTAAAGAAACAAGTCATATAATACTGTGATACTAGTGTAGAGTGAGTGAGTGAGTGAGTTTAGTTTTACGCCGCACTCAGCAATATTCCAGCTATATAGCGGCGGTCTGTAAATAATCGAGTCTGGACTAGACAATCCTGCGATTAACAGCATGAGCATCGATCTGCGCAATTGGGAATCGATGACATGTGTCAACCAAGCCAGCGAGCCTGACCACCCGATCCCGTTAGTCGCCTCTTACGACAAGCATGGGTTACTGAAGGCTCATTCTAACCCGGACGTTCACGGGTATACCAGTGTAGAACAGGGGGTGGTAGGGTAGCTTGGTTAAAGCGTTCTCTCGTCACGCCGAAGATCCGCATGGGCACAATGTGTGAAGCCCATTTCTGGTGTCCCCCGCCGTGATATTGCTGGAATATTGCTAAGAAAGCGGCGTAAAACCATGCTCACTAGTGCAGAACAGGGCAAGATGTGTCGGAAGTTGTAGTTGCAACTGCGTTTCTTTTTTGTCTGCCTATTTCTTTGTTTTTCAATAGGGATCACGAGTGTGTCTACCTCCTGATAGGTAATAATTACAAAGAACATATTAACCGTGTAAGAAATTAATTTCGCTACCGTAGTGAAGAAGCCGTCAGCGCAATGTTTCTGGTTTAGCTTCCGGTCCAGGACGTTTGATAGTTGACTCTCAAACTGAGTTCGTTAGATCGCGTGTCCTATCATCGATCAAGTTTTATTACACAATCAGTCTCGAATTCAACTTTTAGAGAATGTTCTCGAACTCCAATCTAAACACTCCGATACTGGGACTTGTTTGTTTCAAGAAATCAAACGCCTCACTCGGCTACATGACGGTCTGTGGATGATCAAATCAGGACAAGACAATCCGGTGATTGACATCATGAGCACAACACACATCTGGAATACGATGACATGCACTAGCCAGGTCAGCGATCCTGATCACGTGACCCATTTAATCGCATGGATTTCTGGGGCATAAACGACCATATTACCCCAACTCGCCACGGTCGGTTAATAGATCTGTATCAGCGACAGTCCTGACTTCATGGGGTTTTTTTCTGACTGCCTGACAGATGATATTGAGGGAAGAGATGATGTATTTATGATAGCGTCTCATTTCTGGCGTTATCGTATTGGTTGATTGATTAATGGGGCGTTTATGGGTGTGTTTATGCATGTACAGTAGAATACTTTTATAACGAACACGGATATACCGAACTGACGGCTATAGCGAACTGTTTTAAAAGTCCCTAATAAACCTTATACAGTAGATACTGTATGTCATTTGCCGTGTCATCCACATACAGAGAGTGACTGAAAGGTGGTTTATTACACAGTCAGCAATATTTAAGTTGTATAACCAAATGATAAAGTCTGGGTCAAGCGATCCTGTGATTTATAACATGAGCAGCCGGTCCGGTCATCCATTGTGCCAACTAGATCTTTATTTATATCAGCTCATTAGCGATCTCCACATATACAACGTGTACGTAGAAAAACAATTGATAAAATTCAGCATTGAATTTCAAATCCTTTTTTATATTTTGTCTCAGATCTACTGCTACCGTATCCGCCATGATTGTTTATAGCAAACTATTTACTTTCAGTCGTTTTTCTGAAATCTTTCTAGAAGTGAGGGAACGGAGAAAGATGCATGTATATCATTTCTAAAAAGAAATCACATTTTCAATAAAATACTACAATAACATCTAGTCTGAGAAATGATCATATTTTACATAAAAACTGTTCCTAAATAATAATGATAAAGTATAATGAAAATGAGCCAAGAGACTTTCCTTATTTTAAGAAACTGTGGTAATGGACACTTGCCACATATTTTAGACTTGCAAAGGCTTTCTTGGATGTATTTGTTTGAGGGTCTGTATGACAGACTTACAAAATACCAAACGTACGAGAATTTATTTTCTTTAGAATTAGATACTCTGCATTAATATTGGTATTTTTTAAAAAACTTTGTGTACAATTTTACGATTGGAAAATAGCAGGATAAAAGTATTCACAGCAAATTAATAACTGACTGACTGACTGAGTTTGTTTTTACGCCGCTTTTAGCAATATTCCAGCAATATCACGGCGGGTGTCACCAGAAATGAGCTTCACACATTGTACCCATGTGGGGAATCGAACTCGGGTCTTCGGCGTGACCAGCGAACGCTTTAACCAGTAGGCTACCCCACCGCCCTACTTAAAGGTCACATGCAACCAAAAAATCAAACATAATTAAAACACAATTATCACTTATTCATGACATATAATATACATTGCTGTTTATGAAAAAACATATAAACAAAATTATAAGCGTTCAATCGCAAATCAAAAGTGCAATATTTTGTACTTGGGTTTTTCCTTCCCAAGAAATGAAGCAGCCGGGATACCGAACCCAGTCAGAGCGGGTGGGTGTGCACTCAAGTGTAACGGCTGGTTCATTTGCAGATGCCCTGACGGCTCATTGTGTGTGTATATAGAGAGAGATGTTGGGTTTTGTAAATACATGCTCAATTTTTTGTGTATAATATTTTGCAATTAACAGACATCATAACATGTCATGTGTACAAGTATCACACCTGCCTGTCTGTGTAATTACACAATGACAACAACAGAGACCGAACTGGGGCCATAAATCAAATGTGTTTTGTTTATGGTGCATAGCCTAATTGGTGTTAAGTTCAAATTGCATGTGGTCAGTGATTGAAATTGTGTATTAAATATTGTCATTAGCAGACGGGAGGGCAGATACATAGGTGTCAATAAAACAGACATTGAGTTTTGTCTGTGAAAACGACATATCTATTACAGTTAGAAATTCTGTCAACGCTTAATAATGACATTGCTTTTAAGTATCGAACTGAGAAAGTGACTCGGTAAGAAGAACGTGTGGTGAAATAGACAAATGATATTATATAAACAGTTAAATCGGTAATCAACTGTAATGACATATAAAAAGCTCGCGCCTGTGAATATCAACAAAACATTAGAAAAATAGCTCACACCAAAGCCTTCACCGGACAACCCACTTCCAAGCTGCGCGAACCTATTTCACTGCGCATGTGCTATGAGCGCAGCTCAGCTGTTGAAACCACTTCAATTCCCCCAAGCGCTGGGGGGAAATTAGTGAATCGTTTGAACTCCGATTTCGCGCGGTTTTTTTCATCACGTTATTTTCAATCCTTTATAAGTTGAATTTGCATTTTTGATAATTTGTTTCCGGTAAGTCCATACCGAAAGGTAACAGAATCTGCAAAGTTGTGTTTTACGTTGCATGTGACCTTTAAGCAGAGGCATTTGAGGTCTGTAGCGCTACAAAGTGAAATGCGTCTTAACATCTGCTGGCCAACCAAGCCTCGCCTCGATTGTAAACCTTGTTCTTGCATCACACCGTTCACACGTGATCGCAGAGCTACGACAGTCGTAGGTCTTCGTTAAAGTATGTGAGTTACGATCACCTTAGTGCTACGACAGTCGCAAATCTACGTTAAAGTATGTGAGTTACGAGCAACCTTAGTGCTACGACAGTCGCAAAATCTACGTTAAAGTATGTGGAGTTACGATCACCTTTAGTGCTACGGCAGTCGGTGGTCTTAGTTAAAAGTATGTGAGTTACGATCACCTTAGTGCTACGACAGTCGCAAATCTTCGTTAAAGTATGTGAGTTACGATCACCTTTAGTGCTACGACAGTCGCAAATCTACGTTAAAGTATGCGGGAGTTACGATCACCTTAGCGCTACGACAGTCGCAAGTCTTCGTTAAAGCATGTGAGTTACGATCACCTTTAGCGCTACGACAGTCGTAAGGCTTCGTTAAAGTATGTGAGTTACGATCACTTTAGCGCTACGACAGTCGCAAGTCTTCGTGTTAAAGTATGTGGAGTTACGATCACCTTTAGCGCTACGACAGTCGTGGCGGCTTCGTTAAAGTATGTGAGTTACGATCACCTTTTAGCGCTACGACAGTCGTAAGGCTTTCGTTAAAGCATTGAGTTTCTGATAAACCTTGGCGCCACGATGGTATCTTTGAAACGGAAGATGCGAGAGGTTAAGATCAACGCCCAGTTTCATTAGGGTAACAATAACGCGTAATTAACGAAGTCATGGAGCCTAACCAACCGGTTCATCAAGTCATCTCTCGTGATACAAGAACAGGTTGCTGGGAACCTTCCTAACCCGGAATCACGTCAGATTAGGTATTAGTGAGACCACACATTGAGCAGGTCGTGTTAGTCATAGATGTCTAAAGTTCAAGGGCTTAAATGTGCCTGAGAGAACAGCGATTCAGGCACGTACATGAATATAATTAGACCAGCATTAATTAATTTATATTAATCTGATTACGGGCTAATCCCAAGGTAGGTGCATAACAGCAGCTCAAAGCTCGTGGGCTCAAAACCAATCCTAATAATAATTAGGTTGTTAAAGTAGGTTAACCAATAAACGTGTTTTATTTCTTTGAGTGGCATTTAGAAGTTGGTGTGGATGAACAACGAGGAGAGTTTTATGGATATACAACTTCTTTAACATAATTTCAGCGATGTTTCCGTGTAGCTTCTAACACCGTTGTCAAGCAAGCAAGTGATGTACAATACTGAAGGCTAGGTTTATATATATATAATAAACTTTGAACAGTAAATCATTGATGCTGCACAATTGAGGTTGATTTACAAGGTTGGAGGATGTTTACACAAGAAGACATTTGTTACACAAACAGAATAAGCTATGGGGGGATTATAGGGATGAAGTCAGTGATATGACAGACAGGAGAATAATGGGATTAAGATTGCTTGGTGATGAGTTGGTTGTAGGCAGTGGGGATGTAATATCCTTGGTCTCTGTTCATGGCCGGTTGGAGTCTCTTGATGTGAATGGCTTCTAGTAGTTTTCTGATCTTGTAGTGGGTATGATTACTGGTGACTACATTGATGCTGTTCTAACGGATGTTGTGGTCTAGGTGAGTTTGGTGTGGTCAGAGATGGCGGATTTGGAGTCTTTCTTCTTCACAGAGGATTGATGTCCTTTGATTCTTACAGGAAGTGGGGTGAGGGTGTTCAGGGCTCATGCAAAACGTTAACTTCAATGTGGTCTTTAGTCATTTTCAAAAGTTCAGGAGGGGGATCCGCCAATAGTACGAGTCTCCACAGTCACATATTAAAGACGTGTTTTATTAGATGCTTGATTGGCATTTTAAAAAGATGATATTTGATGAATATAGATGCTTGTTACATCTTCTTTCTTTATTCGAGTTTGGAGTTTCTCTCCTCTGATCATCAGGTGCAAAACTGAACAGTAACTCAGTTTTACCTGATGATGGGGCCAGAACAAGCCCTGAAACGTTGTACTCAAGAATAAAAAGAAGATGTAACCCAGAAAAAATCTCTATGTTCAACGTGTTTTATTGTTGAAAGGTAACGGACCCGTCGCTGGTAATACCATTCCATCCATTGTTTATGAAGAGAATGGGTGAGTGAGTATTGTTTTATGGCACAGCAGCACTATTCATTGTATTTCCACGTAAAATATACTCATGGAAACGAATAAGGGAACACATGAAAGTACAAGTGTTCCGTTGTTCTTTTCCAGGTTTCTTCACGAGGTATGTATTGCACTGTGTGGTGAAAGTCTGGAATAAATAAAGGAACACTTGTACTTCCACGTGTTCCTTTATTTGTTTCCATGAGTATATTTAAGCTGGAGTATTCTGGTAGTTGATAGTATGAGTAAAGTTCCTTGCAGCAGGGGAGCGATACCGCCGTCAGCCAGTTAGGCTTTATGACACAAATGTGGTGTTGCGAGCCCTCTTACCCACACATGGAGTTAAACTATATGCGTGTCAGACTGAATATAGAATTAATTCAGTTCTGAATATTATTTGGATATGGGTAACACGACGATGATACCGTTTTAGTTATTACACTCACTGACACTGACGTTCGGCAAATTCATAATAAACATATGAGTTGGAGTGAGTGAGTGTGTGATTTTAGTTTTAACGCCGCACTCAGCAATTTTCCAACTCTATGGCGGTGGTCCGTAATAATCGAGTCTGGACCAGACAGTCCAGTGATCAACAGCCTGATCATCGATCTATGCAATTGGGATACGATGACATGTCAACCAGGTCAGCGAGCCTTACCACCCGTTTGTCGCTTCTACGACAAGCATGGGTTACTGAAGATCAAGTCTAACCCATACGAGTTGAAGTGACGTCACTGACACTTATCTTCGGGATATCGACGTTGAACACTCAAACATTGAATAATTGAAATAAATAGACTTACATTGAGTAAATGATTTTGATTTAATTAACACGAACTCTAGCAAGGTAAGCTGGAATGCAATTGTGTGCATGTGACAATCTGTCAATAATTTTGTATTTTCTACTTCCAGACAGAGAAGCCGGAGATATGTCTGAAATTCTGAAAACAGTGTCTACGTTTAACCCAGAGCATGTATCTGAAGTTGTATTGACAGCTTCAAACGAACAAGAAAAGTCCTCAGTTGAATCTCAGTGTCAGGAGTTATTCAGCCCTGGGTTGAAGAAAACATATAGACAGGTAGATTCAAAGCCGTCATTAAAAGACGAGTTCGAGCCCCTGTTGAGAGTTCCGCCCGGTGATGTGACGGATGCGGGTCTGACATTAAGTGAGAACATCGGATCACGTGTTCGGAAGCTGGTCCAGGTGGTGATAGACTCGCTGATCAGCGTCAGGACTCAGGATGAGGATGACCAGCCCTATCGCAAGACAGAGTGATCTCTAGTGGAATAAACAAATACATTTGTACAAACCTCATCAACATTGTCGTGATGCGTGTTTAAGACAATACTGTACTCTTATACTGAAGAACATAAATAAAGAATCGGAATATCCCTTTCAAAACCTGTAAGAATTGTCTGCCAATCGCGGAATCGATTTACGACTATATCTTGAGCATGTGTTTATGGGTGAGTGAGTTAGGTTTTACGCCGCTTTTAGCAATATTCCAGCAATATCACGGCGGGGTTACCAGAAATGGTTTCACACATTGTACCCATGTGGGGATTCGAAACCGGGTCTTCGGCGTGAAGAGCGAACGCTTTAACCACTAGGCTACCCCACCGCCCATGTGTTATGAACCCGTATCAACTAGTGCTATACCATAACACGTCCCTCTGAAAGCACCCATCATAAACACGAAAGCACCCATCATAAACACGAAAGCACCCATCATAAACACGAAAGCACCCATCATAAACACGAAAGCACCCATCATAAACACATGCAAAGGCTAGTCAACTGTTGGAAATACGGCAACATACAACACCAGTCGAAGGAGGGAATTGCATCTGTCATTAGTTTAGTCACTGGAGCGCCAAATTGGAAACAAAACTCAACATGTGGGCGAATAATGTTTTACGCCGCCGTTTGCAATGTAGATGTACTAGCAATACCACGTCGGGGGATACCAGAAGCTGGTTTAACACACTGCAACCATGTGGGGCATCGAACTCAGGTCCTCGCCGTGCCAAGTGAACGCTTCAGTCACTACTCTACGTCCAACTCAACATGATTGCCATAAATTGTTCTGAAAGCTTTACGGAGACCCTAATGTTGTAATCTTAATATACAACCTAACAGAAGTCGTAGAGCGCACTTTGAAATTTTGGTAAAAGAACCTACTTGCGAGTATATTAAAAGTTGTAAAGTGTCAACACCCAAGGCAGGAGCTCTTGGAATGTTGATCGACATAAAGTGAAAATAAAGAGCAAGTCACCCCTAGTCGTATGGAGAGTAGTTTGTCACGGAGTTTCTATGTATAGGTATTAATTATGACATTTCTAAATTGTGAAACACACGATAGTTTCACTTGTCTCTTTTATTTCAAGTTCTGGGGGCACCCAGTGGAATTTAATTGGGCATATGATTAAATAATATCGCCTCACGGATACATAGAGAATACTACACGAGGTCTCATTACATACGAATTATACGAAACGAGTGTCCTTCCTATGGTATCTGACCGAGCGAAAGCGAGGTCAGATAACATAGGAAGGTCACGAGTTTCTAATTCGTATGTAATGAGACCTCGTGTGGTATTTTATTTATTACCCACGTCTTACATGCTTTAAATTGACAAAATAGCGTATTTTTGTTAGGTTTTTTGTTTCAAACCGAAACCGGTTTCATAAAGAGGTTGCGGAAGAGTTTTGTACTGTAGTGCAATATTTGCATGACGTCACACTGTAATGACGTCACTGCCTTGGTAACCGACGTCACGATGCATGTCAGTTGTCATCGCCTCGTACAGCCTCCTACAGTAAACTACTCCGTAGCACCTCGTTTCTTGGTTTCCAGTTGCTTCATTCGGCTAACATCACTGGTGGAAACATTGCGTTTATGTTTTTCGACGGATATAATGTCTCAGTTCGACTCGCAATTAAACAGCGACACGGCAACGTTCGCAATGTTTACATTCCACAATGCATATAAGTTGTAGAATGAATGAATTCACGTGTTTCTTCTGAATGAAAAAATAGTTACGTCAGAATGTGACCTTATTGAGAGGTCATCGGTTATCCAATCAAATCGTTAGAATCTCAGGTCAAATCGTTACGACACAGGGTCAACGCGATACGACACTCGTGTGACGTACGAGATTACGAGATTATGCAACTACCAATACGTTGACCTCGTGGAAAAATAAACTTCTTTTTCAAAGTCTCGTTTATATGCATAAAGAAACTGGTGCAATTGGTGTCCGTGGGGTGCCAACTTCTTGTCTACATATCTTACCACAAACCTTTCGATGGTATTAATGGGTCCAGCATTTCACATACGGTTTTCACCCTAACATGATATTTCTTTTTTTCTGACTCCTTGTCCTGAGCCTCATTGAACCCCCAAAAGACTAATTTGTATGTGTTGTCATTGTCACCACGTTACGCATCAAAGGCGGTATCGATCAAAGAAGGGAGAGTTTCTTTAAGTTCGTCGTTTGGCATAGTGGTGTACAACGTTAGAAAATAAAATGTTTGCACAAAACTGAAATTGGTTCTTTTCTGAGAAAAAACAAGTGAGTTGTGTTTGAGATTCCAAATGACATGTATTCTACTTGTTTAAAATATGTGTTTAAAGAAAGTCGATAGTATTGACATAAATCTTCGAGACAGGGATTTGATGGTACATTTCCTGGACCCAGCAATATAGCTTTGTACAGATGTTGTGTGTTCTTTGGGAATCAAATTCCGCTTATTAAAATGGTAAGTATAAATTATTTTACTCTGATAAAACAACAAAAGTAAACCGATCGGATAGGGCCTATAAGTCTCGCGAGGCGCTACTACCGGTACTAAGCTGGTTCTTGGCTCCCTTCTGTGCGCGCCAACTTGCGATATGCGAGACGGGGCCCAGCTTACTTCCGGTACCAGATTTCCGGTGACAAGCGTATATGCTACCATGACATTTAAGTATGTTCGTTTTTGATTGGCTGTTACTGAAAAAAATTAGAAGTGAAAATTTTCAATAACCACTTCTGAGAGCTGGTTCACTGCGCGTAGTGTCAAAACACTACGCAAGGGTAATGAGTGCATATTTAAAACGCGTTTTATTCATGGTGCATATGTAATGGTAGAATGGAGATAATCCTATTGTGTTTACATTTTGGAAGTGATTATAGTTGGTTGAACGCTGCTAAAATAAATGTTTCATTTAGCAGCGTTCAACCAACTATAATCACTTCCAAAATGTAAACACAATAGGATTATCTCCTAAATTCAAGAACCAGATCATGCGCGACCGCCAAATATGACTTTACATGACCGGAGTGTACAACCATGCTTCGTAATAGTTGGCTAATCTAGGGATGATTAGATCGAGATTTTTTATTCCTGCAACAACTTTCGGTTCCTTACTGTCAACAGACAACCATGAGACCATTCGAAAAGGTATGAAACGTTGTTTGTTACCGGAAGTACTAAGGTCTTGCGAAGTGCCGTGACCTACTTACGGGCCCTATTGTCACTAGAGGTGTGACGATACAGAAATTTCACGATACGATATCATGGAACGATACGATTCGATACGATGCATATCACGATATGCTATCTTTAGTTATTTTCTTTTAAACAAGAAACAGTGTAAATTTTGACATAACCGTCATTTTCTGGTGAAAATTCACAATTTTAAGGTCAACGATACATATCACGATACGGAAAAAAGCATCGATATATTTATTGTCAGAAAACAGGATCACGATTATCGATACTACGATATATCGTCACAGCTTTAATTGTCACACAGTTCTCAAATAATGATTGTTGTGATTGTATGAACCACCACTGACACCCCTCGCGTGTCAATTCCTGCAGATGTGGTTGAGGAGGGTCTCTAACTCGAACTTCGCGTCCAAGATATCCGATGGTGTTATATCGGGTAATGTTTGATGGCGTTGAATGGGCAGTGACGGCTCGAGAACGGTGAGGTCTAGTGTTGACATCCATGAATATCGGACAAAGAGGCAAGGGTAAAGTTATTCAAATGTCGCATGCTGGCGATATCCTGAACTTACTGAACATAACGTTGATCAATTGGAGTCCCTATTACTGTAATGAGATTTAACTTGCCTCACACAATCACTGTGCCACCGCCAAAACGTTCAGTTGCATGGATCATCTCCTGGAGATATGCCTCGTTACGGAGCCTGAATCACGCCAGACGTACCTGCCTGTGCTTATCTGATTGGAAGACGTTTCCTCAGACAAACAGCCCACAGCCTCCTTCTGGCCCCTGTTTCACAAAGCGATCGTAGCGCTAAGGTGATCGTAACTCCCATACTTACGACTGTCGTAGCGCTACGATTGCTTTGAGTAACGGGGCCCTGATGGTATATGGGTCATGGAATTGGGCTTGCCAGACGAATAAGGACTCGGTCGTCACGATCAGAGGTCTCCCAGGTCACCCGTAGCCACTTTGCTTCCTTATACGATGACTGATAACCGTGTGGTTCGTTTAGTGAGCACCGATGTTGCAACAGGTCATCCCTGCATCATGCATTACAACAACTTGCCATCGTGTATTTTCTGAAAATCTACGTCTTGTCATGTCAAGAAAAGTTGATTTTTAGTATGACCGTCTTTTAAGTCAGTTGAAAAAATAAATCCACAAACTGCATTTTAGCAATTTATTGCCCAATGTGCTTTGTGTTTTCTCTGAACGGGTCGATCGTCAACCTTTCCAGTCAGTTGGCACCTGTTCTACAGTCTGCTACTCACAGCCAACGTGTTGGCCAATACACTCAGACTTGTCATTTTCCAGCATCCTGCTACTCACAGCCAACGTGTTGGCCAATACACTCAGACTTGTCATTCTCCAGCATGCCAGCATCCCGTGTACGCTCCACATGTTGCATCGCTCCATCATAAACAATTTATGAAATCTGCTACGTCATGAATGTATGGTAATCAGAATCAGTAAGATTGACAGACATAATAGTTCGGAGATATAGCATGACCAGAAATTATTGAGAATTTTAGGAATATGTTTAATTGGATTAATAGTATAAACAACCTTGACCAGCTATCAAGTGCTTGGTTTCATTCAAGAGAGACAACCTGTTAATCCTTTTTCATTAGTTTGTGAAGAGTTATCCCAAAGCAGACGACATTTTCAGTGATCCTCAGTATGGATGATTTAGAGAAGGAAGTTGATTTTAGAGTATTATAACAAGGACATCAGATCAGCTAAAGTGATTTCAAGTAGAACAGGCATCCCTTTGTTCACTGTTTATCGTGTTTTGAAAAATATTGCAAATGGATATGGCATTGAGCACCAGGGAGGCGCAGGTAGGCCCCGAAAATTGATTGTCGGTGACAGGAGGCGGCTTGGTATTCTTGTTTCTAAAAACAAACGAAGGAGTTAAGAAAACTTGACTTATGATTGATAGAGGACCTGTGGCTGCCTGTAAGGAGACAATTAGAACTGAGCTGCATGCAATGGGTTGGCAGAAAAGTCGAGGAATTCCATCACTGATCATAAAACCTGAACAAAAGGAGCGAAGGTTGAACTGGTGCTTCCAGCATAGAAATGTTAACTGGGACAATGTGATTTTCTCAGATGAAAGTTCTGTGTGGCTGTTTCCTAATACATTGATATCTGGACCAAACAAACTGAAAAACCTTTATCAGCGCCCAAAGTACAGTCCGGAATTTAACGTGTGGGGTTGCATATCTGTGTTAGGGGCACCGCCCCTCTGTGTATTTGAAGGGAATATGAACAGTGAGCGGTACACAGATATTCTCGAGGGACATTTACTTCCATCTGCTCACGTGTTCTATGGATTTTTTTTTATTTTCAGCAGGACAACGACCCAAAACATCGTTCAAAGCATTCACAGGCTTGGTTTCGGACCCAAAATATGCCATTATTAGATTGGCCAAGCTATAGCCCTGACCTAAATCCAATAGAACATGTTTGGGGACTTATGAAGGAAAGTGTCAATAAGAAAAATCTGACAACATTGCTGAAATGAAAGAAGAGGTGGTCCGATATTGGGACAGCATGGACCACGACTTTCTAACTTCTTTGATCAGTAGTATGCCCCGCCGCATTGAAGCCTGCATTGCTGCCCACGGTGACTTGACAAAATACTAACGGTTCACCTGTCTTTGAATCTGGAGTTATGTTCTACTAATATTCACATTTAATACGTGAGTAATGAGTGAAAAAATAAATAAAAATTACAATCTTAAATTCTCAATAATTTCTGGTTGTAATCGAATTGAGTCAAAATCAGTAACAACACATTAATTAGTTTGTGCTACTGAGGGGAGGAGGTGAGCTACATGGACATTCGTCAACACCTGTTCTAATACTTGGGAAAATACATTTACATTTCGCGTTACTCTACTTCTTTTAAGGGTATATTTTGTGTATGAAATTGATACTCTTTAAACACGTTTTAAGCAGTGTTTAACGCCAGTAGATATGAAAGAACTTGCAATGCATTATCAATTATCAATGAACGTTTCTGACATATCAGTGACACAAAACACGATCTATTAAGCAAGACTGAATATTAAGCCAGGTATTTGCCCTCTCCTCAATGATGTTCGTGTGGTACACATTCGAGAGTCTCTGAAGGTGAACTGTACTCCATCCACCGTTACTGTTTCCTGTTCCCTTCACCACTGGCAGTGGGACCTCCATCCATGTCCACACACAGAGTATAGGTCGACCCAGCGGTCAGGGACACGCACCTGCGGAACAACACGTCATTCCCCTGACAACGACTCTTCAGTTTCATCCTGGTGTTCAGCAACGGCTCTCCAATCAGCATATTCTCAGAGTTATACACCCTGATATTCACCATGTACACTGTACCAAAGGGTCCGCCATATAGTTGACATCCCTCCAGATGGATGCTCTGAGATGGCACAAACGAGATTGAGTGTGTTCCTGGTCTTGAACTCTCAAAACACGATATGTGTTGAAACCTTTTAACATATCTTAACGTTTTAGATGTATTTCTGTGTTCTGGGAGGGCTGTTCTCCTCAGTGAATGGTTAAAAGGAGTAATATCAACACTGGAGTTTATATTTCTGTCCACGATGCGTATTCTCTCACTGTCTGTCAGCACTCCCGAGGGACCAACAACGTTCACAAGAAACTCCAGTGACAGACTGGTAAACCGGATCTCATATCGCATCTCCCCAAGGAGCCTCCGTCTGTTCTCAGGCGTGTCACTCACACCTTCCTTCCGACACCGTTCGTTTGTCCAGGACAGCACTGCTTCAAATACATCTTCCTCTTTCGCTTTCATAATATCTGAGTTTAGGAACTTCTTGAGACAGTCTGAGCAAAGATGAACAAATCCCTGAGACATGGTGACTCTCTCCCTCCTTGTGTCAGGACCTCTAGGGCCTTCTGTTCTAGGTCCAGCTCCCCGTAACCATGACACTCCTCCAGGATCTGGCAGACATTGTCCTCTGACAGGGACGACACGAGGAAGGCCACACATAGATCGTACAACGCATCTACATTATATTTCCTGGAGGCGTACATCAACCCCATCACTGTGTCGGCGTTAATGTCCGTCTTCTCTGTGTACACATACCTACAATAAAATGAACAAGAAGGAAACACGGAATGGGTACTGGTTTCTCATGGATGACTGATCATGACACACTGGTAAATATTAGCACGCAAAACTGATTCAGAACAAAACAGAATCATAATAGTATTGGCAAATGCAGGTTTGCATCTTATAAAGATAATTTTATAGTCTGGATATCCAGACGACAGAAGAAAAAAACAAGGCATTACAACCAGGTGGTACTGTAGTTATTGATATGAACGAATAATATTATACAATTATAGACTCTTGTAGAGGTCGATATCGGTTTTTATTGACCTGAGAAAAACAATATCGACCTCGCAAGCTCGGTCGATATTGTTTTTCTCAGGTCAATAAAAACCGATATCGACCTCTACAAGAGTCTATAATTGTTTTATTATATAATGAAAGAGAAACAGGTTTTAACATAAACTTTTAATGCACACATTGTGCCATCTATCCGAGTGATCTGATTGGCTGAAAAGCGGGGGAAGCCCCTTCTTACGGGATTCCTTGTCTATTTTTAGTAACCCAAGTCAATATCGTAATTTATCAGAAAACTCAAGTCAATATCGTGTTTTGTAGTCAATCATGTGACGGTCTTTTGACCAATCGTGGTACAGGAAAAATACTACCTATATAATAATCTGGTATATACTATAGTCTGTTTGCAGTAAAAACGTACCGATGAATTTCACTTTAAACAAAAACATAAATCAAATAAAGTGAAATTAAGATTGCGAATCCTCATAATTTTACCTTGCCAATTAAACGTTTAAATTTCAGAATTGTATTCAACTTAGGATATAAGTTGTTTAACAGACGATCATAGATTCAAATCGCTATTATTGGTTTGTATTACAAGGGAGTAAACGCAGTACTTGAAACAGTGATACAAAAGCACGTGCAGTACGTGATGAGTGTTAACTTAGACCAACCCTACTTGTTCTCGGCGTTTCATTTAATAAACATACCCCCTTGTAATACAAACCAATAATAGCGATATGAAACTATGATCGTTTGTTAAACAACGTTTATCCTAAGTTGAATAAAATTCTGAGATTTAAATGTTCAATTGGCAAGGTAAGATTAAATGGATTCGCACTTCTAATTTCACTTTATTTGATTTACGTTTGGTTTCACTGCAAACAGACTATAGGTAAGTTTAAAATGTAGGTATATACCTTAAGTTTTTACCTTGCATAGGTAAATTTATTTTCTTGATATCCAGACGACAGAAGACAAAACAAGGCATTACAACCAGATGGCAGTGTACTTTTGATATGAGTGAAAACATATTCTGAGTCATAAGGTTTTCTGTGGATGAAATGTTCAACTTTCAAACGATATACTGTTTAGTAAAATTCAGTATTTTTGTTGAGCAGTTCATAAAAAAAAAGGTCTTTACCTCAAAAACTCTTTGAAGATGTCTGGTTCTATATCAGGAATAGTTATCTCCCCTTTCTCCGCAAGGGGGCCACAGAACATGGCGTGGAAGACACAGCTACGACTGACAAGAACATAGCGGTGAGCTCGGACCATCTGCTCCTCTGACCCCACCCGGAAGGTGACGTCACTGAAGTTTTCTGTGTCGAGCATGCGCAGATTACATTCTGTGACGGACTTCCCTGATTGCCAGTTGTCCACATACCCAGATTTTCGGCTTTCACTTGACATTGTTTTTATCTAAAAAACATACCGGCAATGTGTCATGCAATGATTGAATATTTACACGCCAACTTTTAAGACCATGTACATCAAATATTGAAACTTTGTTTTACATATAAGTAATGTTACAATAAACTAACTAACCACACACCTGTTACTACAATTCACTTTCCGTTTTCACAATGGTGGTTTGTCGTTTTGTAATAGGGGCTGTGGGGTCTCCTAGTGGTTAAAGCTTTGGCTCGTCACGCCGAAGACCCGGGTTTGAATCCCCACATGAGTACAATGTGTGAAGCCCATTCCTGGTGTCCCCCGCCGTGATGTGGCCGGAATATTGCTAAAAGCGGCGTAAAACCAAACTCAGTCAGTCAGTCGTTTTGTAAAATCCGTGATTTCGACTTGGTGTCGTTTCTTTTGCCCGTTAGTTTAGGTCGAGTGAAGACCTATACTCAGCAGACAGATCGTTTCAGTTTTCACAGGTACATAATTCAAGTCACATCCATTACTCTGATAAGATGCCCCTCTGCGGGAAGATCTGAGAACTGATAGCGAATGTCACTTAGGCGACGCATTACACAAATTCTTAAGAAAGGAGCTTGGGTAGGCTACTTCAGGCAGTAAGATGGCAGGTTTCTTGTTAGAGTTAGAACAACGTTTATGGTATCGTGTCGCTGCATACATCTCGCCACCCTTGTAGTGAGTGAATGAGTTTAGTTTTACGCCACACTCAGCAATATTCCAGCTACATGGCAGCGGTCTGTAAATAATCGAGTCTGGACCAGACAATCCAGTGATCAACAGCATGAGCATCGATCTGCGCAATGGGGAACCGATGACATGTGTCAACCAAGTCAGCGAGCCTGACCTATTCTATCCCGGATCCGCCACCCTTGTAAATATGTGGGGCTATCGGGCAGCGAAAATTGTTAAAGTGTCTGCTCGTCACGCTGAAGACCGGGTTCGATTCCCCACATGAGTACAATGTATGAAGCCTATTTCCAGTGTCCGCCGCCATGATATCGCTGGAAAATTGCTAAACGCGACGTAAAACGATACTTACTCACCCTCTAACTGTGAGTATGTAAGTATCATTAAGTTACATGGTACAGAGGGCGTCCCCCCAGCAAGGGAACCTACTTATATCAGATCTGGGAACGCGGACACCACGTGGATTCTTTGATGTAAGATCATATATCACTTCGCAAGTATAACAACACGAGTTCCAACAAAATGTGCTCATGCTGATGCAGCAGCGCGTTTACCTCTTTGGTCATATGGACAAGGCGTCCGACATAGACCACGGTTCTAATCCGAGCATGGGAGTGAGACATTTTATGGCCGCTTCGCTAATCCCAGCCCCACGTGCCATATAGTAAAGCTGAAGGCACGAGTACTACAGATATGTACCTCTGTATACAGATATATACCCTGGCCATAATGAGAATACAGAAACTTACCCTAGGAAGATTCCATTCCCATTGTGTCGTATTCTTGATAGGAACTGTCATACTGTTGTATTAGATACATTTTATGTAAGTAATGAGAATACACAGTAACGGATATTTCGCGACGATGAATACCACCCGGAATCAGTTGAACGGGAACAACTACACATGCAGTTTCGGTTTTGGATTGCGGAATATGGACTTTTAGGGTACCGGGTACGTTTCTGTATTTTGACTTTGTTTAGGGTACATATCTGTATACAGAAACGTACCTGGGGTACGTATCTGTAGTACCTGTGCCGACAATGATCCCTTCAGCTATAGTAAAGGGACACAACTCTGTCGAGACTCTCGCGTGTTATGCTCACTCTCGCGTGTTATGCTCAACAAAACTGTGTATTAACCAGCGCCTCAATTTCCACAATACACCTGCCACTACCGCACGTTTTCAGCGCAATATATTACAGCATAGTCTCCTCATCTCACGAAATGGTACAACAAATACCACAAGTTTTCTGTTTGTCATGGGACAGGCCGTATTGCACACGTGCCACGTGAAACTGCATGATGAGAAAATGTGACCCAGCACGGGCTTTTAACGCTGATTACATTGCCAAACAACTCGGTTAACTTGGGACAGCAGTATAGAACCTACCTTGGTGTTACGCAACCAGCCAATATACGAATGTTTACAGTTGTTGACCCGAGTCTCGTTATGAAACGACTTCCGCTATTTCGATGTGATATTTTACGTATGCTTTTTCTATTTCTATGACAAGGGAGGTAACCTCGGACAAAGTTACACCGATGCGCAAATTCGTTATACGTCACTGTTCTTAACATAAGGTACAGTTCGTTTGAGACAAAATGATACCGATGAATTGCAATCAAACACAAAAACAAATAGACATAAAAGAAGCAAACCAACGCGGAGTGCAATAAAAACAACAGACCAACTCTAGAAAAAAATTGCATAATTTGTGTCACAAAAATAAAAAAAGTTGTTTAAGAAACTGTCATCATTTATCTGTGCGTTTTCCCAGTTTGGTACAACGGCGCATTGGCAACTAAAGGAACAGCGCGAAAAGCGAGATGCACGTGCGTTAACGGGTTCTCAACAAATTTTTGAGCTGGCGAGATGGCACGTACCCCAGCTGCACGGGCAGTGTGCTGTATGATTTAAAACAATATTTATTCATTATTAAATGAACGGATTGGTAAACAGGCTATAAGCCTATAAAAATACCTCTCCGAATACAATGCGATGGGAAACATTTTATATACATTCATCATTTCAGACAAGAGAACACACCATTTGAGGAGTAAAAGACTTAATGAAAAAGACAGTAGTATAATTAATCAATTAGGTAAAAAATCGTTTTGTTAAGGTAAAATAGTCATGTAGAGATTTTACAATATTTTCATTGATTTCGTCAGAATATGAGTAACGTCCACATAATACAGATTGAATATTAAAACCATTTATGTAACAGAAACACTACGATCGAATTGTATTAATATTTGGACAGATAAATAAAAAATGAATGGCATCTTCATAATGATGGCCACAAGTGCAAGGAGACGTATTTTGAAGAAAACGGTCAAATTTATGTGCGTTTAAGTCACTACAGCCAAGTCTTAACTTACAATGAATTATTTGATTAAATCTATTACCAGTGTTTCTGAAGACGTTGGATGAGACAGTTCGATCAAAGTGTTTCTTGAACATGGCAACGGAATCTATGTTTCTTATATCATTTTCTAACTTGTTCCACTCCATCACAGAGGATGATAAAAAAAGATTTTTTATATGGTTCCGTACGACATAATGGTACTTTGAAGCATATTACTAGATCTAGATCCATATGTGGATACAGAGGATATGTTTATTGGAATTAGATCTGATAAATACTTTGGAGTTTTATTATGGAACATTTTATGAAATACATACATTTGGTGATTTTTACGACGTTCCCTTAATGATGAAATACCAGTTTCATGGTATATTTCGGAATGACAAACTCCTCTAACTGATCAACATATGGTTCTTAAAGCATCTAAGTGAAGTTTTTCTAACAATAACTCTTGAGTTTGTGTACAGTTGTTCCAAATATGATCACAATAGTCAAAAAGTGGTAAAACAAATGAACTATACAGGGTTTGGAGGGTTTTCCTCTGAAGGCAGTATTTCAGACTTCTTAAACAATTGATCATAGGACTGACTTTAGAAATAATATCATCTATATGTATATTCCAGTGGCCATCACTTTGTAAAGTCAGCCCCAGATGTTTATGAGTGTCGACAGACTTTATCGGTATATCATTCATTATAAGATCTGGCATTGATGTTACTGTTTTCTTTCTAGAAAAAATGATAGATTCAGTTTTATTGGGATTAAAGTTTACTTTCCATGTCTGGGCCCATTTAGCTATTATTTCTAAATCATCGTTTAACATATTGGAAGATACCATAGGGTCATCAATTATCACATATAAGGATGTATCATCGGCAAATAATTTAATATCACTCTGTATATCTTCAACAATATCATTGATATAAACCAAAAAAAGTAAAGGTCCTAGGACTGATCCCTGAGGGACGCCAGCTTCAATTGATTTAACATTTGACTTATACCCATTTATTACTGTAAACTGTTTTCTATTATTTAGATAACTTTCAAACCATAATAAAAGAGATCCGCGAATTCCACTAGCCCATAACTTATGCAAACGACCCTTGTGCCAAACCCTATCAAACGCTTTACTTATATCGCAGAATACAGCGCGTACCTCCTTGCCACTATCCATCGCCTTAGCTATATAGTCATACAAATGAGTGAGCTGGTATGATGTAGAATCACCAGTTGTGAAACCTGACTGTAATGAAGTAATAGTTCCATTATCTAGAAAAAAATTGACACATATTTAAAAACACACTTCTCAAATACTTTTGAAAGACAACTAGTAAGTGAAACTGGTCGATAATTAGTATAATCATGAACATTATGTTTCTTATAAATTGGAACAACGGATGAACATTTCCATATATCTGGAAATTGAGAAGAGGACAAAGAAATATCAAGCAGGTTACAAAGTGGAATGGACAATTGTTCAGCTAAACATTTTCAGACACGATTGCTTAGATGATCTGGACCAGTTGCCTTAGTGACATCAAGCGACAGTAAAATATCCCTTACTTCAACGCTTTGTAATCTTATATGAGTGAGACAATTTTCCACGTTAATATCAGAATATGCATTAACATCATCAGAAGAACTGTTAACCGCTGCCATACTCACAAAGTAGTCATTAAAAATATTTGCTTTCTCAATATCATCTTCATAAACAACACCATTGTGTTCAATGTGTGGAAATATCTTAGCTGTATCTGTTTTCTTAAGATAATGTTTAACAATCCGCCGCCAAGATTTACTACCATGTTCTGTATTGACAACATTATCAAGTTTTTCAACATACAATGACTTACTTTTACGTATCTCTGAGATAAGCTTATTTCGACTTTTTCTAAATTTTTCCCAATCATTAGGCAAGTTACTACGTTTAGCCTTTCTATGAATTCTATTTTTCTTACGCATAAGTTTTCTTATAAATCCGTTCATTCACGGAGCAACATTTGGACGAATTACGACAGTTTTATTTGGAATATTTGATTTACATAAGTCTGTTAATGTATTCACAAATTTTCAAGCAATGGCATCAACATCATCATTTTGTGTAAGAAAATCCCAATTAACATCAGCCACATTTTGCCGAAAGGAATTTATATCAATATTATCGTAATTATAAATGAATCTTGAATAGGCTTCTTTCGTCTGTTTAATAGATTTAGGCGACACGCTAACTGAACAATGGCCACTGCAGAAAGGGTGAGTAACACCCGAGGAATTTTTACAATATCAGGACACGATACAAATAGTAGGTCAATAAGTGTTCTCGATTGTTGAGTAATACGTGTCGCCTCATTTATCAGTTGCGTCATGCCATAATTGTCTTAATACGTTCAATGTTAGGATCTATTCTATTCAACGAATTAGTATTGAAGTCCCCAAGTACTATAGTCTTAATATTAGTATCTATCGCTAAGCCTATTGATTCTTCAATCAGATTCCAGTAGTGGGAACTAGTATTTACACGATAAAACGTACCGACAACATAACTCTTGTTTTTACACGTGATCGGTGCCCACACTGCCTCTAGTCCTGGAAGTTGTAAATCAGGCCTATGCTTACAGTAAATAAAGTCTTTCACATAAATTGCAACCCCACCTCCCCTAGTTTGTCTATCATTACGAAATGGCGGATGAAACCAAGGCATAAGAATGTCATAATTTGAAATACCATCATGCAACCAAGTTTCTAATATACATATAACATCACATTCATGGAGTTCTGCGTAAACTAAGTCTACTTTATCAGTAAGACTACAAACATTAGTATGTACAATACTTAAATCTGAGTTAACTGGTCCCGGGTTAGGGTGAATATCTCCACAACAGAGTAGTAATAATAGAGCTATCTGAATACCCCTGACCCCAAGTGTACAGACTAACACCACCAAATAATAAGTAGATATGTCTATTTTACCATGTTCTTTATTTAGGGACTTACAGTGATACACCCCGATTCTCAGCCGGTATATTGAGATGTCAACCCCATCTAATAATCTTAAAAGTGACATATATGTGAGAAAAGGGGTACATACACATGTAAGTCATTATGCTGTATGTACTTAGTAATTGCATACTTGGGTCACCCCCTGTAATTTTCATCCTTGAAGAAATCATAGACTTTGTAAATTATAGATTTCCTTTTCTCTCACTTTGTCAATCAGCAGTAATCACTGTCTCTGACGTCACTAATGCACGTGCATCTCGCTTTTCTCGCTGTTCCTTTAGTTGCCAATGCGCCCTTGTAAC